GGAGACGAGGAGATTGTCTGGATATGTGGGGTGAGTGAAGACAGCTGAGAACGACACTGAGGTTTGTGAGCCTGAGTGACCATGACGATGGTGCTTCCCTGTGAGCAAGGTTTGGAAGAGGGGACGGCTTGGGAGGAAAGATCATGAATTCTACTTTAAAAAATTATTTTTTGTCACTTTCAGTTTTATTGATGTTTTGTTTTTATTACTACATTTAGAGATTACGCCTACTTGGTGAGAGATCTTCTGCAACTAAACAAAACAGCTGAGTAAAACTACTAATACAACGAGTACACTCATCGGCAAGTGCAGGCAACACTTCACATTTGGAGCACTCCCATCTATCTATCTATCTATTTATTTATTTTAAAATTTATTTTATTAATTTATTTTGATTTATCAACAATCACTTCCATATGCTTTTGAGTTGAACATTTTTCTCCCCCTTCCTCCCCACCACCCTCCCCAAGATGGCACACAGTCTGATATAGGCTATACATTTACATTCCTATTAAACATATTTTCAAATTAGTGATGTTGTAAGTAAAAATTAAAACCAATAGGAGGAACCATCAGAAAGAGGAAACAAAACTCAACAGAAGAGAAAAAAAAGATAGCAATTCAACTTTCATAGTTCTTTCTTTGGATGTGGATAGCATTTTCCATCATGAGGCCTCTGGAGATGTCTTAGATCCTTGTATTGCTGAGAAGGGTTAAGTTTATCAATATTAATCATTGCACAACGTTCTCTTGGTTCTGCTCATTTCACTCAGCAACAGACCATACCAGTCTTTCCAGGATTTTTTTTTTTTTGGTTAGGCAATGGGGTTAAGTGACTTGCCCAGGGTCACACAGCTAGTAAGTGTTATGTGTCTGAGGCCTCATTTGAACTCAGGTCCTCCTGAATCCAGGGCTGGTGCTCTAGCCACTGCGCCACCTAGCTGCCCCCTCCAGGTTTTTCTGAAGTCAGCCTGTTCCTCATTTCTTATAGCATAATAGTATCCCATTACATTCATATACCACAACTTGCTCAGCCATTCCCCAATTGATGGGCATCCTCTCAATTTCCAACTCTTTGCCACCACAAAAAGAGCTGCTATGAATATTTTTGTACATGTCCCACCTATTTAAAAAAAAATTAACAGAAAAATATTTTCTCTCCCACCTCCCCTCACTCATTGAAAAAAAGAAAAAGAAAAAATTCCAAATTTCTCAAATATGCATAGTCAAGCAAAGCAAATCCCTCAATGGCTGTATGCAAAAATATACACGTCTCATTTTGCACCAAAGGTCAATATTCCCTCTGTAACGAATAACATGTTTCATCATCAGTCCTCTGGAATCATCAAGGTTCATTATACTGATCATACTTCTCACAAGCTTTCAGAGTTGCTAATTTTTCCACTGTTTTGTCATTGTATAAATTGTTGTCCTGGTTCTTCCCATTTCATTCTTTGTTAGTTTAAAAAATTCCTCAAAATTGTTAATTTAAAAAATATTGATATTATAGAACAAACAGTTTTCATGGTTCTGTTTCTTAACCAGTTTATACAAGTCTTTCCAAAATCATCTACTTCCTCATTTCTTTTTCTTTTGAGAGGCAGTGGGGTGAAGTGACTTGCCCAGGGTCACACAGTTAGTGTCAAGTGTCTAAGGCCAAATTTGAACTCAGGTCTTCCTGAATCCAGGGCTGGTGTTCTATCCACTGCACCACCTAGCTGCTTCTACTTCCTCATTTCTTATAACACAATAGTACTCCATCACATTCATATCCTCCAACTTATTCAGTCATTTTCTGTTGTTGGACATCTTAATTTCCAGTTTTGGGGCTGCTATAAATATTTTTGTATGTATAGGACTTTTACTCTCTGATCTCATTTGCATATTGCCCTATATCTGGGAAACATGAGTTCTGTTCTGAATGTGCTGAGTTTGAGATATCTAAAGGCATCCACTTAGAGTTGTCCAAAATGCAGTTGGTGACATGGGACTGCAAGTCAGGAGGGAGACTATGGCTGGATATATGGATTTGGGAATCATTTGTATGGAGGTGATGAGATCATCAAGTGAGATAACAGAGGGATGAGAAAAGGGCCCAGGATAAAGCCCTCGGGGACATCCTGGTTAGCGGGTGTGGCATGGATGAAGAACCGGAGGGAAGTGAGAGTCAGCAGTATCACAAAAATCCAGAGAGGGGAGCTACCAGGATGAGAAAAAGTTCAACAGTGTCAAATGCAAGACAGAGGTCAAGAAGGATGATGCACAAAAGAAGGCCTTTATATTCGGACTTAAGATATCATTGGTAACTTTGGAGAGAGGAGTTTCAGGTGATGATGAGGTCAGAAGTTAAAGTCTACAAAAAAAAAAAGACTGCAGAGGGTTTAGGACAGAATGAGAGAAGAGAGGGAGAGGGGGTACCAAGAGAACATTGCTTTCTCAAGGAGTTTAGTCAAGAAGAGGAGAAGAGATATATGCCAAGAGCTAGTGAGGATGGTAAGGCCAAGTGAAAGATTTTTTTTTAAGATGTGTTAAGTCGTGGGTATGTTTGTAGACAACAGAGAAGGAGATAGGGAGAGACAAAAAATTCACGAGTGGACGTATCGTGAGGGCAGTCTGTAAGAGAAACTAGAAGGAGATGGGTTCAAGATTGGCCTAGGCAAGAAGAGACGAGTGAAGGAGACAATGGGAGAAGACGCCCGAGTTATTTGAGATAAAGGGAAGGGGAGAAGAGGGAGCTCCTTGCTACTGGCCTCCATTTTTTTTTTTCAGTAAAGTATGAGGTGAGGTCCTAAGCTGAGAGGATGGGTAGGGGAAAGGGAGGGACAGGACACTACTGGAGGGTTGAGGAGATGAAGAGGTTTGGAATAGTCACTGTGGAGACAGATTAGGAGGAGTAGAATGACTGCCTTGTTGCAGCAAGGGGCCAGATGAGAGCAGACAACATAAATTTGTAGCAGATCCAAAATCAGCCTAGTTTTGTGGTTTCCCCCTCAGTTTCCAGGACTGGCTTGGCATGAAGTGACTGTTGAAAGCACTAGAAGGCAAGGGCCTGGAGAGTAGAAGATCGTGTAAGGTTAAATTGATTCACCGGGGCAGGATAGGGTTACATTTTAATCTTGGATCTCTTTGCATCATATGCCTAGCAGTGGAGTCTGTGAGTCACAGGTTGTGGGCATTTTAGTAATTTCTGTTTGGCTAGCCAGTGCAGTTAAGCGACTTGCCCAGGGTCACACAGCTAGTAAGTGTTATTGTCTGAGGCTGCATTTGAACTCAGGTCCTCCTGAATCCAGGGCCAGTGCTCTATTCACTGCACCACCTAACTGCCCCTCAGTCATTTCTTTAGCATAATTCTAAATTGGTTTCCAGAATGGTTGGATCAGTCCACAGTTCCATCAACTTGTATTAGGGTACCTGTCTTTCCACAGCCCCTCCAATGTTAATTATTTCCATCTTTTGTCATCTTTACCAATTTGTTCAATGAGGGATAGAATCTCCAAGTTGCTTTAGTATTTCTCATTATTGATACAGCGGGTAGAGCACCAGACCCTGAGTTAGGAAGGCTTGAGTTCAAACTCAGTCTCAAGTTCAAACTTAGCCTCAGACACTTACTAGTTCTGTGATTCTAGACAAGGCACCTGATCTCTCTAAGCCTCTGTTTCCTAATCTGTAAAATGGGCATAGCAATAGCATCTACCTCATAGTGTTGTTTCGAGGATCAAATAAGATAAAACATATTGTAAATCTTAAAGTGCTATAGAAATGCTAGTTCTTATTATTATTAGGAGCAATTTTTACATAGCTGTTGTTCAGTTGTTTTCAACTCTTCATGGCCCCATCTGGAGTTTTCTTGGTAAAGATACTGCAGTGGTTTGCCATTTCCTTTTCCAGCTTATTTTCCAGATAAGCAACTGAGACAAACAGGGTTAAACGTCTTGCCTAGGGTCACAGAGCTACTAAGTGTCTGAAGCCAGATTTGTACTCAGGTATTCCTGACTCCAGTCCCGGCACTCTATCCACTGCACTACCTAGCTGCCCTTTTATGTGGCTAATAGTTCGTAGTTCTTCTTTCAAGGACTATTTGTTCATCTCCCTTAACCCCTCATCCATTAGAAAAGCTCTTGATCTTATGTATCTGCATTACTTCCCTGTATATCTTAGTATTATCAGGGACATTTGAGGCAAAGCTCTTTTCGTAATCAACAGCTTCCCTTTTTATTGATGGACTGCATTGCATTGATTTTGCTGCACAGGTTACTGAATGTTGGAATAATTGGACAAGCTTCATGGAAAAGGTGAGACTTCAACTATACTTTGAAGGATAAGCAAGATCTGGATAAGAGAATAGTATTTGGGGACCATTAGAAGTAAAGGAATGAGGGCAGGAATTAATAGACCGTATATGGAAGACAATTCAAGGACTCAGGACACTGGGTCTGTGTGTGAGACAAAGTTGGAAGAACAGGGTGGGCTCAGAAGGGCCCACTTACTCCTTGATATATCAGGCAGTGTAGACTCACTATAGTCCCTTGAGCTGGAAAGTAATATTTATGTAAAATTAATCTGTAAAAGTAATACTGATATATGGAAAAGTGCTTGTTAGCCTGGGAGGATGCTCAAGATGAACCCTCCTGGGTTAATTTAGGGGGGAACTATCTTTGCTCCTCTCAAGCTAATTTTTAGACCAAAAAAGCTCTCAGCTGCCATTCAGGGTTTTATTTCACTTATTCCAGAGTGGGTGTGATATAACTTCAGAGTGCACACCACATACATATGGCAGAATTCCTGTAGCACCCCAGCTGTCAGCTTTGTCTAAGGCCACGACTCCCTTTAGTGGTGTGGCCTGGGACAGGCACAGGTGGGAACAAATCCTACAGAGCTGCGCCCACCCTTCCCTCTATCTAAAGCCTGCTCCACCTGGCACAGGAAGAAGAGGGGGCTCATTGTGTTACAGTGCTTGGCACGGTGCCAACCCAAATCACGACTCTGTGATACCAAAAACATTAAGCAATGACGGCAATTTGTTGTTTCTAAATGATTTGTTCCAAGGAAAAGAACCAGCTTCTGACACGACGAAATCAAAACTATCATGCCCAAAAAAATTAAAAAGAAAAGAAAGTGTGAGATATCATCATGCCCTTTCATTAACTGACTATACTGTGAGCAGCGAATGGTCTCTTTCAGCCAGGCAGGAGCTCAGTTACAGAAGGCTCTTCACATCCTCCAAGATCGGTCCTCTTTGAACTTTCTTTCAAAGGCTGTGAAGGTCCTGCTTCTCTTGTCACTTGACATGGATCTCCCAATCAGCACTGACATTCAATGAAAGATTTTCCAGGTGAAGCACAGCTGTCTTGGAGAAGTAGGTAAAAGCCACCTGCTTCTCTGTCCCATCTAAATTTCAAGAGAACAAAAAAAAGTCTCTATCAGGCCTTGGTGGGGAAACCTCTTCTCTGAAGCATAAAATGAGGAGTAACAGTGACAAAACTGTCTCCTTTAATAAGTGGAGTGCTCCATTCAGAAGAATCCTTGGCCATACCAACTTTGTCCACGGATCTCAAAGAACTTTTAGGATGTCAAATCAACACCACCGTTTTGATTATGAAGTTGGCTGGAAAGAAATTGGGACATGGATACGGGGCATTTATGTGAGAAACTCTGAGTAAGACAGCAATCAAACCTTGACTTTTAGGTCTGTGCCTGTCAACAAGATCTATGTAAAAAAGGGCAGTGTGGGATAATGGACAGAGTGCTGGCTTTGGAGCAAGATGCTCCATGTATGAATCCAGGCTCTGCCACTTCATACCTGTGTGACTTTGGGCATGTCACTTAACTTTCTCATGCCTCATTTTCCTCATGTGTAAAATAAGGGGGTTGGATTAGATGACCTCTAAGGTCCCTTCCAACCCTATGATCCTATAATGAGGATTCATCCACACATAACTCACAATATCTAACTGTAATAAACCTGGGACACAGTTTAGAAATTATTTCCAGAAAAATTATGATGTAACTTTTAAACCCCAAGGATTTGATAGTGGGTACATATCTACAGATTACAAATAAATCAATCTGTTGACCAAGAAGATCACTGGGGGTATGAAATCAAGGTAAAAGACCAGTAGATTTGGTCTCTATTAGCACACAGATGAATGGTCTCCAGGGACTACTCATTTTATTCACACCCAAATGCTATGACATTTGCAAAAAAGAAAAAAGAAAAGGCAAAATAAAAAATGGCTCATTTTCTTACCAGAAGACCTGGCAGTCACAGAGGAAGGCTGCTTATTGATGCCCAGGATCAGGACTTTTTCTACTATGCACTCACTGTGGTAATCACCATTTTCATCTGCACAGCTAGAAGAAATACATATGGTTAACCTCAGATGAAGGAATGGAATGGGGACTGGGAAAAGGAGCTAAAAAAAAAAATCACAAAAATTTGTCACCAGATTAGTACTTCCAGTAAGGAGTTTCTGTGACCATCTAAGCCTGATATATATATTTCCTCTCACATCTGACACTCCAAGCTGAATAAATAACAATCCAGGTGGCATTTCTAATTGAGATGAACAAAGATAAAAAGTGACTTCAGATGCAGAGGCCCGAATACCCAAGCTCCTAATTGCAATGACTTTCCCCCTGTTTTTTACTGCAGTCATTCTATCATTTTGTGAGAAGTCACTGAGGGTCAAAATCCGCAATATTTCACTGAACCCCAGATCTAATATTTTTTTAATAAGAAAGGGAAAATATATGGCAGGAAATGTTGGATAAGAAACCCCATACAAGGTTTTTGGAGGTCCTTTTTAAAAATGGTGTTCTCAAAAAAATAATAAATAAATAAAAATGGTGTTCTCTCATTAGCTGTACATTATGAAGCAGCTAAAATGTGTATTATAATGTGCTTAAAATACACAGCTCTCCTCAGCTGTCATTACCTGGAGGACAAAACACCATCACAGAATAAAAACTTCCTATGAAGGAATTGCTTTTGATGGAGGTATTGGAATGAATGCCCATCATCAAGGTAGAGTTCGCCTCTAGAAGAGCCCTGGGGAAAGAACAGCAGTTACAAAACCCAGCCAGTCATGATTTTCTAGGTAGGATGGATAACTGAGAAGAGAATAAAGTTCATTCCATCCTACAAACGTTTACTGAGTACTTAACAGTAAGATCTTAGCAATGGCACAGTACATGGAAAGACAGCACTCGTTCACCTCAATGACAGGTACCATCGACACCTCTTACAAGGGATGAAGGTCACTGAAGTAAATGTTGTCGAAGACCTAGTACATACGTGAGACATTTTGACAATCAGGTACCACACAAGATATGGCAGGACCTCTTAGCATAAGGTGAATCAGCCACATTCTGGAGCAATGTTGGGGTAGTAAAGAGAATGCTAAACTTGGAATCAGAAAGATCTGGGCTTGAATCTTTCCTGTGGCCCTTAGTAGCTGTGTAATTCTGAGCAACTGGCCTCAGGCACTTACTAGCTATGTGACCCCGGGCAAGTCACTTAACCTTGTTTGCCTCAGTCTTCTCATCTGTCACAGGAACTGGAGAAGGAAATGGCAAACCGCTCCAGTACCTTTGCCAAGAAGACCCCAAATGAGGTCTCAAGGAGTTGGATATGATTGAAACAAATGAACAACAATCCTGGGTGTGAGTGACTTTACCTGTATGTGCTTCAGGCAACTTTCTAGGCCACATCTATTTAAATCAAAGATAAGTTGCAATCTTCATTAGTGAAAAGGGTTCCCTACATTGACAGAATCATAGACCCTTCATATATTCATATGGAATAGGGTTGGACAGCCGGGATCAGGCTATGGAGATGCCCTGTCCTGTACCACTAAAACCTGGGTCAACTTTATGGTGACTCCAAGTTGGCTAGCTACCTAGGGGTGGCTGTAAGCTCTTAGGGTTTTCTCCACTACCAACCCAGCTATTCTATGATGCCAGACAGCCCACTGAAATTTCAGTGTGTGTAACCAATGCTTCGATGAAAAACATTAAGGATTTCCAACATTCTGCTGGAAGACGTCTTTTCAAATTGTCAGATATCCAGTCAGAACAATACTGGGAAAACCACTATAAGGGGGTTGAATTAGTGGACCTTTAAGGTCCCTTCCAACTCTACACCTATGACTCTATAATCCTATAATTAGGATTCACCCACAACTCACAATATCTAACCATAATAAACCTGGAAGATAGTTTAGAATTTATTTCCCCCAAAAATTATGATGTAACTTTTAAATCCCGAAGATTTGAGAGTGGACACTGAACACCTTAATAACAGCAATGACAGTGATTCAGAAAGGGAAGTTAAAAGTTCATTTTTCGGCCTAAGTTAGAAGATCCCTTGCTCTGGGGATTTCACGGGTGGGAGTTCCACACTTTTACATGCTTTATACCATAAATCCAGAAGGCTATCATCAAAAGAGGCAGAGAAATAACCAAATCGAGATGTGTGAAGGAAATAATTCCTAAATACCTTGGTGTCCAGAGCAACACGGAGCTCATATGGAAGATGGGTCATCCACTCTGTGGATCTCCCTACAGTAGTCTTCATTGGTACCACACTTCCACCTCGCTGGAACACTGGTATCTATAAAGAACAGAAATTTCAAGGAAAGAGAATTCACATAAGAATTCACAAATCTCAAAGTGGAACTACTAGATATTTTACAATGAATATCCATGCCAATGCAAAGGTAGGAGCACAAATAATTTGTGAGCACAGTTTCTGAATATGGTGTGAGGCGGGAGATAGGGCTGACAATGAAATGTAGATATAAAAACACACATCCAAGTTTAAAGAGAATGATTTTTTTTTCATTTATTAGGGGGGAAACAATTACTTGTTACCTGTATCTGTTTCCACTCCCTGCCCAATATCTAAGTGATGAACTCCTTTCTGTCCTATGTTGTTGTTGTTGTTTTTTCTCCCTAATGTAGAGTCTCTTTAAGATTCCTTTCATAGAAATTGTCATAAATTTAAAAAAAAGATTCCTTGCATAGAACAGCCTAAATATATTTATCCCCACATTTCACAAAAATGAATTTTTTTACATACTTTCTAATTATTTCGTCCAGCCGTGGAAATAGGTTTAAAATCATATTGGTTTAAAAACCAAAACATACATTTTTAAACACACTTTTGTGTGTTTAAAACACCCAAAACACACAGCAGCAAATATTCACCATGAAATAGCATACCATGAGGGGCTCTTTAAAAAAACTGATGAGCTTTCTTTCAATTCTCTTGCAATTAATGCGCTCTTCACTTTACAAATCTGTCTCCTGCCCCTTGAGATGACTATAGGGAGTGTCTATAGAATATGACTTTGGGTAGGTAACACCCCCCACCCCAGTCCTGAATAGGGATTGATGAACTCAAAGAATAGGTCCAGCTCTAACAGTCTAGGAACCTTTGGTAGTCATATATGTAGCAGTTTTTGCAATGATGGTCTTTTTTTTTTTTTTTGAGAATGCCAAACATGAATGCCTACCTATTTATCTTCATTTTACCCAGGTCCTTATATGTGTTGCTATGAGGCAGTTTTTTGGTTATTTAGTAAAAAGTTAATAAATGAAGCTCATTCAATTCTAAAAACATTTACTGAGTGCCCAATGGTGCATTCCGTGGAAAGGTGCCACTCATTCACCTCCTCACTGGCATCTATGAGAAGGGATGAAGGTCCTTGAGGTAAATACTTGTGTTATAAAGTAAAAGTTAATACATCATCATTAATATATTTTAAATACAATTAAAAATTACAGACAGAACCATCACTGAAGTATTTCTTAGAGGCCTCGTGTTCCCACTAAATATTTATATCCCTTGACACGGTCCCCTGGAAGAAAATGCTAGGTGGCACGCCAGGCCAACAATTTCTTCTTTCTGTTTTCAGAGCTCTTCACTCACAGGACTCAAATATTCAAATGTGTAAAGGGAAGGTACATGTGAGAGACAAGAGACTAGAGACTGATCATGCCATATGAGGAAAGGTTGATGGAATTGAGATGGTTAGGGAGAAAAACTTGGGGATGATGGAATCTGTCTTTAAATATCTGAGGCTTGTGATACAGAAGAGAGGTTCAACATTCCGCTTAGTCCTAGAGGACAGAGCTAAGAGAAAAGGCTTAAAACTGTAGAGAGGCAAACTTTGCCTTGAAATATAAGGAAAAAAACCCCCATCTTGTCCCAAAGTGGAATAAGTAAGAGGCAGTGGATTCTTCCATCATTAAGGGTCTTCAAGCCAAGGCTAGATGACCATTGTTAGGAATGTTGTAGAGGGGATGACTGTTCAAGTATACATTGCATTCAGATGAGGTAGCTGGTTTGAGAGAAACTAATATTACACTATCATATTAATATCTAATTATTAATTTGTGATCCATCCTTTTCCTCCTATTTTTGTTAGGGCTCTACTCCTGAAAAGGTCAGTTAGTCTCTGAAGGGCATGACCAGTAATATGCTTACTCCTAGCCCCCAAAGCACCTGCTGTTTAACTAGGTTGGGCTAGGCCTCATCCAAATAGGAGCACGGCTTTTGTTTATCCCAAAGGCATAAGGTAGAATGGGTTGGTTCTCACTACCAAGAGTTACCAAGAGCCACTTGTGTGACCCTGATTCCTTCATTAGAGTCTGAAGTAACCTGGTTCACAAAGGAGAAAAAGAGCCAGAGATCTGGATGGAAATGGCTTTCCTGGCCCCGACTGCTAGAGGCTGCTGGGTCTCATGATCAATTACATTGTCAGCAGGAGGAGCTGAAGAATTTCTAGCCCACCTCTCCTCATTAAACCACCAGAGTTGAGTTTCACTTGTCAGGGGAGCTCACTGTCAGAAGGAACATACCTGATTTAAAGTGTTTCAGAGTTTTCCTTTCTCGTCTTTGGTTACTGAGAGAAACCAGTGACCATCAATTTATTGATTACTGGCTAGCCTAGTGAATAATTTGATTATTAATACCCAGAAACTTTGTCTCTAGTCACAACAGGTTTCTCTCAGACCTAGTGGTTTGTGTGTAATTCTGCATACTTTCCACTAAAATGGAATATGTTATTAGGCATAACTCTAAAGCTTTTGGCTCTAAGTGAATGCAGCAGATGAAAACAGTGGTCTAAACATAACTTACCCTATCCAAGGTTATGGGGACCTTCAGGCTACGTGCTCCTTCCCAATGAACAAATGTCCGAAAGTCATACCAGACCTGAATGGGAATAGGTCATCCAAAAGTATATTAATAAGAGGGTTCCAATTTTCCCTAAACAATAACCTTCAGTTCATCTAAAATCCGAGTTACTAAAAAGTTCAAATAACTGGATTTGTTTTCATGGGTAGACATTAAGGAGGACACGTGCTGCCATGAAGACCTTGAAAGAGCTAAAGCGTAAGTATGGAACAGGGCTGGTTAGTCTGCTGACTAAGCCTCTATAAAAGCCTAATGTTTCCTGTGCTATGAGGAACAGTATAAGGGAGAGAAAGGCAGAAAGGCAGAGGAATTAGGAAGTAGAGAAAAAGAAATCAAGAAAGAAGGAAAACTGTAAGAAGGGAAACAGATATCAGTGGTGGCAAATGGGAGGGCAGTGACTGGATAAGGAACAGAAAAACAAAATAAATTTTTAATAAGAAAGAAGCTTAGGAAGAATATACATCAATATATAATCATATATGTGTGTTGTTCAGTTGTGCCCAACTCTTCGTGACCCCATTTGGGGTTTTCTTGGCAAAGATACTGGAGTGCTTTGCCATTTCCTTCTCTAGCTCATTTTAGAGGTAAGGAAACTGAGACAAAAAGGGTTAAGTGGCTTGCCCAGGGTCACATAACTAGTGTCTGAGGTCAGATTTGAACTCAGGTCTTACAGACTCCAGGCCAGGTGCTCTATCCACTGCACCACTTAGCTGCCCTATATATACAGGTATAAGTTAGAATATTGTTGTAATATACAGTGGAATTTTACAATTAGATGGTTATGTCTTGGACCCCATCTACAGGCCTCCTGAAGTTAGTTACCAAAGTACCAAGAGAACCTCACGAAGTAATTTTGCAGAACAGAACTTGAAGAGTGCAGAATTTGGAGTCAGAAAGTTTGAATCCTGCTTTAGATATTTACTAGCTGTGTGACTCTGGGCAAGTCATTTATTCTCTCTGTCTCAATTTCTTCATCTCTAAAATGGGAATAATAATAGCATCTACCTTACAGGGTTACTGTGAAGTTCAAATGAGATAATATATTTAAAGTACCTTGGAAGACCTGGGCTGGAGAAGGAAATGAAAAACCACTCCAGCATCTTTGCCAAGAAAACCCCAAATGGGCTCACGAAGAGTGGGACACGACTGAAATAACTGAACAACAACAACGTGTGCATATATATAATATATGTGTACATACAGGCTAATTTGTGCAATACCAATGTCTGTTCTACCTTCATTTTCTTGTAGACCTTCTAATGACTTGCTGAACAAAAGCCCTGAATGAATATTAACTTGCTTATTACACTTTTAAGGTCTGGAGGTTGGCTCCTGAGAGTTAAAGGTCAATACGTGTATTTAGGCCATGGACAGACAATGGTATATTAAAAACATTTGCTACTTTTGCATATTTGTGCTATCATGCTCTTTGTCCAAACGCTCCCCAAAGCGACGACTCTATAAATAATAGCCAGCTGTGTAGGTAACTTATTCATCACAAGGGAAAGAGAAGGCAATAAGCATTTATACAGTGCCTGCTGTGTGCCAGGAGCTATGCTAAGCATTTTACAAACACTGTCTTGTTCAATTCTCACAACAACCCTGTGAGGTAGGTGCTGTTATCATTCTCATTTTACTACAGTGCGTGAAACTGAGACAGACAGAGTGACCTGCCCAGAGTCACACAGCTAGAAAGTGTCTGAAATCTGAACTTAGGTCTTCCTACTCCAGGCCCAGTGCTCCATCCACTGTACCAAGTAGCCACCCACCTGGGAAGGTTCCACCGAGAAGGTCAACCAGTGATGAGAGTCATTGGCAGGTGATAGTGAAAAAGACAACAATTAATTTTTTTCTTTAAAGAATGAAGGACATATATGATATGGGATGACTTCTTATTTCTTCTTACCTCTTCAGACCCAGGCAAAAACACATCAACCATGGTGACCTTTGGTTCTGTGACTGGATAGATTAGCAAAGCACTTCCTAAAAAAAAGCAATGGAAAATAAATTAAACTAGTTTTCTTATGAGAGGTCTGAAAACCCTTTTTCTGTCCTTTCAAGGTTTAAGGAACTAGCATCACAAAGATGTGTTTGTAGATGCAGGTAGGCTTGATGCATCATTCCTACCGAGTCCAACTGTCACCACTGGCCAGGACACTCTTGAAGAGTTTGGCAGGCACTGGGAAAGCGACACTAACTCCTTCAGGACCCTGCAGTATCATGGAGTATGTTGCTGCTATAGGTGCATTTGTAAGGATCTTGCCAGAGTGGCTATGGATCTGGAAATCAGAATGCTAAATTGGATTCCACAAGTAGGGTTGATAAAGCAAGCCCGAACTGCAAATATGGGTCTTTTGGGAATATGCTACTTCCAGAACTCAATGCTAATGTGAACCTCACAAGATAGAAAACGACACTGGGAAACAGTGTTGTTGTTGTTTTTGAGTTCTTTCAGTCATGTCCAACTCTTGGTGACCACATTTGGGGTTTTCTTGGCAGAGATACTGGAGTGGTTTGCCATTTCCTTCTCCAGCTCATTTTACAGATGAGGAAACAAAGTGAAGTGACTTGCTCAGGGTCACACAGCCAGATTTGAATTTAGGAAGAAGAGTCTTCCTGACTCCAGGTCTGTACTCTATCCACTGTGCACACCCAGCTGCCCCAAAATATGTTAAGATCTTGCTAATAAATTAAGTACTAGGGGGCAGCTAGGTGGTGCAGCGGATAGAGCACCGGCCCTGAAGTCAGGAGGACCTGAGTTCAAATCTAGCCTCAGACCAAACACTTGATACTTACTTAGCGGTGTGACCCTGGGCAAGTCACTTAACCCCAACTGCCTAAAAAACCCAAACAAAAAAATAAAATTTAAATAAAATTTAAAAAAATTGTAGTGGGATGACTTTTCTTCTTCCCTGTACTTACATTATCTTTTGAATGCTCTAATATCAGAAACCTTAATGGTAAGTTTTCTGGCTTACTATAAGAAAGCACAAATAATATTCAGCTCACCTAACATGTACTCATCTTCCACACCAAAAATTTCTAATTCCTTTGGAAATTCCACCCAGAGGGGCCTGGAAAAAGGAAAGGGAAAGTTTCATTTCATTTTTTTTCCCTTATTCATATAAGCATTCACATTCATTAAAAAAACAGAAAAACTTTTGACAGTTTTTTTTTAGCTGCAAACAATAAACAGAAAATTAGAAAAACCCCCAAGATTTCAGGATTCAAGATTCTAGGAGCAGTTGATATAATTCAACATGGCCTTATGTGAAGAAAAAAGTCTCAGTCCAAATATTTCATTGAGACTGAGAATTCTAGTATCTGTAAATTTTCACTATCCTTTCCCTTAAGATTCACCTATTTTTGAATTATGTAGAACAAGTGAAAATTTTAGCAAAAAGCAAAATCAGTGCCTATTCAGGCTACTGATAATCATTGCCATCACTGACATAACACTGTGGGGGGGTCTGGAAACATTTTTTAAAGGGCTCAGTTCAATTTTTCTTCACAGTTACTTGGGAGATAATTAAGATGATTAAAAAAAAAAAAGCCAAAAACCTGGCTTCAACTTGAATATAACTTCTTATCAAAGATGTACTCTCATACATTTAATTTCTTAGCCTTTATAATTACATGCTGTTTTTCTACAGGACGCTACTGTAGACTTGAGATATGCATATACATTTTTTTTTTTTGGTGAGGCAATTGGGGTTAAATGACTTGACCAGTGTCACACAGGTGGTAAGTGTCAAGTGTCTGGTCTGAGATCGGATTTGAACTCACGTCTCCTGACTCCACAGGAGGTGCTCTACCCATTTCACCACCTAGCTGCCTCCCTACTTTTTTTTTTTAATTCAGGAAGTTGTTTCTCTTTCTTCTTATTGGGAGAAAAAAAAAGACCAAAAAACTTCACTCCAAACCAGAGGCTGTGAAAGTGTCCAACACAGGGGCACATTTAAAGCACAAAATTCAGTTCAATAATACATGAACTAAAGAAAAGTATAGAGTCACTCTCTCTTTTAGAAATGTCTCTATTTCCTTTTTTAAAAAATCAAGTAATAAAAGTTGAATCACAAAGCCGCAGGGACTTGTTCTTGTTTTTACCCACTACATATTCCCCACAATGTTAATCATGCCCTGCATAGTACGTCCACAATAAAAGCTGGTTGAGTGGCTGCTTGATTAAACACACAGATTTTCTTCATATACTTGGTATCATGTAATTACTCTTGCCCCTATCCCTGAAATGATGTCGTTGGCTGGGGAGTAGGACACCTCAGCTGGATAAATCCTTTTTACCTCATGACTGGTTCAGAAGCCACATGTGCACGGTAGAACAAAGAATACCAATAAGGCAGGAGGGCGTATCGCTCTTTGATGGCTTCTCTGATGAGCTTGGTATATTCCTCCCCAAATAACCAAGGTTCACGCCGCTTAGTGTTCATGGTGGCATGGCTTCGGAAGAAGGGCTGGTAGGCTCCGGCCTGGTACCAGCGTACCAGCAACTCTGGCTCTGGATCCCCAACGAATCCGCCTACATCAGCTGGTTGTTAAAAAGAAAGGCCAAATGGGGCTAAGAGTATCCCAGTAAATAATACGTCAGTAGAATGAGCCCTTCAAGAGTAGCAAAAGAAAAAGGGCTATGTCTTCATCCATCAAGACCAAGATAATAGAGTAATTAGGTGCCAGTGGCTCAAAGACAGGAGAGCTCACACTGAGAAACCTAACTTGTTTCAGAATCCAATGGTATGTTCTGGTCATGGGGAGAGAATTACAGTGGAACAAAAGAAGGACATTATTTCACTGTGAGATCAAGTGTTCTATAGTTCTTGAGATCTATGCTACCAGAAGTCACAATTGTAAAAAGTCTATCAGGTGTGATCAGAAAATCACTATGGATAACTAATTTGATTGAAAAGCAAAAGCTAGACCAGAAGTAAAATTATACAAAGAAATGAAGAAAATCCAAATTAGACATCTAGGTGGTACTACTCTGGGCCAAGCAGAGGTCTTGGTCTATGGCTTTACTCCTTGACATGAAAACGGGTAAAACTGACGCCATAAAAAAACCGAATGCTTAAAATAAGGCCAGGAGTAATAAGGAAGGAATAATAGTTACAGTTTCATTCCCCACCCCTGGCCCAGACCTCCTAGTTATAGAGGACTCATAGTGGGTGTGGGAGGAAAACGTGATCAGCAACTTCCTGGGCTGCCGCTGAACTGTAAAGACTGGCTGGACCAGTGAGTTTCTGTAAGGCTGACTGATATATAATCTGTTCAGATTTTAAAGATCATAGGATCTTAATTGGGCTTTCCGAGTTTCAGGAAAAATAATCTTTGGACATCAACTCTGCCAAGGTGAAAGGGACAGGGGGAACAAAAGAGAGCAACATTGTGGTTCTTTCTCTGGAAGCTTCATTTTCTTCTCTATTTCTGTACCTTGCTCTGGAGTTTCCTTCCTACCCTTCTTTCTCTACTTTCTTTCTTCTTTCTAGTCAACTGCCTTTTTTTCTTTCTCTCATTCACCCCTGCAAAAGCCCAAAGCAGCTGACAGGCAAAGATGTATAGTCAACGTGGAGGAAAATACCTCAGTTTCTTTGTTTCCCAACACCATTAGTCCCTCATATCAGATTCCATCTCACCTCCACAAAAAGGGATACCAGTAACACTGAGAGTCAGCAACATTGGGATGGAAATTTTCAGGTAACCCCATTCTGATACATTGTCTCCTGTCCATACTGCACCTGAGACATGAGCAACATTAAAAAGAACATGGTAATTAGAGGAAAATAACACCAAGCTATATTCAGCGCATAACACCTAAGTTCCTTGTTTGTAACAGACAAACTAGGCACCAGTTAAAACTGTTATATCTGTCATCTCAGAATGTGCAAAAATATTTTTGTACACTTGAAAATACTTTGAAATACAGCTTACTTTGTTAAAAAAAAAGGTTATTTAATTTTGCTTTCAGTAGCATTTAAAAACAAAACAAAATAAAATGTCACATAATATATCAGATTTGAGATGTGCAAGAGGATCTATTTAGGGAAATAACTGACATAATTAGGAAAAGTTTTTGAAGGCAGACTGGACAGCACTAAAATGACCCACAAAGGGGAAAATCTGATTCCAAAAGACCTATGTAATCCCGGTAGTTTTTTCCATTCTCATCCTGGTGAATTTACAGTATTTGGGTTAACTTTTTTTTTTATGTTATGAGTATTTTAGGATAGCCTGGGGACAAGAAAAATCACTTTGAGAAGATGCCCCTTTGCTTTTTCACTTTTCTCTGCAATTTTATAGGATATGGAGCCACATAATTATTACACTAAACAGAATATTCATATATTTAAATATTTATGAACAAAAACTCAACATCATCATGTCCACTTGGAAAAGAAGGGTTACAAACATGTTTTTGTTTTTATGAATCACCTGGTTATTTTGTCAGCAAAGTCTGAATAATGTCTGTACATCATAAAACTGACTAAGTGATTTCTTTTATAACCTGCCGGGGGTGGGGGGCAGAGGAATATTGAAATTGGTGACCTCCTTATGTGAAGCGTTGAAGAACAAGCAGCCTTCCAGTAATTAAGTCAGGGGTGGGGAACCTTGAGGCCATGTGTGGCCCTCTAGGTCCTCAAATGAGGCCTTTTGATTGAATCCAAACTTCACAGAACAGGGGATAGCTTAGGTGGCACAGTAGATAGAGCACTGGTCCTGGAGTCAGGAGGACCTGAGTTCAAATCTGGCCTCAAACCAAATACTTGACACTTACTAGCTGTGTGACCTTGGGCAAGTCACTTAACCCCACTGCCTCACCAAAAACAAAAAAAAAACAAAAACAAAGTTCACAGAACAAATCCCCTTAATAAAAGGATTTGCTCTGTAAAACTTGGATTCAATCAAAAGGCTGTACCCAAAAATCTAGAAGGCCACATGTGGTCTCCAGGCCAAGGGGTCCCCACCACTGAATTAAGTCCTTAGAGATGACTTGGTAAAGCAGATGTTCAATAACGTTTGTTAAGTTAAAACACGTTTAGAAATGCTTTTAAAATTTCTAACCTGATTCTTTCAGAATTCACCTACCAGCTCCTCCCACTTTTAGGTCACCTTTCTCATATCCATTAAAATCCTTTCCAAGCAAAATTTCTAGGCAACCATTAAAATCTCCTTTTGGGAGTTAGTTACACCAAGGGCTGTGAGTAGTGGTTTTCAGGGGGATAGTGGGAGGGTTTTGTTTCCTAATAGTGCTGAGAGTGCTTTGCTTCTAGAGAGAGGTTCCTCAGGCTGAGACACTCAGCCCCCAGCTATTCTGCAGGCTTAAAATAGACCATCTGCTACTGGGCAAGGTCAGTGAGATCTGTATCTGCTGCTGCTACCAAACTGGGTTCTACTATAGACCCCATTTAGAAGATCCTGACTCCAAGCAGGGGGTAGGTCTATTTTAAGCCATAGAGCTCAGTGGGACAGCTGGGTAAGGAAAGCAAAGTCTGCTAAAAGTACAACTGCCCTAACTCCAAAACTCTAAGAGGCAGCTCCGGTATAAAAGCTGACCACCCCAGCAATGGAAAACATCCTGAAAATAACAAACTAAATAATTAAATACCTACTCACTTCCCTAGCTGCTACTTTTACACATCAGGCAGGATTAAGTAACTACATATTTCTAAGACTGGTGTTAATCCACCTTAGAGGGCTGAAATATATTTTAGAAAGCATCATCTCAATGTATGCTGCCAAAGGGCTTTTAAAAAAGATAGCATTACATGCTCTGTAAATAAACAGGACAGAAGAAAACCAGAGCAATGACTCTGCCTTTTTGGATCTGGAAAAAGAAGACAGCTCTTACCATATTTCTGTGATCCAGCAAAGAAAGAACGTGTCAACACAAAGGGTCTCTCCTCCCCTTTAGACCTCTGGATCAGTCCCTCTGCTGTAGCCATTTGCTGAAAAGTCAAAAGAGAAAAACTAGCAGAGGTCTCCTAATTCTAAAGAGTGAGTGATGTTTTCACCATTTAGCTCTTTAACAAGAAGCTTCATTCATTTAACTACTTTAATTTTTATTTTATTCCCTAGGTGAAAAGCACTGTTGTGCATAACAGCAGCAAACAGGCCAAAGGTAAGGAAAATAAACCTCTGCATTTAGCACAGTGCCTGGTACATAGCAGGCACTTAATAAATGTTTACTGAATTGAATACGGGATTAAATTGAATATGGGAGATACTACAGTAAATATAGGTTGACCTGGATAACAAGTGATTTTTTTTCAACTTTCCATCTATTAGCAAGCGTCCACAATCAAACAGTTAACAAGACATGATGAAAAGAATTTATAGGGGTGGGGAACTTGCAGCTTTGAGGCCAGATGTGGCCCTCTAGGTCCTACAGTTTGGCCCTTTAACTGAATCCAAACTTCACAGAACAAATCCCCTTAATAAAAGGATTTGTTCAGTAAAACTTGGACTCAGTCAAAAGGCCTCACTCAAAGACCTAGAAGGCCACATGTGGCCTTGAGGCCACAGGTTTTCTTATTTAAGAAACCTATGATTAAAAAGTTTTATGTATAATAAAAAACACCAATGCTTTATTGCTATTATTAACATTTATATAGGACTTTATTCACACAAACCCTATGAGGCACATTGTGTTAACCATTATTATCCCCATTTTACAGATGAAGAAATTGAGTAAGATATGCCAGTTATCACACAACTACTTGAACCCAAGTTTCTTGACTCTAAATCCAATACTCTTTCCATTATACCTTGATGCTGCTCTCAAATGAGAGAGGGAACAAAAACGAACCTAGGCTAATTTTACATAAGTCAGCACCAATGGAATTATCTGCTTTGCTAATTAAAATTGCTTACTCTTAGCTATTTTAATGAATTTGTATTTTTGACCATTTAAAAAGGGAGAAGAAGCTTCCACGCTTCTTTTCAACTAGACCCATGACATATGCCTTACTTCTTGGAGTAACTGTGGTACTACCATGCCACCTTGTGGCTGTGAGTTACAGAACTGTTACGGAATCAGCATTTTGGAGATTAAAGTCAACAAATATTTATTGAGTGCCTACTATGTGCCAGGTTCTGTGCTAAGTGCTGAGGATACAAAGAAAGGCAAAACAAAATAAATTAAAAAGAAACAAAACAACCCAGTCTCCACTTTCAAGGAGCTCACACAAATAAGATAAACACAGGATAAATCGGGCAGCTAAGGTGGTGTAGTGGATAGAGTGCTAGATAGATTCATCTCCCCGAGTTCAAATCTGGCTTCCGACCGAAACTAGCTCTGTAATCCTGGGCCAGGTACTTAACCCTGTTTGCCTTAGTCTCCTCATCCATAAAACGGGCTGGAGAAGGAAATGGTAAATCAGCCCAGGATCTTTGCCAAGAAAGCCCCAAATGGGGTCCTGAAGAGTTAGACATGACAGAGACAGCTCAACAACAACTACAAAACAGGACAAATTCGAGATCATCAACAGAGGGAAGGCACTAAGATGAAGGAGGACTGAGGAAAGCTTCTTGCAGAAGGTGGGCTCTAGCTGAGACTTGAAGGGAGCCAAGGGGTCCAGGGAGGAGGGACATGTGGCCAAGGAAAGCACTCGAAGTCAGGAGCTGCAGTATTTTGTGTGAGGAACAGCAAGGAGGCCAGTGCCACTGAATCTCAAAATATGAGCAGAGGAGTAAGACGTAAGAACATTGGAAAGGTGGGAGGGGAGACAAGTTATTGAGGCAGTTACAAGGTGAAGAATTTTCCGACGAAAAGCAGTGTTCTTTCTTTTCTTTTGGTATATCCTACCTGGTAAAAGCCATATATGTTGTGAAGGTCTCTGTGTTCCCAATTGCCATAATGAACAGCATTCTTCTCCATGGTCTGCTCTGGCCCTCTAAAGACAGAGGGCTCATTCATGTCATTCCATACAAAGAGGATGTCAGTGGAACCCTAGGAAGTAATGGTCACAGCCATGAAAACAGTAAGAGTGATGGCAACGGAGACAAACAATGATATAGAAGGTTTAGTGCCTATAAAATTTAAACTTACAACGGTTTCATTTTACCCCTCATCTTCAAGTAAAATCCTCAAATTTAGGGGGTTCCTAACCCTTTTTGTGCCATGGATCCCCTTTGGCAGTCTGGTGGAGCCAAAAACCCCATCTCAGAATAATGGTTTAAAAAAAAAATTGCAATTGAAGGAAATGCTAAGTGTCAATCAGAGGTTAATTAAAATAAAGTTGTAAATTTCTTTTCATAGACCCCCTGCAATCTATGGATCTCAGGTTAAGAACCCTTGCTCTACTGGGAAAATTATATTCCAGGTTAAATTATGTCTTCCACAGGCTTAGCTGTTAGTGTATCAAAAATTATCTAGCTATAGCCATTTCAGAAGGAGATGGCCTCATGCTATTAGACATAAAACACTGCATATTCTTGAATAAAGTTGAAAACAACTAATTGAGAAAACTCACTGTCAATTTGTAACACTATTGTTTTTTCCATATACTGAATTTCTGCAGCCTGACCCCCAACCATATCTCTTTCTTTGTCTCTGTTCCTTTTTTAAAAAAATAATACTGTATTTTTCCCCAATTCTATGTAAAAATAATTTTTAACATTCTCTTATTTTGAGCTCCAAATTCTATCCTTCCTCTTCTCTCCCTCCTCCCTGAGCCAGTAAGCAATCTGATACGGGTAATACACGTGCAATCAAGAAAAACATATTTCCAGATTAGTTATTTTGTGGAAGAAGACTAGAGCCAAAAAATAAAAAGAAAGAGAGAGAAATAAAAAAAGTGAAAGTATGGAGTCAGACTTCATCAGTTCTTTCTCTGGAGGCAGATAGCATTCTTTCATCAAGAGTCCTTTTGGATTGTCTTGGATCACTGTATTACTGAGAATAGTTAAGTCATTCACAGTTGTTCACTGTATTAACATTGCTGTTACTATGTACGATGTTCTGGTGTTTTTCACTTCACTTTGCATCAGTTCATATATGTCTTTCTAGGTTTTTCTGAAATCATCCTGCTTGTCATTTCTCATAACACAACAGTATTCCACTACAATCATATAACACAACTTGTTTAGCCATTCCCCAATTGATGGGCATCTCTTCAATTTCCAATTTTCAGCCAGCACAAAAAGAGCTGCTATAAATACCCTTGTATATCAGTCTCTGTTTTTACTTCTTGCTCCCCTGTGAGCACCACTTTTCACCCATGGGTCTCAGCTCGGCAATTCATATTTTGGTTATTAACTCTAGTTTATTGCACAATGCTTTTACTCCAAACCATGTATGAGGCCTTCCTTCACTTCCCTAAATAGGGAAGCTTCGCCCTGCACCACGGGAACTGCTTAGCCTGAATCCATGGTTGGGCTGAGAGGTAATGCACTTCAGTGATGTACTTACTGTATATTTCAATTCAATTCAATAAATACTTACTAGATACCTACTACGAGTTAGCACTGTAGTAGGCCCTGGGAGATATAAGGCTGAAAAATGACAGAATCTCAGACCTCAAGTAGCTTGTGATTTAACGAGCAGGAGTGGGGTGGCATGGGGATATCACATTACCTATGTGATATTGATAAAATACATAATCTCTCTGGGCCTCAGTTTCCTCAGCTGCAAAATGAAGGGATTAGACTAGATAATTTCTATGGTCTCTTCCAGCTAAGTCCTATAAACATGTACAAAAATTAGTAAGATACAAGGCAGGATGTAATAAAAGAAATAGAAATTAAGATGTGTGTTATCTACCAATATTATTGCTCAAGAGTCTACTATATAATGTGAGTAACTAGGGAGGGACAAAAGAGAATAAAAACTTACCTGATATTCAGAGAAGGCAAGAAGACCTGAATACCATTCTCGTACCTTGGGGTTTGTGAAATCCAGGTAAGAAGAGGCCCCTGGAGGAAGAGAATATCAGGTAGCATGCTAAGAACAAGAGTCATTATTCCAACCAGGCTGAGGAGTACTTGGGAAAAGCCCATTGATAGAGCTCTCCTACACCATATGTCAAAGCATGCATGGCAAAGAGAGAATTTTTGATGAGAAGTCAACATTACTGAAGTGAATGCTGAATCTCAGTGAGAATCCCTGGGCTCTGGGAGCACTGGATTTCCAGGAGAACATCACGGAATAGTGGGTATTCTAGGCAAGCGACACCTAGATGCATTTAGGTATAGAAAGGTGGTATAGCATGGTGTGGGGCGAATAAAGTGATTCAATGGACAGAGTGCCAGGCCTGGAGTCAGGAGGACCTGAGTTCAAATCTAGCCTCAGACACTTACTAGCTGTGTGACCCTGGGCAAGTCACTTAACCCCAACTGCCTCACCAAAAAAAGCAAAAAAAAAAAAAGGAAAGAAAAAAAGGAAGAAAGAAAGTAAGAAAGAAAGAAAGAAAGAAAGAAAAGAAAACCCCAAACAGGGTCACCAAGAGTCAGATATGACTAAAGAAGTCCGGTGAATAGAGTACTAGGCTCAGAGTCAGAAAGATCCAAGCTTGAATCCTGCCTTAGATGTGAGTTTTATGAGCCTAAGTAAAGCAGTCATCACATTTATTTGTGTATGTTTATGTAATGTAAATGTCACATGTAAAATGGGGATAATAATATTTGTAGTACTTATCTGACAGGTTTGTTGCATGGATCAAATGAGATAAAGTATGTAAAGTGATTTGCAAACTTTAAAGTATTATATAAATGTCAGCTATTATTATCTGGTTCATTGGAGTTCAGACAGAAACAGTTCTGGGAGAAGTCACTCTCTGGACATCATTCTTTGGTATTTTGGTATTAATAAAATAACTGCTTTTGTAGTTGAATAAAAGCATTACGATGTAAGTTCATCTTCTGCAGGCTCATGGAAAGCATCTTCTAAAACTCTAGTAGCAGCCAGTATCTCGTCCTGTTTCTTTCGTTGATGTTCAGTTGTGTCCAACTCTTGGTGACCTCATTTGGGGTTTTCCTGACAGAAAACTGGACTGGTTTGCCATTTCCTTCTCCAGCTCATTTTACAGACGAGGAAACTGAGGCCAACAGGGTTAAGTGACTTGCCTGGAGTCACACAGATAGTAAGTATTTGAGACCAGATTTGAACTCAGATCCTCCTCACTCCAGGCCCAGGGCTCTATCTACTACACCATCCTGTTTCTACATGATTTTAATTAGTATTATTTTGGGAAGTCTCTTTGTTCCGCTAAGCCCATTTCCTATCTGTAAAGTTGGAGGGTCAGACTTGATAGACCTTCCAGGCCCCGTGATCCCAAGATCTCATTCTTCTCATCTTTATGATTTGTATTATCATTGTTCTATTACAATGTTCAGTAATGTTGGGTAAAAAAATCAGAGTAATAAACAAATAAAATGTTAACTTACCAGGCCAACATATACCCTCAAAGTCTTCACCTTTGCTATTTTTCACAAAGTAGCCCTTGTCTTTCGCCTGAGAGTACAGTGAATACATGGGATCAACCTTAATATGGGGATCAGAAATGACCACACCTGTCAATACAAAAAGATTTGAATATCTGGTCAATATTGGACACACCATGTTTATAAATGGGGACTGAGGAGTTGACCAGCACCTCGGGTTTCTGGGCTTATCGGCTTATGTCCTCTCATAAAAACTTGTAAATGTGTTATACTACTGGTATAGAAGGTTTCAAAACCAGAAGCTAGCTGCTTTTGAGCTTAGCAGGAAGCGGTTACTGAATTCTGTCTGTCCTATGCTTATGGTAATTGAAACTGACAAAGAAACACACCAACAGTCCAGCCTACGCTCAATGGTCTTTGCTCCCTGTTTCTGCTTATTTAATATTGTTCCCTGGCAGTCTGGCGCAACCTATGGACTCATTCTGAGAATGTCTGTGGCCTGCATATGTAATTAAAAGAAATACAAAGTTTCAGTTAAATGTTAGGGAAAATAAAGACGAAATTTTTTTTCTCTTCCAAATACACTATCATCTGAAATCTACGCACAGACCCCTAAATCTATCCATTGCTAAAAACAACAACAAAAAAAGAGTGGTTAAAACTATCCTAGGTTAAGAAACCCTGGTCTGGGGGCTGCTCTTGGATTCTCCTCTAGTACAATAATGTGGCACAGCCCTCTCGTGAATCATTTGGTGACCAATTATTTACACAGCACTTAGCGTATTAAAAGCTAGGACAGGCAGTGGAACAATACAAAAAGGGAGAGTTCCTGTCTTCTTTGAACTTTTGGGGAGATACAATGCACACAAACTAAACAAATTAAGAAATCTTTAAGCAAAAATCAACAAATTCAATTTAACAAATACTTAGCTATTATGTATGAATTAATATATACCATGACCTGATGCAAATCATTTTCTGTATTATTTCCATAAAAACATAACGCTATTTCATAACATAGAGTACAGACTACACTGAGCGAATGCGATATGACTTTTACCTCTTTTTCCTTCTTCACCCCTTTGAAAGTGTCTACTGTGGTCCTTAAGGGATTATGCTTACTCTTTCTTCATGAGAAGTCAGTCTCTTACATAATTTATGGCATTATCCAGAAAAACTCATAAACATATCAATGTTTTGTTAGCCAATTAAACTATTGATTAACAAGGTATGAACTGTTGAAGAAAGCACTAAAAATGCAAATACAAAATAAAAGTGTCATACAGTAGAATGAGTGTTGAGCTTGGACTCAGAAGATCGGGCTTGAGCTCTGATCACTGCACTTTTCATGCTTGTCATCTATCAAGTGGAGGTGATGAGATCTGTACTACCTACACCACAGGGTTGTGGTGACCCTCAAAGGGGATGATGTACGTGTGTATGTGTGTGTGTGTGTGTGTGTGTGTGTGTGTTGTTGTGTCTGACTCTTCATGATCCCATTTGTGTTTTCTAGGCAAAGACACTGGAACGGTTTGCCATTCCCTTCTCCAGCTCATTTGACAGATGAGGAAACTAAAGCAAAAAGAGTTAAGTGACTTGTCAGGTCACAGAGCTAGTAAGTGACTGAGGCTGCATTTGAACTCAGATCTTCCTGACTTTAGCCCCACTGCTCTATCCCTATGCCACCTAGTTGCCCTGTGTATATATGTACACTTATAAATAAAAGACCACAGATTTAGATCTGGAAGGGACTATATTATTACCAGAGTAACAAGAAAGTTGATAAAGGTTGAAGAGGAACACTTAACTTTCTAATATATTTCTCTGTTTTTTTTATAGCAGCTCTTTTTGTGGTGGCAAAGAATTGGAAATTGAAGGGATGCCCATCAATTGGGGAATGGCTGAAGTTGTGGTACATAAATGTAATAGAGTATTATTGCACTATAAGAAACGATGAGCAGGCAGACTTCAGAAAAACCTGGTAAGACTTATATGAACTGATGCTTTGTGAAATGAGCAGAACCAGGAGAACATTTTCATAGTAATAGCCACACTGTGCAATGACTGATTTTGATAGACTTGGCTCTTGTCAGCAATGCAAGGATCTAAGACAACTCCAAAAGACTCAGGATGGAAAAATGCTATCCACATCCAGAGTCTGAATAGAGTCTGAACTATGAAGTCTGAATGCATATGGAAGCATACTATTTACTCTCCTTTTCTTTTGTTATTTTATTTTATTGCTTCATTCTCATGATTCCTCCCACCAGTTCTAATATTTCTTTACATCATGACTAATGGGAAAATATTCTTAATATGAATGTATAAGTAGAGTCTCTATCAGACTGTATGCCATCTTGGGGACAGAGGAGGAGAGGCAGAGGGAGAAAATGTAAAACTTAAACTTGTCATGGAAGTGAATGTTGAAAACTAAAAACAAATAAATTATTAAAAATATATTTATTTCTCTGTTTTTTGAGTGTTGTGTTCTTAAGAACTCTAATTAATGCAAAAAATAATTAAGATTCCAGAGAACCAATGATGAAGCATGTAACCTACCTCTTGACAAAAGAGGTAATGGACTAAAGGCATGGAATAAGACATACATTTTCAGACATGGCTTATATGGGAATCTGCTTTGCTTAATGATTCATATATGTTATAAGGGTTTTTTTTTAATTTCTTTTTTTCCTCCCAGGGGATGAGGTGAAGGAAGGCAGGACTAGTGACAGGGCTACACTAAAAAAGAAGAAAAAGAGAAAGAGGATCTTTGAATTATTTTTATTTCATACATAGAAAGAAGACCAGAAGGAAGCACAGAGAAACAGCACAGCTTTGAAAGTTACATGATGACTTTATGGTACCCTTAAAAGGAAAAGAAAGCACTATATAATAAATTGGTGGTTTCATGGACAACTCTTATTTTTCCTGTTTTACTTTGTATATGGAAACTATCATTTTATTTGGTGTTAGCTAAACAGATTAAGGGGGTCAGTTGTTCACCCATCTCCCTACAGTAAAACTGGTAATGAAGCTTACTTATACATGTCCAGTCTTCCTGAGGATCTCTGTGCTTGCTGTGATCTTTTGGAAACAGCCCCTCTTTCTTTCCAGTTTTTACCCCATGGAGGTTTTTCAGAAGTTATACCTGCCTGACCCTTCATTGTAATCAGATGATCCTTCCTTCATCTGAGAGACAGAAGCCAATTATTTCTAGCTGTCCTTTCCTTCCCAGTCAATGACAGGGCCATGAGTTGGAGTGGTGCAGTGGATAGAGCGTGGGCCTGGAGTCAGGAGGATCTGAGTTCAAATCCAGTCTCAGATACTTACTGTGTGACCTTAGGCAAGTCACTTAACCCTGTTTGTCTCACTTTCCTCATCTATAAAATGAGCTGGAGAAGGAAATGGCAAACCACTCCAATATCTTTGTCAAGAAAACCCGAAATGAGGTCACAAAGAGTTGGACACAACTGAAATAAGTGAATAATAACAACATAATGGAAAAATAACAGTACCTGCCACAAGTCTGATTTGAAGAAGCATTCTGTAAACTATGAAATGTGAGATATTATTATTTGTCTCTCTCTCCTCCCAGTCTATTTTTTTTCCCTATCTCTTCTCTTATTTCCTCTCTCCACTCGTATCTCAATTAGCAGGGCAGCAGTATCTGACTATTCTACCACTCCCCTAGCATCCTTTTTTCAGCTTTCCTTGGCTAGAAGAGGTAGTTGAACTCCACCAGAGAAGCAGTCCTAAAAACAGAGGGGTTAGAATCCCTGACAATCTTAGGGCCTTCTCTGGTGGAAGATAACTTTCTCTTTACCTTTCTATTTTCCCTTCTCCTTTTCTTTATGTTTCTTTCTCTTTGTTACCATATTTTTAATATTTTTTTACAGAGATCTATAACTACTTCCTTCTTTGACAACTTCTGTCTCTCTGTGTATTTCCCCCCCATGATATGTATAGATTTAAAACTCTGTAATTATGTTAAATTAAATTGTGTTGAATTAAAAAAAGGTGTGAAAAAGTGGTTTTGCTTACCTTGCGTTTTTTGCTCTTAATCAGCTCTTGCATCCTCTTAGGATTTGGAAATTTCTTTTTGTCCCATGTGAAGTACCGTTTGCCCTCAGTATGTTCTATATCCAGCCATATGACATCATAAGGAATGTCATGGTCATCAAACCCAGCATCCACAGCCTTGACATCTTGTTCATCATCGTAGTTCCAACGACACTGATGGTATCCCAAGGAGAAGAGAGGAGGCAGGGCTTGGGTGCCTATTATAAAAGAAGATGGGGACCATCAAGTCAAGAAACATAATGATCAACCTCAAAACACATTTACCAACCACCTGTTTGCAAAAGGTGCTATGAGAATGAAAGTCTGACCCTCAACCTTACCTGCTGGCTTTATCTATACAGAGAAAGAAAAGGGTCAATTAGCCCAATTAAAACCTTCATTAGCATTTCCTGTGTCTCTGAAATAATGCAAATCATGGAATTAATCACCTGGAAACCATTTTTCTCCCAGTGCTATGGGGTCTACTGTGAATACTTATTAGCTTCTTACTTGTTTACAACCCAATTTCACTTATGTTAAGAACTAGTTTTTTTTTTCAGATGCCAGATTAATTTGTATGACTCAGTCACTGGTAAGCAACTTTTAAAGGAGTTTTGAATATAAAATTATTTCTAATATATGTAGCCCACATCTCTTTTAAGTTTCCTAGCAAATCTAATTGATGAAACTGTTCACGTTCACACATATATTTTGTATATATTTATGCATATCTCTGCATATATATTTATATCAAACTATACATGCATGTACAGGAGATTGGTATAAGCAGGCTGTAACACACAATAAGGCACAATGATGAAGTTGTCAAGACACTATTAGGAGACACCCTATTTTCCAGAGCTAAGGCCCAGCAAGCAAGATGTGCCCTTAGCTTGGCATAACAACAAGCCCCTGTGCTTGTAAGAACCAAGTGAACCAAATCAGGTGCCCTGCTGCTGCTGAGAGCAAAAAGTCCTGGCCACACTAACCCTGGTTTTGCATCCCGCTGAACAACCACAAGGTCCAATGACCCTAACAACTTGGAGACTGTTCACTCAAGACCCAAGAACACCTGTGTTGCTGTCCAGCCGTTTGTGATTTTCATGCTTAAATACCCTACCTCTGCCACAAGCGGGTGAGCCCTGCTTCTTAGGAAGGACTTTGCTTGCAAGTGGTTTCCCTCACTTGAAATTAAACTTCTGTTTGATTCCTGACCCTCCTGTCTCTAGCCTTCCCTGTCTGGCTCTGGCCATCCACAGGTTAGAGGCCAGTTCGATCCGGTTGACAAAGTACAATAATTGATGTCATCAAAGAAATGTATGACTGAAAAAGCACATGGATGGGTCATTTGTTGAGAACAAGAAATAATTGATGAGTGGTCCACATGCTCCAGTAAGGAAGTCTAGCAACACGCTGGGTAGGACAGCCTTGGCAAACTTTATGGGAGGCTATGAACAAGAGTCATACAAGATAGGCAAGCATGGATGGCTTGTGATCTGTATCACTGAAGTCAATGGCCATATCAGTGAGATTACAAATTCATCTGAGAATTTGAGCATATAGACATAATATATGCATACCTTATGCAATTGTGTACAATTGTAGATACATATGTATATATATATATACACATATGTATATTTGCCTTCTATGTATAATTATATATTGTTATCAATTATATATCACTATAATGCATAATTATATATAAATGATATTTTAATATATTCACCACACATATGTGCAGTTAATTGCCTTTTAATTTCCAGATGAAATCTCTTCAGAATTGAATGATCTAAACTTGAAGTTATTTAAGAAAGGCAATGGTAGATGTTGAATGAGGGCTTTTATTGGTATTCGAAGAGGCATCCTGCTGCTAAGGGATCAGTAAGAATTGAGACTAGGGTGTTTTAGAGAAGCATTTCTTAAACTGTGGGTCATGACCCCATATGGGGTTGCAAAAAATTTGACAACAGTAAAAGGTTTCTGAATGTGCAATGACCAAAAATTAATTAAAAATCAAATGCATAATGCATTTGAGGTGTTTCTGGCAGCACATGTGTGGAAAAAACTTAAGAAGCTCTGTTTTAGAGTACAAGAGGGTTCAGCCAGCACCTAGTATTAAGCGTAGGGAATTCCCCTGAGACACTGCCCAAAAGGGGCTAGCTGTTGAAAGCAACTACATTGAGTAACATCAGACAGAAGCAGCACTTTTTGCTGGAATACTAAAGAGAGCCAGATACTGGAAGTGGCTTAATGTACCCTAGACTGAACTGATCTATACTTGGAGGGCAAAAAAAAAAATGTATATTGACAGTTTGTAGAGTGAGTGCAAAGGGAAATCTGGTTGAGGCCGGGGTGGGGGTGGGGGTGGGGGGATACAGTGATGGCTGTGTTACCCACAGCATTTGGTCCTGGGTCTCCTCTTGTGATATGTAGGCCTAGTCATACGTGTCCAGGGTCACAGCTTATAGACACCACTATGGTATGGTATAGACCTTAGAATCCACACATAATACACCTTACCATTGGAGAAGTGAAGACGAAAGCTCTGGTCACACCCAGTCTAGGGATGCCTTCCTGAATTATATCAGCTCGACTCATTCCCGATTTTTTACCTCTGCCCAGAAGTGGACACCAGAACTTTGTGCCTCACACAAAGGAGTCCAGAGTATATCATGTTTTAATTTTTTTCCTATGACCTTTGTAAGTGTTCTATTTCTCTTCTAAAAATATCTGACCAAATTAATATTTATTAGATCAAAAAATAGGAAGAGGTCTTAAGACATTTGTTCTAATACCAGTAGATATTACTTACACTCCCTCAAAAATACCAGTATTGAGTTTCATTATCTTCTGCCAATCTAATCCAGATGCTGAGTACAAGATGAGTTCCACACTGACCTGATTCTGCTGGGTAAGTTGCTTATTATCTGGGATTTGATTTACCCTCATTAAAAATGGGAAATAGGGACAGCTAGGTGGTATAGTGGATAGAGCACCGACCCGGAGTCAGAAGGGCATGAGTTTGTATCTGGCCTCAGACACTGACTGGCTCTGTGACCCTAGGCAAGTCACTTAACCCCAATTTCCTCTGAAAACAAAAAAATGATAACAAAAAAGGGGAAATAGGGATATACTGGCTTATTAATGAACCTATTAAACTAATATAGACTAATAATGCAATATTAATCACACATGTTTAAATTTCAATAAGTGTAACATGTGGTACAAAGGTACAATTCAATGAAGATTGTAATAAAAGCAAGTTTGGGATAATGATCATTTAAGAAAACATCAGAGTAAGTCTAGTAGCTAATAGAACATCAAAAATGAGGGGATTTTTAGAGATTAGGGATTAAAGCAGGGCCAGAGGTCCAAGACAATTTTTAACTTAGCCGAATAAGCCCAAGGCCCACTAAAGGAGAGGGAGAATGATAACTCCTTAAAGGGTGGGATTATGTCCTTTATATATTCTGTATGGTAATTTATGGGCAGCTAGGTGGCATAGTGAATAAAGTACAGGGCCTAGAGTCAGGAAGACCTGAATTCAAATCCAGTCTCTGACACATACTAGCTGTGTGACACTGGGCTTAACCCTGTTTGCCTCAGTTTCCTCATCTGTAAAATGAACTGGAGAAGTGGCAAACCACTTCATTATCTTTACCGAGAAAAGCCAAAATGAGTCATGAAGAATAGGACATGACTGAAAAAGACTAAAACAAAAAATGGTAATTCATAAATGTTATATTTGCTAGTAGAAGAGGTAAGGGAGAGGGATTACTGCCCATAACTCCAGGAATGTAAATGAATTGGAGGCCATCACTAATTTACCCAAATACCTGTAAGTACTGAATACTGTTTGAAGACTGCAGCAGGGGTTGGTCCCATTAATAGAAAGACATCAATGATTCCACTCTCTGACATCCAACGTACATCACTTCGAGCCCTGACTTTCTGCTTCGCCAAAACTGAGCCTCTTGGGGACAACTTGTGCTGGAAAAGGAACCAAGTGAAACTCTAAAAACCTTTTCTCAACCATCTTTAAAAAAGCACAAATCAGTCAGGATAGAAATGACCTACCAACCCAAACCCAAGCAACTGTCAGCTTCTTTAGTGGGTACCATGCACATTTTTACGCTATTGTCTAATCTAAGGCTTCTTAACCAGCTGTTTCTGAACTTGTTTTTTAAGTATGTTGATCAGGGTATTTAAATATAATTGTTTTCTTTCGTATCCCATGTATTTTATTTTATGTATTTTAAAACATTATTCCTAGAACGGGTCCATACGCTTCACCAGACTGCCAAAGGGGTCCATGACATAGAGGTTACTCCCCACCCCATTCCTCTTTACCTGCCTTAGTTGAATGTATATGGAGAAGCATTAATAGTTTCCACTACAAAGACAATAGCTGTTACTACAGAGAAATAATTTTGCTTCACTGAACAGCTAGGTGACATAGAAGACAGAGCGCTAGACTTGAGGTCAAGAAGACGAGTACAAATCTAGCCTCAGATACTTACTAGCTGTGTGACTCTGGCCAAGTCATTTAACTGCTCTCAGCCTCAGTTTCCTTTTCTATAAAATGGGGATAACAGCATCTACTTCACAGGGTGGTTGTTGTGAGGATCAAATGGGATAACGCATGGAAAGAGTGTTGCAAACCTTAAAATGCTAGCTATTATCACAATGGATATTACTCAGCAAACCTCAAAGGGAGTCATTATCCAAAACTTACTTGTACCGTAGGTTGTGTGTTGATTTCCACCAGCGTGTCTGAGGCATTCAGCCAGAAAATTCCCACAGTTCTGTCTAGTTTGTGTGCTAGGAGATAGGGTATAGAACCATAAATACCCAATTTGTCATGTAACTTATACCCACAGACATCCAGGTTGTAAAGTCGGTAAGCCTCAGCATCACTGAAATGAACAAACACAGTCACAGATTTATTATTAATGAATGTAATGTCCTCAGCTCCCACCCATGTTACTTGCATTTTAAGGCCTAACTCAAAACCCACTTTCTTTATGTGAGCCCACTCTGATTACTACCAGTACAAGGGATCTCTTCCTCTAAATTCCAAGAGCATTTACTACTTATAACACTGTTTTGGCACTTCTCATTACTGTCCTGTCTTAGAAGTTACCTTCTCTCTCTCTCATTATATTATATTGATTTTAAGTATATGATATATTCTATATACACACACACATACAAACATGCATACACATACATACACACACATACATATATATATATACACACACACACACATATACATACACACACATATACATGGAGACAGAAGGAGAAGGAGGGAGGGAGGGGGAGAAAAAGTAACTTAAAGGACAAAGCAGTAGTGAGAAGTGCCAAATCAGTTTTATAAATAGTAAATACTCTAGGCATTAAATACATACACATACATATATACTAAGGTGCATATATATATATATATATATATATATATATATATACATATACATACACACACGTTATACATACACACATACACACACATATATACACATTATTTGTGTATATATATGTCTCTGTATATATGTTGCACATACATATGTGTGTATATGTATGTATATATATGTATGTATGTTTTAACTTGTAACTAGATCATAAATTCCCCAAGAGCAGAGACAGTATTGAACAATTCTTTGCATACGTTATGGCACTTGCCACTTGGCACAGTAGCCTGCCAATAGTAGGTGAATAACAAATTTTTACCTAGTAGTACTAGTAGCTTTACAGTTTAAAAATATCCCAACTGACCTTAAAGTAAATCTCTGAAGGGAACCTCATTTAACAAATGAGAAAACAGAGGCTCCCAGAAATTAAATGGCTTGCCCAAGGTCACACAGCTAGTAGGTGGCAGAATCAGAGCTTGACCTTAGTTTTTCTGACTCCAAATCTAGTCTTTGTTTTCATCATACAACAGCTGTTGATTAGCGAATGATTACCCACAGGCAAAAGAAGATAAATGACCCCCCTGCCAGGTATATGAAGTTCTGAGAGCAAAAGGACCCTGGTACAAGGATCTGAGTGGGTCAAAGGAGTCTTGTTTGGGAGAACGGCATGGCTCATTAGTACCACTAAGATTTCTAATGTCAGCATCACAATATACCAAATAAACCCTATCTCCTGGGCTCGATAGCCTGTCAGACTCTATTTCTACACAGATACCTGGTTAATTGTCTAGTTACCATAAAAGCTCTGTTATCTCTATCATCTATTTACCAACGTTGTTAATTTGGAGTAATCATACCTTTAGTCTCCCTTCTGACTTGTTCTTAGACTAAGTCCCCTGTCCTGACAGCATGTTTTACTTTAGAAGGCCATTCAAGGGAGTCAGATGACAGAGGTTAATTTTCAGTATTGATTTAAATGTCCCTCTGGCATAAATGGATGAGGGAGAGGGATGGTGGAGTTGGAGGTACAAAGGCTGTATTTATGTTAGCACTGGTTCAGAAATCTTAACTAAGTCCTGGTCTTGAGAATTCTTCCCCAAACCAGAGGTTCCTCCTGATGAACTCTTGCTTTCACTTTACCCAGTGTTTTTGAGCTGATGGGTCTCTGCATGCTGGGGTATCCCGTAGAGGTGCTGGAAACCATGCAAGGAGAAGTCAAGTCCAATAGAGCTGGGGCCTGGAGAAACAAAAGCCTGAATGAGTTGTTCCTCCAAACAGCACATTTTAAAACCGAGGCACAGTAAGCTGGACCAGGGAAATGATAAGCACAGGGACAACAACAACGTGAAACTGAGTGTTGTGTAATTATGATGAACAAGTCTGGCCCTACAGATGAGAAGATGCACCTCCTTCACTTCTTTATGGAGGCAAAGGGCTACGGATGTGGAACGATGATGTCTAGACGTGGCTGTCTTTTGGTTAGCTTTGCTGAATTGTTTTTTTCTCCTCTTTTTTTTTTGGTTACATTACAAACAATGACTCTCTAGGTAGAGGAGAGGGGAAACTGTATTTGGAAATGCAAGTGATGTAAAAAACAAAATATCTTCATAACAATTAAGCAGATCCACAGTTGTCAATGACCAGAGGTCCAGGATAGAGTAACCTCGTGTTATTTAATAACAAGCTCAAGCACAGCTTGATGATGCAGTGGATACAATGTGGGCCTAGAGTCAGGAAAACTCCTCTTCAAGAGTTCAAAACCGGCCTCAGACACGTATAGCTGTGTGACCTCGGACGTGTCATTTAATCCTGTTTGCCTCTGTTTCCTTATCTGCAAAATGAGCTGGAGAAGGAAATGGTAAACCACTCCAGTATTTTTGCCAAGAAAACCCCAATGGGTCTTGAAGGGTCAGACATGACTGAAAAACGACTAAAATCAAGTACACTAGTTTAGAAACCAGAAGACTTGACTCCTAGTCATAAACTGGTCATTCATTCTTTCATTAAACCCTTACTGAACACCTACTATGGAGCAAAAAAGGTAAATGAGTAAGACATGGTCCTGGTCACTAATTAGCTGTATGATGTTAACCAATAATCCTTTAAGAAATAAACTTTTTCCCTTTGACCCAGCAACAGCACTTCTAAGGCTGTGTCCCAAAGAGATCATAAAAATGGAAAAAGGATCCACGTGTACAAAAATATGTACAGCAGCTCTTTCTGTGGTAGCAAAGAATTAGAAATTGAGAGGATGCCCATCAATTGGGGAATGGCTGAATAAATTGTGGTATATGAATGTAATAGAATACTATTGTGCTATGAGAAATGATGAGCAGGCAGACTACAGAAAAACCCGGAAAGATTTGTATGGTCTGATGCTGAGTGAAATGAACAGAACCAGGAGAACGTTGTACACAGTAATAGCCATGTTGCGCGGTGACTAATATTAATGCACTTAGCCCTTCTCAGCAATGCAGGGATCTAAGACGCCTCCAAAGGTCTCATGATAGAGAATGCTATCCACATTCAAAGAAGGAACCATGGAGTTTGAATACAGATTGAAGCATACTATTTGCTATTTTTTCTTCTGTTTTGTTTTGTTTCCTCTTTCTGGTAGTTCCTCCCATTGGTTCTAATTCTTCCTTACAACATGAATAATGTGAAAATATGTTTAACAGGAATGCATATGTAGAGCCTATATCAGCTTGTGTGCCATCTTGGGGAGGGAGGTGGGGAAAGAGGGGGAGAAAAATTAAAAACTCAAAAGCTTATGGAAGCGATTGTTGATAAATCAAAATAATAAAAAAAGAAATAAACTTTTTGTTTTGATTCTTTTGGATAGAAATATTTTAAAAATACATTATATATCCTCTTGTCTTAGTGACCTGGGCATAATGACTACATTTAGTATGACATCAGAGCAATCATTATAATCAGTTATTGTTGGGGCTGGCCTAGATGAAATTTGCAGCTGTTATTTAGTTGTTTTTCAATCATGTCTGACTCTTTGTGACCACATTTGGAGTTTTCTTGGCAAAGATACTGGAGTGGTTTGCCATTTCCTTCTCCAGCTCATTTTACAGATAAGGAAACTAAGGCAAACAAGGTTAAGTGACTTCCCAGGGTTAAGGAACCACCATTTTAGAGTACCTGGAAGGCCTTCCTGACCTCCCCTCAATAATCCTTTCATCTTACTGTTGATGCCTAAAATCCCCTAGGCTAAAGCAGATAAATGACCATCTTGGCAGGCATAAGAAGTACTAAGTACACAGGGTTCTGAGTGGGTCAAAGCAGTCTTGTTGGGTAGGGAGAGTAGACTATCCTTCTATAATTGGTACACAGGAATTCACAGGTGAGGAAACTCCCTCTCCTAACTCATTCAAGGCTTTAATACAATACAAGGCTGTGCTGCTCTGGATAAAGATGCACTGGGATTGGGGATAATGTGTGGACCCCAGAGTAAATCCTGGAATTGGCTTTTTTTTTTGGTGAGGCAATCGGGGTTAAGTGACTTGCCCAGGGTCACACAGTTAGTGTCAAGTGTTTGGTCTGAGGCCGGATTTGAACTCAGGTCCTTCTGAATCCAGGACTAGTGCCATGACTGACCCAGCAGAACTGAATTTTTCAGGGGTGCATTAGAGGTATACCAAGCTTCTAAGTCAACCATCCTACAAAATTAGAGATAAAATACATTCCCAGATACTCTCTCTCTCTCTGCTCTGATTTCCTACAGCACTGTGTTTCCCACTGATTCTGGTACTCACTGACATGCTATCTTAAAGCGTTCACCAATGTCTACAAATATGTCTTGACTTTCATATAAGACTGGGAGCTCCTAGAGGGCAAGGGCTGAGGTTCATAGTTCTAAATCTCCCATTAAGTCTGGCATAGTTCTAGGATCATGGACAGTGCTTAATAAATGCCTATCAAATGGGACTGTTTAGAGGCAGGAGATCAAAATCTGAGTGGTTGTTTTGAAGAAAGCCTCTTTTCCGTTTGCCCATATTGGTAGCTTAATAACAAAAATGATGAATTCAGCATTTATTTAATTTTTAATGTGAATAATTCACTGAACACACTGTCAATTAATGTCAGGATTCCTTATCTGATTTATGAACAAACCTACCAATGACAAATAAACAAGACTGAAGAAGCTAAGCAGCTTGAGAGACACTGAGCTATACTGTAAAGACAATCTTAACACTATGTCAATCTTGGTTTTACCATTGGCTTTGATATCCACAAATTTGCCAAATTTCTCTTTCCAAAGACCCAGATCATCTTGACTTTCCTGTACAAATAAAAGTAAAGAAATCAATGTTATAAATTATAACAATTATTGTGATTATTATAGCATACTTTAGGTTTCAGGAGAATTTGGCTGAGAAAACAAGCTTATCTTTAAGGAAGTTGATTAGTCAAAGACCTCAACATATAATCAAATCAAGCAAGCGATCTACACAGTGGCAGTGGTATATAATTTGTAGCATATATTCAAGAATATATATGATCCATTATATCTAAACAGTGAACAAATTTTCAACCATGAGCCATCTAGGAACCATAGCTGATATGCTGAATATTACATGAGCCAAATATATGAAAATGCTTTGAAAGACACGAAGTACTTTAAAAATACATAACCATTACTTTCCCTTTTCCTCATCCTATATTATCATGACAAGCTAGAAATTTTACAGAGAGTAAGTTTTGAGTCAAATAACATAGCCCTCTTTTGGGACACCCCTTGGGGAAAAAAAAATCTGTTTGGACTCAGCTAAGCTCATTTAAGACCTAGTAAAAGGTTTCCCGAGCATTGGTTAGATCTTCTAAGGAAGAGACATGGAAGCAAACATAGAAATCACATGTGAAGGGATTCAGACTTTTACTCAGGGTTGTGCTGGAGCCTGCTCATACTAACTTGTGAGAGGCGATTGTTAAATTTAAAGTGTGAGTATTTATGGCTTGGAAAGAGGCAAACACTATAGGGGTTTGATTTATTGTTTTGCTGATTGTATAGACTTAAGAAATCATGGAGGAAATGTTAATAATGCAAATTACACTTAAAGGTACACCACGTGTACACCTCCCCACCCCAGCCCACAAACTGGTTGCTAAACATTTATCAGTATACCCCTTCCTGTACTTTCGGAAGGAGAAGCAGTAACAGTATCTAAGTAAGTTATTTTTCCCTTCTCCTGGCAGCCACGGCTGCTGGCTTTTTTGTTCAGTTGTTTTCAGTCATGATCCATTCTTGGTGACCCCATTTGGGGTTTTCTTGGCAAAGATACTGGAGTGGTTTGCTATTTCCTTCTCCAACTCATTTTACAGCTGAGGAAACTGAGGAAAACAGGGCTAAGTAATGTGCCCAAGGTCACACAGCTAGTAAGTGTCTGAGGCCACATTTGAACTCAGGAAGATGAGTCTTCCTGACACCAGGCCCAGTGCTCCATCCACTGTGCCACTGCTAAGCCCTCATAAAGATGGGAATATGCCCAGCTCCCTATGAACGCTGTAAATAGAGTTTAGGTGCATCATTTTTGGAACTCGGGCCATTTATCTTGCATAATTTTATAGCTCTCTCTTTTTTTTAAATCATCAGGTATGTTTCTTTAAAATGATTTTTGTGTCCATTTTTAAATTGTTTCTTCAAAAGAAAAGCTTCCATCAGGCTGAGACTCTATCTTCTTTAGTAGTTTTACAGTAAACCTGATGAAATACTGTATTCTTAAAGGCTATCAGTAGTTGCCCCCCCCCCACTGGGTTAGCAGGTGCTCTTAAGCAGGCAAGGGTACCTTGGCTGTTTTTATGTGCCCTAACACGGCAATAACAAAAATCCCTTTCCTTGTGCAAAACTGGTACTTTGACCACGTAAAGGCCGTTTAGCCATGGCATGATAGGTAGGTGTAGTAGTGGTGGTTGTCTTCCCACCTGACCACTGTATTCCCATGGTCTTCCAGAGGAGAAATAATTTAGCATATCATTAGCATATAATTTACATACTATTGGCCCCTTTTTATGGTCTAGAGACAGCATGTTACTGTTGATAGAAAGCTGGCCTTGAAGCCAGGAAGACCTGAGTTCAAATTCTACCTCTGAAGTACATTATCCCTATTCTTTCTAGGGGTTCTGCTTTCCAGTAAAGTGCTGTATTATTGGATAAAAGGACAGAATCCTGGGAATTAAAAGGAGAAATTTGAGGGCATCATGGTACCTCTACACATAGGAACCTAACTTCCTCATATTTGCTCTTTGATGATAATTATTAAGAACGTGAGAATTAAAAAAAAAAGATAGCAATAAATAGCTCAAGCCAGATTACCTGGTGAGGATCAGTGGACTCATCTTCCTCACTTTCGGTGGAAGGTCTGTTTTTAAATAAAAAAATTAAGAAAGTTGTTTTATTTGTTATAAATTTGAAAATTTTAGGTTTTAGGAAAGATTCTCTTGATTTCCTTTCAAATTTTTTTTTTTAGGCAATTGGGGTTAAGTGAGTTGCCCAGGGTCACACAGCTAGTAAGTGTCAAGTATTTGGTCTGAGGCTGGATTTGAAGTCAGGTCCTCCTGACTGCAGGGCTGGTGCTCTATCTACTGCACCACCTAGCCTCCCCCTTCCTTTCAATTTTGAGATCCTACCAAGCACATGTTTTAATTTTTTCTTGTTAACTTACTTTAAAAATTATGGTTTTTTTTGTTGTTGTTGTAGGGCATGGAAGAGAGCTTTTGTTCCTGATGGTTTATATTTTTTCCCCCACATTTACTTAAATCATTTTCAATTTATTTTGCTAAAATGGCAGAGGATAGAAAATGATGAAGGCAGACTGCTGCCTGAGAGAGAGAGAGAGAGAGAGAGAAGAGAGAGGAAGGGAGGGGGAGAGAGAGAGAGAGAGAGAGAGAGAGAGAGAAGAGAGAGACAGAGAAGAGAGAGAGAAGAGAAATAAGAGAGAGACAGAGAAGAGAGAGAAGAGAGAGACAGAGAAGAGACAGAGAAGAGAGAGGAGAAGAGAGAGAGAGAGACAGAGAGAGAGAGAGAGAGAGAGAGAGGAGAGAGAGAGAAGAGAGGGAGAGAGAGAGGGAGAAAGAGAGAGAGAGAGAGGGAGAGAGAGAGAGAGAGAAGAGAGAGAGAGAGAGAGGAAGGGAAGGAGAGAGGGAGAAGAGAGAGAGAGAGAGAGAGAGAGAGAGAGAGAGAGAGAGAGAGAGAGAGAGAGGGAGAGAGAGAGAGAGAGAGAGAGAGAGAGAGAGAGAGAGAGAGAGAGAGAGAGAGAGAGAGAGGCAGAGGCCCCAGGAAGGCTTAGAACCTCTGGAGCTGTTGCTTAGGGTGAAGATTTCATTCTGGGAGAGCTCAGTAATTAGAGAGGTGTGAATGGATGGCACATAATCAGTCTTACTTTTACTTTCTGCAAAGAGGATCCTTAGAGCTCTTTGTAATTTCTTACCAAGTCTTCAGAGAGACTCCTACTGCTAGTAGAATCCACAGCGCATGGGGAAAATGTGTGGAGAAAAAGAATTAATTTTTTTCTTCAACACTGAACTGGTTAGAGAGAAAGACTGAAGGGCCAAAGGAAAAACTCCTTCAGGATGAAAACTCTAGCAAACAAGGCCAAGTGTCCCACTCAGGGCCACCACTTGATCTGAGCAGGTAATGTTACTCACAATTAAGTTGGTTCTAGCTTTACCTTGCAAAGGTTATGTGAGAAAATACCTGTGTTTGGGAGGCATCTGCATTTGTTCAAAATACAGCTGGCCCATGGAATTGATGCTCAGCAAGGGCTTTTCTTCAGAAAACAAATCTATTTTGAAGGGGTTTGCTGTGATGCAAAACTTCAGATGTTCTGAGTCATCCTTCAGCACCAGAGTACCTGCATCCCCTGAGCATAGAACCAGCCTAGAAGGAGAAATAACATGGTTAACAGAAAAAAAAAAAAACAACCCAACACACCTCTATGTGATGCATTGACTGGATATGAACAAATGATCAATAAGAAAGTCTTTGATTTTATATTTTTCATTTTATTTCATTTTATATTTTTCATTTTATTTCATTTTATATTTTTTCATTTTATAGCAATTAAAAGCTAATTATAAATTGCCTAGCAAATATAGTCAAAGTCAGACTATCTGCCCAACTGCAGAGTAAAGCATAATTCAGACCTTAATAAGGAAGGAAGATCGTAGGTACAAATGATGATTCAGAAAATAGATAGTAATTGCTAAAATGATTGAACATATAATCTGACGCTACATACAGTAAAATGGAAAGAGGGCTAGACTTGAAGTGAGGAAGACCCAGATTTGATTCCTGCTACTGACTACTGCTGTTGGCAAGTCACCTTGCCTCTCCGATAAGCCCCAATTTTCTTATTTGCAAAATGGGTATAATAAATACCCTGTGACACCTGCCTCACAGAGCTGCTGTATGTAGTTCACACAATAATGAATATAAAATGTCTTATAAATATTATATATATGTATATATATATATATATTATCAGCTATTATTATTGTCATGACCTTATGTCACTGTTACATGTCATCAATCTGTCTCCAAATATGTTAATAATGGGTTTAGTGTTAAATTAGAAGCATGAATTTAAGAGGAAAAGTATTTAAAGTGGTACCAGGATGTTCATAATAATAGACCATCAAATACTAACCACAGGTCAGAAGTCTATTAAATAAAATTTCCCAGTTGTGGAACTTTTACTGCTATAACAATTTTACTTCACAGAAATATTACAAAAACCCACATAGAAAAAAATAGGTAAGTATTCAATTCTAGCAGAACAGCTAAAGCAAATGTGAAAGGTGAGAAGCATCTGAATTAAGTTGACAGAATTATTATCTCAGCTACTGAAATGGTTTCACATTTACTTATAGGAAATCATATGGAAATAAGGATCTGTTATTCTTTGGTGCTAATTTTAAGGTGGTACTTCTAAAGAGTTGCCATTTTACCAAAGATTTATATCCTGACAATGTATTACTACAATATATCGGACAATAAAGTTTGTATGATCATAACAAGACTAATCAGCTTTGTTTCGATCACAAAAATAATGGAAATATCAAAATACTAATACAAGGTACTAATGGTAAGCACTATCTGTTTAGAGCCTTATACTTAGTTAAGCGTTTATGTGCCAAGGCTTTAAAAAATATGGTTTCACAACCTCACAACCTCAAAGTCATCCTTGACGCTTCCTTCTCCCTCATCTCCACTCTGCAGGCCAGTCTTGTCAATTCTACTCTGATAACATCTCTCATAGCTATTGACCTGTCTCTCTATAGATATGGCCACTACCACTAACAAAATAACAAAACAATTTGATAATAACATCAAATAACAAAAGTAGTAATTGTTGTTGTTCAGTCATTTCTGACTCTTCGTGACTCCATTTGGAGTCTTCTTGACAGAGATACTGGAGTGGTTTGCCATTTCCTTCTCCAGCTCATTTTCCAGATAAGGAAACTGAGGCCAACTGGGTTAAGTGACTTGCCAGGTAGTCAGACAGACTACCACTACTAAATGTCTGAGGCCAGATTTGATGAGTCTTCCTGACTCCAGGCCTGGCACTCTATCTACTACACTACCTAGTGGCCTTTGTCATCTCTCCCTTGTGCTATTTCAATAGCCTCCTAATTGGTCCCCTATTTCTCCCCTCAGCAAGCCATCCTCACACAGCTAACAAAACGATCTTCTTCAGGCTTGCGTCTGATCATATCACTCACCCGCTCAAAAATCTTTTTATTGCCTCTAGTATAAACAGTCAACCAATCATAAATCATTCTTTAAGCACCTACTATGTGCCAGGCATTATGTTAGGCCTAGGATGGGGGTTTTTAACCTGCGATCCATAAATGTTTTTAATATTTTGATAACTATATCCAGAGATTTTACCACACTGCCAAAGGGGTCCATGACACAATCTACTCTAGGTATATAAATAACAACAAAAGACAGTCCATTCTCAAGGAGTTCACAGTCCACTGGGGGAAAAATATGCACATATAAAAGTCTGGCAGGGGTTCATCCCATGTAGCCTTTGTGGCAGTGGGCTTATATGGACTATCCCAGAGAACACATGTTTAACTCTTCTGGCAACTTCCTGGGAATCTGGGGGACACAGAGCTTAACACAGAATGAGTTGGTACTTAGGATGATGCAGCAAATCCTGGACAGTTCCTTGGTTGGCCCCCTACTCCTAACCCCAGTGGAAGTGGGGTAGGGTGCTATATCCGTTACAAAAGAGAAACAGCTTCCCCACATGCATATGTAAAAAGCAACTCTCCATGGAGGGGTGAGGAAGGGGGCTGGTGCCCTTACTTCACCCCAACCACACAGGAGCTACAAGCACATGGCATTTAAAGCCTATGGCAAGACTAAGACTGGCCCTCAGAGCTCCAGCTCTTTCTGCTTTGTGTGCATTTGCCTGTTCATAGGTGACTGCACAGCGATACTGAGACGCACATTTATAGCCTCGGAGGCTACCTCGTGAGTTCAAAAGGTCTAGACTCCTGGCCTGATTTGTCAGAAGATATGTACACGGAGGGAATTTTTCGGATAATGCAGAGCTGAGGTGAAATGTAAGATCCAGCAATACCTTTGATTACTTTATATGTTGATGGTTTTAAGTCTCCGTCTCCTGGAAACGGGAATAATGATATAGCCAGGCCCCATTAGCACAAATAATGAATTCTGTGAAATGGTTACATTATTTGAATTTGCACTGAATATTTCCATTGGGCTGGAACCAATGACCATATTTTACATGATTATAATACTGAACAGTGTGAATTCAAATACGTATGACCACTTTTCAGGATTCATTATTCACACTAATTAAGACCTGGCTGTAGTTATAAGTTACTGTTTCTTGTTTACACTTTCTGTCAATTAGGGTTTTCAGTTCAGAGTGTGAGTGTGTGTGTGTGTGTGTGTGTGTGTGTGTGTGTGTACATACAGAGGAAAGAAATAGCTGTTTTGTACCTGACATTAAACATAGACTACCTTTCTATTCATGTTCTCCCATTGGAGAGACCTTAGTCGTGGGCCAAAACCAAAGCTTTAAGTATTTATCCTAGGGTGTCAGTGTAGGAGGCAGAAAGAGTCTAAGAATTTGAGAAAAGGAGCCCAATCCTTATTTTAGGTGGTTGGGCTGAACCCCCCCTGGGTATGGACTTGGTTTTTGAGGGTGGGTCCAGAGTAGAATGGGGTCCTTAAGGGGAAGGGAGATGGGAACAGTGCCATAATTCTTCTCATGCCCACCAATGGGTCTTACTATTAGTATTACAGAGTATAGGGTACAGACACTGAATTTGTAATTTCACTGATGTAGGGAATTCCAGGTAAGGAAAATCCCTTCATCAATATGGGCTGGCACCTCTCTCACAGCTTACAGTCTCAGAGAGATGACAGAGGACTCAGTAAAGCAACTTGGTCAGGGTCACACAGTGTGTTATCAGAGGTGAGACTTTAAGACTGCCTGGCTTTGTTGAATTTAATGTAAAGAGAAACTAAATCGTTTCTTCACGCTTTCATGGGAATTTGTGTTAATGAGGGGATGTGACTATAAGGTAATCTTATATTCTCTTAACCCATATATGAAATGATATGCATAACAAAGATAACCAGTCATAATGGAACAGAGTAGCATTCCAAAATCTAGAGCTAATGAAAATTTTATGGGCATATAAAAAATGCTGCATTCCCCAAAGAATTTTTAAAACCTTCTTGGAATGATAGTTCAGAAGTTACTTGACTATAAAAAGTTTTAGAAATCTAGAATAAAAATCCATGTGGCAGATCTCTTAATTCATACATTAAGAACGATTTAAAAATCTATCATTTCATCAACACAAACTACTAGCATGCTACATGACTGGAACGCTTCCTCATTTGAGCCTGGTGAATGAAACGCTTCTGTTCTTATGACAAGGCTGTTTACATTTCCCAGTCTCCACTGTGTTTGGAGAATTAAGAAGCAGTTGCCAGATGCTATGCCTCTTTACTTGTTGTTGTTGTTCAGGTGTGTCTGACTCTTTGTGACCCCATTTGGGGTTTTCTTGGCAAAGATACTGGAGTGGTTTGCCACTTCCTTCTCCAGCTCATTTTTCATATGAGGAAACTGAGGCAAACAGGGTTAAATGACTTGCCCAAGGTCACACAGCTCATACGTGCCTGGAGTCAGATTTGAACTCATGAAGATGAGTCGTCCTGACTCCAGGCTTAGTGCTCTATCCACTGTGCCATTTAGCTGCACTAAGACAAAGGACAGAAAGTGGAAAAGGACAAAAACAGCATAGGTAATTAGCAAACCAGCCCCTGAGAGCTAGCTAAGAATTAACAGCAGTCTCCAGATGCAAAAAAAGACTGCCAAGAAAGGACCGGACATGCATGAGATAGATCTACTGTTGGAAGCAATAATAAAGGGGAAAAAAAATGAGCATCTAAGATACTCTCTTCCTTAACCTACCTTTTGTTGACTGGCTTCTGTATAAAGACATCAGAGACTTCATACCTTGGTTTTAAGGGAGCCATTTCATTGATTTTAAACCTGAAAATGTTTCCCTCGATTTCACAGATTTCAGCCAAGAGAGGAACCTGGGAACAAGTGGATAAACAGATTACCGCATTATGACCAGGTCGAGTCATAATTATAATGGTAATCAGAATAATTGGTTAGGTCACTTCTGGCAAAAAGAGAGCCTGGAAACCTGAGGTAACAATAGGGCAAAAAGCCCATTACTGTATGTCTTCCCGGATATTCCTTCGAAGGGGATAAGATGTGCTTAGATGAGTAATGAGATTGGATGACTAACACCCTGCTGAGCAACTGATAAAAGTACCTGTACGAGCTCGAAGGAGAACAGTGTGTTTTCAGAAGCTAAGGACGAGGTTAATTTTGATGCTCAGGTCAGGGAAGTGGGTGAGCTTCAGCTCAATTGGAAATAGAACACTGAGGGTCCATTTCGAATTGCTGATTCCTGGAGGGTGGGGTTTATGTGCAAGGAAACACAGAGAAAGCTTGGATTAGACTTGGGGATAGATATGGGGTAGAATTCGAAAGAAAATCAAAACCCTTTTGCCTGGCCAGGGATAGAAATTCTATGCACTTGAAATTGGTTGGATCAGAAGTGCTGGTAAATGTTAACAAGGTCTTCAGGAAAAAAAAGTACCCGATACACTTTTAAGTTTAATCTGTATTATTAATATTTCCTCCAACATTTTCTTAAATCTAGGCCAGAGATGTCAAACATAAGACACAAGAGTGGCAGATGCCTACAACACTTCTAAGTGCAGCCTGAAACAGATTACAGGTATTCCTTCCACATCCTGGGGGTTCAGGTAGCGGCGCTCTTGCAATCTGGAGAATCTGTGTAAAAATTTTTGGCCCTTTTTTCATATCAGAGGAGAAGTCTGAATCTTTTTCTTTTTCTTTTATGGGGTTTTTTAGAGTACCTTATTATAAAATTCGGGTTAAGTATTTGGTCACAGACTGTTGTCTGCTGGCCTTCACTCATCATATGCAGCTTCTGCAAAACTCCCCTAAAATTCCCATTTAATTTCTTATGCTGACCTGCAATATAGAGAAACCACGAGGGAAAAAGTCACAATGTAGAAGGGATAACTGTAAAATGTAGCTCCTTTCTGATTTTAATGTGCTGATATATTAATAAAAAAGAAACACGTAAATATGTGGTTTTCTGTCCACCTGTGGCTCACAGGGATTGCTATCTAAGGCTGAGTACGTAACGATCCCTGTGTGCTGCAAACTGACTTAGAAAACCAAAAATTAACATTATCTACATTCTGTTGTATTTTCTTTTGTTAAATATTTCCCAATTATATTGTAATGTTTCAGTAGCAATACAGCCCACATTCCATACCTCAATAGACTATGAACTAAACAATAAATCAAACCTTGATTTGTGGCACTGGCCAATTCTGGAAATGTTGAAGTTCACACTGAAAATTTAACAATTGGTTCATGTAAGCAAGTTCCAGCTCTCCTGGGTCAGACTTGGGTGATCATACAGAGGCATCTGGATAGAAACCTCTCTAAATAGGACTCATCTCTTAAGCTGGACAAAATTGGGCCACCACATACTTTACAGCTGCCTACAGTTTGTCTCATCATGTCTCATACTTCCCAGAACTGTGATCTCATTGACATCACACAACCCATGTAAGCTTTCTTTATCTCTGTAATTCTTGTCTGTTCTCCCAAACACCTTCTGCAGAGGCTGACACATTAGAAGCCTTTCCTCTTGGCCTTTTAATTTGTGGCAGGCATCAGTGAAGCACCTGAATCATATTCATCTGTTACTCTTTGGCCTCACTATAGGACCAGGCCACCTTTTTCCAACTACGTATTTCCTGAATGATATAGTTATCCTTTCCACGTCATGGGGGTTAGGGGGATGACACCCCTGTGATCTGGAAAATCCACACAAAATTATTTGGTCCTTCCTTCATACCAAAGAAGTTTGAATTATTATGGTATTAAATGATAAAATATGTTGATATCATACAATACTATACATATATTTCACACATTTCTGAGTTTCTAAATTTTTTTGTCATTTGCTGGCCTTTGTGTATCTGCAGCTTCTGCAAAACTCTCCAAAAATTCCCATTTAATTTCTTACGCCAACCCAAGATATATCGAACTTCAGTGGGGAAAGCTGCAATGTGGAAGGGATAACTGTATATCTTATACTTGTCATCACTGGCAATATGCTGTAATCCATGTAGGTCCAAATCTAATTGTGAGTCATCTACAATTTTGATTTTCAGGGGCTGTGGCGCCCCACGATTTGCAGTTATATAGTATTACCAGAACCACTGTTAAAAAACCCCAAACTTGACATTTATTTTAAAAAAATCAAATTTATTGAGACATATCCATACATTTCCCAGAAAAATCCAATAACTGCTTTTTACAAAGTATATTCCCCAAAAGTTATTAACAGGAAGAAGGGATGAACATGTTATTTAATTGATAAGTCTAGCACTACTACCAACTGTTATGTTTGATTTATTGCTATAGTTAACTTTTTATTTATGTTGTATTCATTATTTGGCTGCCTTTGCCTTTGTTCATGGTGTATCAACTTACACAAGCCTTCCCAGGGTTCTCTTGTCATCACAGCCATCATTGCTGATCTTGTAGCAAAATTCCATTATTCATATACCACAATTTGTTCCGTCATTGGGTAATCCTTCCCCAACCCTTCCCTCGCCAGTTTCTTTTTTAATCACAAAAAACTATACTATGAACATTTTTGTACATATAGGTCTTTTATTATTATCACTAATCTCTTTGGGATGGATAGTCAAGCGTGTGCTCATTTCAATGATTTAATATATTCCTGAGGGCGTAGCCCAAAGGAGTCCCAGTAACTTTGGTGGTTAAGATCAAATGGACGCCAACGTTTTGTTTCAGCACAATGACTACATTCAAATGCAATAAATAGGGCCAAAAGTTTGCTTTTGCTTCATTTGAAAGTCTTTAGCTTAGTACGCAAGGTTCTGATTTCCACCTCAAGATAGTTCTAACTAACTTTATTCCAGTCTCATTATGGCCCAACACAGATCATCTCTTCCAAGTATGATGATTGCCTCATTATCCTCAGTATGCACTGGGTTTGTGTCTTTCTTCAGGCTGTTCCAGGCACTTAAAATAGCCTATAGATTCCTTCTATTCATCAATCCATGCCTATGCCTTCAATCAAGGTCTGGTTGAAGACCTATCTAGTCTCCAAAAAGCTTTACTTACTCCACTTTGAAAGGGCAGCTGTTCTTGTGTGTGGTTTGTCCTTCGTCCTGGAAGAGGACCATGACATCAGGGATGTGATGACACGACTTGCAATTGACTCTGATTTCAGTGAGGGAGGACTGTGCAAAAGTCACACTGTCCTTTAAGAGAATGTCACAAGGGCAACGGCCCTGGAGTTATGAGGTCCTGAGTTCAAATCCAACCTCAGACACTTACTATTTGTGTGACCCTGGACAAGGCACTCAACTCTGATTTCCTCCCCCCCCTCCAAAAAAACCCCAAACAAACCAGAAAACAAAACAGAAAACCAAAAACCTCCACAATAAGGAAAGTCACAATGTCTCTGGGACTCAGTTTACAACAATCTGTAAAATGATAAAGGTTTCACTAGATTTCTATAGCACCTTCCACCTCCCAAATTCTGTGACTGTTTTGCTTCAATTCCAAATTTTTACTATTTATGTTTTTTTTGTCTAAATCAGAGAGGGGTTTCTATTAGACACTGTTGATTTTTAATTTCTAGGTCTGAAATGTAAAACTAAAGACTAGTGAAATTCACATATTTGTGAAATGTAAAGGTAGTTTCATCTAATATGGTCATAAAATGTTCTACTTTGATTGTACGCTGCTATATAAATCAATCAAACAAGCCTGCCTGCTGTCCCTGAATTTCCAGCTCTGCCCCTGTACAGGCTAGCCACCCCATGGCTGGTAATCCCTTCCTCATCCCCTTGGCCTCTCAGAAACCTCAGAATACCTTCAGAGCTGGGCGTATTTATGTGTCACTTTTTATGGGAAGTCACTTTTCACCTCCTAGTCAAATTATCTTTTACTTGTTCACCTGTTTCTGAGAGGTATCTACTATTTGAAAATAGTAAAACTTTAACATGCACTGAATTGAACCAAATAATTACCTTGCTTGGAGGCTAGGTGGTAAAGTGAATAGACACCCTGCCTTAAGTCAGAAAGACTAATCTTCATTTGTTCAAATCTGGCCTCTGATGCTTACTGGTATTATTCTAGTAACAGTACTAGTATTACTCAGATACTTAACTATATGACCCTTGGCCAAGTCACTTAACCTCATTTGCCTCAGTTCCCTCATCAGTAAAATGAGCGGGAGAAGGAAATGGCAAATGGCTCCAGTATCTCTGCCAAGAAAAGCCCAAATGGGATCACGAAGAGTTGGACGTGATTGAACAAAAATTAGCCTGTTTGAATTCAACTGATCTTTTCATGAAGGACAGTAGTTAACATAAAAAAAGAAAAAAAAAGGACAAACCCTGGCCTCTTTCTACACAGAGTATAATATGAAAAGTTATCAAATCATCCTTCTATTTGGCTGGCTCTATTATCTTTCTTCTCAATCTCTTTTTTTATAGTTTTAAAAAGATCAAGAGACAAAGGAGAACAATGACATGATTAAAGGGGGTAGAAAATAGGCCTAACGAAGAAGCAAAGTTATAGGAACTGAATTAATGAGACTGGCAGTAATTTAAACGATGAACTGTTATGCAGATGATCAGCTGTACTTTAATAAGAGTCTCTAGACTAAAGCTGCAAAGGGAATTTTAGCTTAATGTAAGGGAGCTAAGCATTATCAGAATTTGTAACTGATTAAATAAAGAATTCCACAGTGGGGCAGCCAGGTGGGCAAAGTGGATAATTGAGGGCTGGGCCTGGGGTCAGGAATACCCGAGTTCAAATCTGCCCTCAGATACTTACTAGGCTGGGCAAGTCATTTAACCCTGTTTGCCTCAATTTCCTCATCCGGAAAATGAGCTGGAGAAGGAAATGGCAAACCACTTCAGTATCTCTGTCAAGAAAACCTCCAAATGGGGTCATGAGGAGTCAGACACGATGAATCAGACATGACTGCACAACAAAATAAAAAATGGGTTAGTGAGGGAGACCATGGATTTGGGTTTCCTATAAATCTTCAAGAAAACGTCCATCTATATAGAATGCCTGAAGTGTAATGGCCTAAATCACTTTCAGACGCCTCTCTTTCTTATTCTACAACAGTATGCTTATTTTTCGAATGGCTATCAAGACACCCAATGTTCTGGGCAGAGAGCAGTAATTCTTTTCCCCCAACCTATAGCTTCCCTCTGCTAAACACAATTAAAGTGGGGGCAGTTTGCCAGTCACCAAAGCTTGTAGCCATGTATGGGGAAAAAAAAATAAAAAATAAAAAGAGGTGTGGGTGATTTAGAATCAATGTGGGAGACGTGCTTTGCTTTTTTCTTCATTAAGCAGACTTTCCACAATTGTATAGAAATGAAATTTTATTTATCCAAAATCGTGACCGACAATGGGTGAACAATAAAACACGTAACAGGGTAAGTCACAGAACACCTATCCCATGACTATCTGGAGGAGATCCAGGTGATGCCACCTTCCTACTCTCCCAGGAAGGTAGAACCTTACCTTTCCTGCTGGCATCAGGTCCCTCCCACCACAATGTCAGGGACCAGGCAAAGGTCCAGGACAGTGGAATAGCAGTTTTCCCAGCAGATAGTTAGGATTTTCCAGGGTTTAGAGAATGGTCCAGGAGTTCATTAAATTGGTGCAGGGCACTTATTGCCCCCTCCACAGTTGTAGCCAATTGGTTTACTGCTATCACTGATTCTCTTCTGAGAACATTGTCAACCTCACGTTGAGCATTAGCCCTTTCCCCAATGGCAATTAACCTGTCCAGATGTGCCTCTGATCGTCTGGCTAGATCCCATGTTAACCTCCTGTTCCTGGCCATTTCAGCAGAGATCGTGTTGGCTAATGAGCGCCGCCTCTGCCTTATTCGCCGAGGAGGAGGCTGGTTGGGGAAAGGTCCATCCCCATCAGCCTTAGAAGAAGAGGCAAAGCGCAAAAAACTGGGGGGTTGGCAATTATCATTTTCAGGCTCTGCTTTGCAGGACACACCTGCTGTGGCCATAGAAGGGCTCAGAGGCACATCTTCTTCCTTGAGGAAGCTGCAAGATGTGTTACAAGCGAAATCTTGAGAACAGCCTGAAAAGAAAGTAAAACACTTGACAGATGGCTGGCTATTCTCACCGCAAGAAAATTTAAAAGCTAAGATCACCATGCAGAATGAAGCAATATTGTAAAAGGTTTATTCCAAGGGAGTACTGGCTTGAGAAGTCTATCTCTCTATATTGTGTGTGACCCCCTGCCCACTATATATATAAACATGTAGATTTATATATCTATATATAGATTCAAATAAGTATAAATAGATATTATCTATCTATAAATAAATATAAATACATCTAAATGTACCTTAGATCTTTGCCCTCCCGTTTTTAGGGTAGCTCTTCTTTATAGTTCAAGCCAAGACCTGACTATGACTACAAATGGAGAGGTAAGGGTAAAAAGAATGAAAAGCCAATCTTAAAAAAAGAAACCAGCACTTCTTTGATTAGACACTATTTAGATTTTTCTCAACAAACCCATAACTGTTCATACAATCCACTCTCCTATCAGCCTCCCCTCAGCCTTTCAAGGAACTGTCCATCTCCAAATCTACCCAATAACTTTTGACCCTGGAATAGCTCTACCATCTTCCATTATCCATAGCAAATATAAAGGAATTCATGCAATGGAACATGCCTTCTGAATGCCTGCATTGAAATAATTTTAAGTGAGTGACCCACTCTTTGACTAACATTTAACCCTTTGGATCAGCAGACCACAGCTTTGCTAAGGAATCCTGACTGCTCATTTCTGGGATTTCAAAAACTAATTTAAAGCTCAGTTATTTTCCCAGTAGATGCTGAAATAGTTTCAGGAGCACTGGGTGTGGCAGACACCTCAAGAAAACCGAGCATATCACAACGGGGGAATGCCAACATAGACTCCTAGTTCACCCATCTCAGACCCAGTGATGTAGTGATGGGTGTGGCACAACCAAAAGAGGTGAAACTGAGAAATAAGTCTGGTGAACAACTCCAAGGTCTGAAGCAGCAGATTCCCCCGACCTTCACGTGCATTTGCCTGCGATCGCAGAACCTCTAGTTTCCTACACATCCCCAGAGTTCCCATTACCTGGAGTCTGATCCACGGGTTCCTCATCATTTTCCGTCTTGATGGGGAGGTGGCTGACATCAGTCTCTTCTGCTTCCCACCATGTCGGGTGTTGTCTTATGGTGAGATCCTGTGGGACCTCCTGGACTCTGGCTTCTTCTTCCATGAGGGTGTCCAACTCTCCTAGGCTCTGGTCTCTGTGTCTGAGCTGCACAACATTGTCCTTCAAGTATTCAGGGTCCATGGAGAAGGGTTTGCAGACAAATGGTCTAGAGTGTTGTAAAAGGCAATGTGGTGGGGGAGTCCACCACTTCTGGCACTGGTGTCAAATACCTTGAGGAAAGCTGCCTTGAGGGCTTTCAATTTGGAACACTGAACTTTTCAGTGCATTTGAAGCCTGCCTTCCTCTTTTACACTGCTACACCTCTAGACATCTCAGCATTTGGATGGACTGTTAAGTACTCAATGTATTTAACTGGGCTTCCCTAAGACAGAAAGTAGTATGCACGTCTCCTACTTTGACACCTCTTTTCTGGATGGTGAACACAATGGAAAGAGAGGACAAGATGAAAGGAAAAGGCTGCTGACCAAGTGCTTGGGCAGGCAGGACCGATGACTTCTTAAGAGGCCTTTATTCTGTGGACCTCCCACATTTCCTGAACCCATAATGCCTTTTGCCCTTCCTCAAAGGTTTGTGACTAGAGAGCCAGCTACAGGGTTTACTTCTTCATTTGTGAGGCCAGAAGCCCTTATGAGTCGGTGATTCTATCTGGCTTCCCAAAAGGGGGCAATGTCACCTCAAAATCCTCAAGTGGCCATTAAACTAGAATCAGATGTGATTGCTCCCCAAGTAGCCATTAGATTAGAATCAGATATGACTGCTTAATATGGTAGGCCCAGCCTTACTTCCCCTGGGCCTGTGGCTTGCTGGTTATAGGGAACTCTGAAGTAAATAATCAAAGATAATGAAGATACCAAGCAATGATATTAATTCCTCTTGGAAATTAGAAAGCCAGTATGTATTTGGTGCTAAAGAAAATTAAGTGATAAACAATATATTTGAATAGGTAAGGCAACTGAAGAAAAGAGCTTTATAAGGTATTTATGTAAGTCAGCAGGCCCAAGATTTCAACCCTCTAATAGCCAGGATAACTCTGGATATATCTCTTGATTTGAATTTTGGAAAGGAAACTCTGGAGAGAATCCCAGATCTATTCCCCTATTCCCTTAGCATAAAGTGGCTACAGGAATCCTAGATGTTGTTCCATAACTTCAAATTACATAATTCTATTTTGTAATCTGAAGTCCTAGACAGTTGTAGTATCAAGAGTAAAATAAGGAAACTCCCTATTTTAAGGTGAAGGACATGTCCTCTGAAGTCGTGATAGGTACCTATTCTGCTTTGAGAGGACTGACCCTGAGCTACAGAGGCAGAAATGGGGGCTCTTGAAAACATTTTGGGACTGGGGTAGCCCTATTAAGGTTCTCATATGCATAGGGATAGGGAAAAATCTTTTTATAGCTTCTATCCCAGAATTACCAAAGTAAGAGATGCCTAGTACCTTGATGGGTACTTAAATGCTTAAACTGAAATGAATCTGGCTGAGTTACTTCCCCAAATATTTTCAGTAGTTAAAACAAATTGTATTTCAGAGCTAGATTAGTTTTTGAGATCATAGAGACACATGATGCTTTTAGAGACTGCTGACGTTTATGGTGCCTGTGGTAAACACATTCATCCCAGGCCCCTGTCACACTGATTCTGCCAGCTGCATCATACTCTACTCGATCAGCTTAATTTGGCTGACATTTTATGCATCAGAATGACTACAGATGTTGAGGGGAAAAAAATCATGAGCCAAGTACCAAATACCTGCTCCTGTCCTCTCACTTTAGACTATCCAGCAGCATAATTATGATGTCTCACTAGCCAAAGTATTTTAGTGAACTAGAATTTCTGAAACTTAAGATACTGAAAGTATTTTTCTGTAGGATACTGAATCTTGAAATTGTAAAATACTCAAAAGTGTTTTTCATTGCCTGCAAACTCTGAATTTGCTGTTTTGTTCCCATTTGGCATATTTAGCTGGACAGTGTCCAAAAAATTAGAATAAACTGGTGCTGGTATAGACACCCCCATGTAATATTGTTCCCTACTCCCTCCTGAAACCTCCAAGTATTTCTGGACCAGTGTAGGGAACAGTGTATTTCTGGACTACTGTAGGCAGTTTCAATTTCTTTTAAAGGCATTATACTTATATATCGCCCAATTAATTACAGAAGCAAAAACTTTTATTGGGGAAACTCTGGTCTCACCTTATTCACTTCATTGATGATCTGGAATTTGGTGCTGTCTTTGCCTGTTGTGACTGAGCTCAGTAATGCCCGATAGGTATTCTTCCTTGGGAGTAGCTTCTGACGTCTACAGATACCAAGAAGATGTCAGAGAGGTACTTTTTGGTTGGCAAAATTCAAGGGATTACTGTGTTATCAGAGAAAATGCACATTCTGATATGTCCCAATTCAGAATGACATTAATTTATACAGGCCTGGCCAGTTCAGATGCTAAGAAAATTAAACAACACACTGGCCAAGGATTATATTTTATCTCCTTTGGCTATAATTCTTGAGGAGATATGATCATTTTCATAGATGACATTTACGGGTCACATATTTGGTAACTGTCCATGCTAGTGTTGAGACATTGACATATTGGAAGACACACACTGTTTAATCCAGTAGCTTAATGAATTAACAATAAGATGCCCCCATAAATTTTTCTCATTGCTAAAAAAGAGAAGAAACCAAGAAGCTATTATTATTATTTAGCTAATTTATAAGGACATTTTTATTTTTATGACCTAAAATTTCTCAAATGTTTAATGAGCATCAGTTCTGAAATGCTATCAGGAATGTTGCTTCACAAAACATTCTCTTTCCTTACCTGTAGAAACCAATTTTGTTGCAGTCCTTAAAGAGGCTTTTATCCACAGCTTCATCTTGAAAGCTAAATGATAAAAAGTTTTAAGAATTTGACTTTCTATTGTCTTTGCCAGATTTAATATTTTAAATTTATCTGGTTATTATATGAACAGAGAAAGCTATGCCTTTTGAAGTCCATTCTTTACCTTCTGTGACAACATTCTGCCACAAAAGGAAAAAAAAATACCTTAATTATAAAATACCAAAGTAACACAAGTGTAACACTTCCAAATGATAATGCCTAGTTATCTTGCTGTCTCCCAGAAAAAAAAATTGAGAGGAAAACCCTACACACAGGACTTACACTCCGTGAATTCTATAGGAGAAATAAGATCCCGAGCAAAGCTGAGTGCAGCTTACTATTGGTCAAGGGACACCACTGCACTAAAGCAATCTGGATTATGAGGGTGATAATAGAAACAAAAGTGGAAAAAACGTTTTGCTTTTTAAGGTGATACGTACTTAGTTATGAGGTTACAGAAAAGTGCTTCAGGAACAAAACAAAGCCGGGCACTAACAGATTTCAGTAAGCTTGGGTAGGCTGAAATAATTATAACCTACGTGAACTTGCGCATCTATTTATTTATTACAATTGACTGGAGCAGAGGTGTGGCTTAGAATATCTCGAGTCAGCACATTCACAACGATTACAAAGGCTCCTGTATTTGAGCCCGAATTTCTCAAACATGTCCGGGAATGTGTACTTGCCTAAAGGACTGCCTATAAGGCGAGTAATCAACCTTCAACTCTAGATCACGATTCACTATGAGCTGCTTTTAAAAATCGATGGTTGGAAATACTTTCTCAATCCTATTTTCAGGTCTGGAGAATGACTATGAGTGACTGCTACAGAAAAGAGGAATGGGTCGAACCAGGTAAGCACAGAGCCCAGAAATTTAGCAACCCTGCAGATTTCCAATCCCGTCGCTATCAAAGGCAGGTTCCGTGACCTTGGCCAAACCCTGCCCCTGCCCTTCCATTCCCCCCAACGCCGCCAACCTCACTGTACCCCGGCTATCATAAAGCGTTGATGATAATAAATAATGACCAACTCGTATCACAGTTATGGAACATAAATATGGAGGCGAATAAAAGATTGCAAACATGAAGAATAATCATTTAAAAAAAAAAACAAAACACATTAGCCAGAGGGACTATCCCCCTTCCTTTCATTAAGTGTCCTCCCTGGAGCCGAGGCTGCAGCGGGAGCCGGGAGCCTTTTACCTGATGGCGTCTTCGGCGCCGGCCGCTTCCATGACCGCCCACCAGCTCCACGCACCCCGATGACTGGGGCTCAAACCCGCTCCGCCGCTCCGCACACTAAAACAGGTTCCATCGCCAGCTGCGGGGGTGGGGTGGGGTGGGGGTCGTTTAAATCCACACAAAGGTCTTTAGTCAATTACAGCCCAGGCTCCACCTTCCCAAAGGCTTCTGGGAAAAGGAAGTCTTGTCAAAATACAGGCCCTCTTGGGGGAGGGGGTGGCCTTAACTAAAGAAGGTGGAGGAGAGGAATAACCTTAACTCTTATTTCAGAGACACCTGGGAGGGAGGAGAAGAGAAAGAAGCAGAGCATTTTCCTTGTCTCTGCTTGCCAGATTGGAACGCAGTTAGGCATCCCCCCAGCCCCCTTAAGAAACTGGCCCATCACTCCACAATGCACCACATGGGTCGGGGTAGTAGAACTTGATTAGAAGTTATTAGATTTATTCTCCCCTAGTAAAACTCCATCGCCTCTAATAGCCCAATGACTTTGGAAAAATCATTGCAACCTCTTTAGGGCTCGATTCCTTCGTTTGAAAAAGAAAAGAAAAAAAAGTGAGACATATTTGGCCTCTGGTGAAAAATAAGTCCGGTTTATTAAGCGCTCACTACGGCCAAGATACAAAATAAATATTAATAGATGAGTGATAACCATAGGTCCCACGTGTTCATTCAACAATGTATTTAAGCACCTACTGTCTTCCCAGGTTCTGTGCCGAACAATCCCAGCGCCTTTGAGGTCAGGCTCTGCTTGTTCACTTTTCAGTTCTTGTCTGCAGGCGCAGATATACTCACCTGCACTCGATCTTGGGTCATTTGAAGCTAGAGGCGGGAAGGTTTAGTTTCTTGGCTAGCTGTGTGACCTGGGTAAATCCTTTGCCCCTCTGGGCTTCAATTTCCTCACCGGTAAAAATAAGACGGTGAAGCTAGCTACGGTCCTGAGATCTCTAACATCCTCTCTACCATGCTAAGGTCAGCGGAGCCTTTCTTTGAGGGGCCTCCCTCTAAAGCCAAGCTTATCTTCTGGAAGAGGGATGGGGAAGCTCCTTTTGAACTTGAAGGCGCTATATGTCTATCGGGGGTACGGAAGAGGGGAGACGATGGCGTGGGGGAAATGCAGTGTATTAAAAGTCTGTCCAACCCTCAAAGGCGGTCAAGGAACCTAGCCTGGGCGGAGGTCGGGGATATCAACTCTCATCCTTACACCTCCAAGGTGACCCAAAAGGGAACAGCGCTTGCGCAGTACGTCCGAGGCCTTGCGCTTGAACACGCAGAAAGGCCAAGGTGCTGGAGGAAGGGAGGGTGCGATCAGCGTGTCAAAACCAAACACGAGCTTGGAGAGCCTAGGAGTACCCGGATAATGCCTCCCCCTAGCGCAAGACCGGAAAGAGGCGGGAGGGAGACCGGAAGAAGGCGAGACGCTGTCTCTGGACACTCAATGGCCGCGAAGATGGCGGTCGCTGCGTGGCTTCGGCTGGCTCCTATCACTCTGCTTCTTCTCGGGACGTTGCCGTCCCCGCTGTCTCTTCCAAGCGCGGGGCCAGGACCGGCCGCCGCCGCCGAGAGATCCAAGTGGCATGTCCCGGTGCACTTGGTGAGCGTTCGTCTCTGTAGCGACCCAACGCTGGCACTACGGTGGCCCGAGGGGTCCAGTCCGGACTCTTGCGAACTCAGCCAGTTAGAGGGGTTGGGATTCCTGGGGCCCCACTGTGTCATCTGACGCCGACCCTCAGGGACCCGGGAGCCGAGCCCGCTTTCCTTTAGAAAAAGGAGCGATATAGTCAGGGGGCCGAAGGAATGACAGTGAGGGCGGGAGGGAGGAGGCCGGCGGCACATCTGAAGGGAGGGAACAGGTTCCCATCAGAAAAGTAAGGGAAGAGCCGCCAAGTCTGGGCGTGACTTGGAGGACAGAGAAATTGATCTCTTATCTAAAGAGAGATCTTTCTTTCTGCCATCCCATTACAGACCTTTTCTTTTATTGAGTCGTCTAGTAATAGTTAACTTTCTTTTTTACAAGTGCTTCTGGTTAGATTGGAGATTCAGGAAGTAGGGCCTCTTTCATGGCCTTTGCTTCCGTGTATGAACTGGACTGTCCCCGAGTATTTGGTGTGTAGTCAGGCCGCATGGAAGCTCTTTGGACGTCCATTGCTTTGTAATTGCCTCATATCTTAGCATGGGTATGGCCAAAATGGAGAGAATGGCACACCTCATCCTGAAATTTGGTATGGATTTTTTGGAAATCACAGAATACTGTCAGATGCCCTTTTTGTGCAGGACAAATTGAATGCAGGCAGGAAATTTAAAAAAACCCATCATATTGAAAATCATATTGATTCTTAACTTACACTCTTTGCTCACTGACATGTGTAGAACTCAGTTCAGGCTCGTGAGGAGGCGAGGACACCTGATCTCATTGTTTCCCATAGCTCTTAAAGTGTTAGAAATGTTCTTTGGAGGGTGATAATTGTAGTCTCCAATTAGGAATTTAACTTATTGATAATGAGCATGATATGTTATTTCTACTATATTTGAAAATATACTGCATTTAGGCCTAGAAGAGGAACTTCTACACCTTTATTTACACTTTTCGAAAACTTTTTCTATGAAGAAGCTTCCTTGATTTCCGTCCCTTTTCCCACACTGCCCAAGTCTCTCAATCTGTAAAGACGTTTTCCCCAGAACCTTTTTTTTTTGCAAAGTGCTTGTTTTTCACTTTAGTAATTCACATATGATGTATTTTTTGTTATTCTTGTGTGTACTTGTAGACCCCTGCTAAATAAGCTTCATGAGTGTAAGAATTATGTCTCTTTTAAACTTTGGATCGCCCTCGGCCTCAAGCATTCCGCTCATCACATTATAGGCATTTAACAAGTGTTTTTTCAGTTTAATTTGAATAGTAGACTGGGTCTGACTCCTCCAGAAAGGAAATGAATTGAATGAGGAAAGCGAGTCAGAAAATGAATTTAACTCTATGTTTGGCCATTGACTTCCTAGAGTTTTTAGTTCACATTCTGTTAAATAAAAACATACCTGCCTCAGTGACAGGAGTTGCCATAGAAGGAAAGAAGTGAGTAAAACTGTAGGCAGCTGGCGTCACAGTGGATAGAGTCCTGAGCTTGGAGTTAGCAAGACCTGAGTTCATATATGACCACAGACACTTACAGGTCTGTGTGTGCCCTAGGTATGTGACCTGGGGCAGCTCATTTCACTTTCTTCAACTGTAAGATGGGGTTGATAAAAGTATCTACCTCCCAGGGTTTTTGTGAGGCTAAAATGAAATAATATTTGTGAAGTGCTTAGCACAGTGCCTGGCACAAAGTAGGGTTTAATAATTGCTTTTCCTCTTTTCTTTCTCCTAATGAAGAAAACTAATCTTGAGGTTTTGCAAAATTTAGATTGTTCAGCCAGTGATGTTCTTCTTTGGAGAAAGTTAAAATGTATTATCAAGTGGTCTGATCCAATCTAGCCATCCTTATCAGAGGCAGGAACTAGACCTCTGACCTGAATGGTCTAGGAACTGGGGTGTAGTAGGTGGAAATGGACTTCTTTCTCTGAGGTTGTCACCTCAGAAATTTGTAGTCTTAGAGAATTGCTTAGGGCACTGAGAAATTAGGTTGGTAACTTGTCTGGTGTCTCATAGTCTGAATGTCTCAGAAAAGGGATGGACTCAGGTCTTCCTCTCTCTAGGGCCATCTTTCTGGGTTTTTTTTCCCCCTAGATGAGGCAGTGGGGTTAAATGACTTGCCCAGGGTCACACAGCTAGTGAGTGTTATGTGTATGAAGCCATATTTGAACTTAGGTCCTCCTGACTCCAAGGCCCAAGCTCTATCCGCTGCACCACCTAGCCGCCCCTATGGCCATCTTTCTAATTACTATACCATACTGCCTTTCCTTATTTTTCTACCTTTTTTTTTCCAGGAGAAGAAGAAGTATTTTAGTTTCGGAAAGATCCTCTTCAACAACACTTCTATCATCTTGAAGTGTGAGTCCTTAAATCCCCTCTGATTTCTGATTTTAAAAAAATGGTGGCCACGTTCACCGTACTTTTGATAATTAAGAGAAATTTTCTAACTTTGCTTTGTGCTGAAAATATTTTATGCTTTCTGAAATTGGGTCTATGTAAGTAAATGGGATTAAATTGGGTATTTACTCAAATGAATAAGCTGAAGTATAGAAAAAGTGGTTTGTTGAGATGTTTCAACTCTCCTTGGTTACAGAGTTTAGGCATGTGCACATTTAGTATATAAACTAAGGTCTAAACATGAGAGATTTTAAATAACTTTTGCCTACATATTTCCTACCAACACTTGTAATTCTTTAAACTTATTTGGTAATTTGGCAGTTGGAACGCCCGTGCAGTCTGTTTGCTGTGCTGAGCACTAGCGGTATCATTGCTAAACCTTTGTGCATTTGTCAGATGTTTGCCAAGTTCTGAAGCCTGTGGTTGTAGGATGCTAAATCTGTGGCCTACATTTAGGTTATATGGACATTTGGCTCCGAATGTAAGCATTACATTATTTTTTCTCTATATAAGGAGGAAAGGATTTCATTCCCTGGGTGTTTTGAAAGAGTATTGTCAATAATTCAAAGATAAATTCTTTTATTAGGAATTATGACTGTTCCTCATCTTTTGAGACAATGATTAATATATTCATGTGACATTTTTAGGATAGTTTAAAAATATTTAACAATAGACCAAGGCTTATATTAGGGACTTAAATAATATTACAGGTCCCCAGAGGTTTTAATAGATAGGTTTACTTTAATCTTTTAGGATTATTTATTGCATTCCATTGAGCATGAAAGAAAAGCTTACATCTAGTTTCAAACTCTGCCTTTAGAAAGAAGCATGGTAGTTGAAAGCAGATTAGGGAAAATACATCTTTTATTTCTGTCTTATTCATTTTTGAACCTTTGTGTAGAGAGGGTAGACTATTCTTAGTGTCTTCCTTCCTACCCCCAACTCATAATTTTAAGAAGGTATGTAAAATGAGTTTTGAATGAAAAAAGTTATGATCAATATGTATTAAGGTTATAGCAGATGAGGATATACTGAATAGGAAAAGTGATAGGTTTTTCTGATGGTAACTTTGAAAATTTCTATTTAAATTAAATAACTCTCTTGATATGTTGTTGTTGAATGAGGTTATTGTGTAGATTTTAGAATTAGCAGGTTTTTCTTTAGAAGATCTAGCAAATGAACAAGTGTTAGCTTCCCATCCTTTGTACAATGTGCACAATTTATAATTTTCATATAAAAATGAAATCTCAAAGTTATTCAGGCTGTATATAGTACCCACATTTCATAGTGTTTTTGGAGTTTGTGTGGGTAATTAATATTTACATCGTATTTCTGCAGCACTTTTTCTTTGCCCTTACGTGATTTGTTGTCTTTAGTAGTTATTTATATACATCTTTCTAAGGGGTCTATAGAAGTTGACTTGGTTGCTTTAAATTTTCTCCTAAAGCCTTAACGTTTCTTCAAGTCACTGAGTGGGTTGTCTTTAAGGTATAATAGGTAAATCCTTGAAGTCAGTGTTGCCAAGGGTTGGTTGAATGTCTCCAGTTTTTTGACTTGTTCTGCATTGACCTTTAATTGATCAGATTTCTAAAATATCCTACTTTTTCCTCTGAAGAATTCAAGACTAGTGTAGTTTTTTACAATTTCCACAGACCTTTTAATTGCTACATTTAGGCAGCTTAATGATGCCCTGTAAAATGTTACGGTGATTTTAAATCTCTCTTATGCCTTCTCCCTGTAGAAATTTGTTTGTAAAAGAAGTAACAGATTTATGTAATATCTCCTTGAGAGCTAGAAGTAATTTTATAGGTGTAGTTAGATTGGTCCTTACCATACTTCCAAAGGCAGGGAGGGGCCGGTATTTCTCTACTCCTACAGGTGCCAGGCGAAAGGTACCAAGAACTTGAGTGACCTGCCCAGGTGTCCACACCCAGTCATCGGCACAGCAGGAACTACACCCAGGCCAAATTTCTGGACTCCAGGGCTCATTCCTTTGGATCACTAGCTCTCAAACTTTGTTTAGGGGAGCCTTAGGGTTCCCTGAATGGTTCCTTGAAAAAATGCAGTCCTGTTTGGCACTTTTTTGTCTCTGTGTCCTTGATTATCTCATTCCCTACTAGCCTGGAATGTCCTGCATCTTTCTTACGGTTCAAATCCTATGATTCTTCAATATCTAACTAGTTCCTCCTCTTCCCTGAAGACCCTTCCATTCTCCATGTGTTTTTTTTCTTTCTGAATTCATAGCATCAATCAGTCACCAAGCATTTATTAAGTACTTAATGTGTGCTAAGTGGAAGAACCCAGGTACTGGGGATATAAAAAAAGTGAAAATGTGGTCCCTGCCCTCAGGGAGCTCAATTTCTAATGTGGGAGACAACACACAAATAACTTCTATGAAGGCCTCCTGCAGAAGGTGAGATTTCGGTTGAGTTTGGAAAGAAGTCAGGGAAGTGAGTCTGTAGAGGTTAGGAGGGTGACTATTGCTGGCCTAGGACATAATGAGAAAAGGCCGGGTGAAGTTGGCATGTTGTGCATGAGGAGCAGCAAGGTGGCCAGTGTCCCTGGATCAGAGAGTGTGTGGAGGGGGAAATAAAGTATAAGAAAACTGACAAGGTAGAATGGGATCAGTTTAGGAAGGGCTTTAAATGCCAAATGGCTCTTATCCATGCTATTCATTAAACAGTTAATTATGTACTGTCCTCTGAATCCATCTACCGTACTGCAGCCAGTGTTCTGACCATGTCCTTCCCCTTCTCGGAAATCTTCAGTGACTCCCTTATGCCTTTAGGCTAAAATACTGACTTCTTGGAATGACATTTAAAGCCCTCCACAATCTGCTTCTGACCTACTTACACAGACTTCTTTCACACTACTTTTCACAGGCTCTGTGTTCCACACAGACCGGCCTACTCTTTCTTCACACACAAATAGGCCTTTCAAATGAAATACATGCCTTTGTCACCTCTGCTCTCTTCTCATCCCCACAGTTGTTTCTGTTTTCATTACTTACTGGGTTTTTGTTTGTTTTTGTATTGCTCCTTAGTGCTTGGCACAGTGCCTTCCTTTCGCTAAGTGTATGTTGGCTTGAATTGAATTGTACTTTTAAGAACTTTTATAGTCATTTAATTTGTCGTGTAGTTATAGCTTACCTCTCTAGATGAAAATCTTAAGGGCAGGAACCATGTCGTCTGCTTTTTGTGCCTCCTTCAATACTTGGTACAATGCCTAGGACAGTATAGTAGGTGGCTAATAAATATTGATTTGCCTTGACACACATAACTGGTGTCTGCTGTGTCACCTATGGAATCTTCCGTGACACAGCACCAGGCATTGGGGAGGTTTCTCGGCATAAGAAATACAGTATCTAGCCTCTCAACATTGAAAACCACTAATATAGGGCAGGACTACCCTATTAGGCCATACTTTTGGACAGCAGCAGTTATATCTGATTTAAGAAGATGTGTGTTTTTTTTTTTAAAGTATGTCCCTACTTAGCTTAATTTGAATGAGGATGCTGTTCTTTAATGTTTTCAGAGTAAATGGGATTTGTGGCAATGTGATAGGGAAATTGTTTTGTGTGGATATTGCCTTTACTTATATACATTTCTTCTTTTATAGTTGAAGGAGAACCTTTGGATCCATCCTTGAGTTTCAACGTGACCTGGTACTTGCGTTCTTGTAACTGTTACAATGAAGTCTTCAACTTTGGGGTAAGTGACGTAGAATTACACAATATTAGAGCTGGCAGTGACCTGAGAGATCTCCTTGTCCAGTCCCCATCATTTTACAGATAAAGAGAAAGGTTAAATGATTTGCCCAATGTCACACAGCCAGTTACTGGTAGAACCAGAAGTAGGACCCAAGTGTCTTGACTCCCAGTCAAGTACTTTCTCCATTTATGATACTGCCTCATTTGAAGAAATGTCTTTTCACTGCTGCTGTAGATAGGCTTGTCAGATCTTGTCTTTGTTTCTAGTTCTTTCATATATTCTCAGGGGAATCCTTTTTCTGTTGTTTATTTTTCCTGTAATTTCTTCTCAAAGATGATTTGACTTCATCTGAAAGTTGTAAATGCTCCTTGGCCATCCCAGTTTGTCATAAACTAAGTTTTAGTGATCTCTGCCCTGTGGTATAAAACCTTAAGCCTTTGATGCCTAACTTTCAGATTTATATAAAGTGTTTTTGGTCTGTTTCTTAGAATTGAAGAGAAGAAATACACATGTTTTGTCACACTTAGAAAAGGTTAGGGAAATGATGAGGGAAAGATAGATAATGGTAGAATTTCCAGGGTTCTCAGCTTAAATAGCCTGTCTTTTAATAGATTTCTAATCGAATATACAATAAAACTTCATTAATTTAGATTCTTTTCATATGAAATTTGAAGGAAATGGGACAAAGTATGAGTTGAAGTTTTTTTGCTCACCAAACCCTTCTTAGATAATGCAAACTAATAGTGTAATAAATGTTATTTTGAATGACGGTGTGATGGCTGAGTACCAATGTTCATCAACCAATTGGAAATTTAGGAATGAAACTTGAGAGATCAGAGCTCTGGAGATTGAGATTTAGGTGTGAATCTCAAAGAGTTGATGAGGGACTGAATTTAGGATGAGAAGAATAGAAGGCTGTGGATTGCTAGAATACTTTTGTGGTCTGTTAGCTTGTGGGAAAGTATACATCTTTTTGTCATTTTAGGGCAAGTTAATTATTCTTCCAGTATGTCATTTTGTTTGGACTCTAAAAAGTCTTAACTTTCCAAGTCTCTGCAGAATTTTCCCCTGGGGGATTCTAAAGCTTTGAAATTGTTGGTTATTGTTAAGAAAAGAATCCTGCAATTTTCAAGCCTGAATTGGTTACTGTTCCCCTTCTTTGTGAAATAATTCTACCTAGAAATAGGACTTGCTGTGTGACCACTTAACCTCTCTGGGTCTGTTTCCTTATTTACAAAGGGTTAAAAATTATCCTTTCCTTGCCTACCTCCTGTGGGTGTGAGGTGTTTGGAAAGCATCAAAAACATGTAACATTTAGACTGCATAAACGTGAGTTGCTATAAAAGTTATCAGATAACTTTACTATCTGAAGTCATGTTAATTTCTTGGCAGGTAGGAACACCCCAATGCTTTATTCATCCCAGAGTCCACCTTTGTTATCTTCTGAAGGTCTTTTTATGAAAAGTAGATCTTTTCGGCAACAAATATATTTGGTGCTTGGTCTTTTGTCTTGTCAGGATGAACAAGCGGAAACGTATTTTGGAAGCACTAAGGAGGAGCGCCACGGTTGGCCTGGGTCCTATGAAATGTTACCAACCTTGTTCCAGAACTACAGTGAACTCTTTAAACCACAGGTAGTATTTACAATGGGAGGGGAGGGGAGGGAAGGGGAGGTGTGGTGGTGGTAAAATGAGAGGGAGGTAATCTTCTTATGTTGTATTGTTCACGTTCTGTGCTTTACTGGGTCATTTTGGAGCATTTTACCTGGGAAGGACAAATTGGAAGCATGTACTGATACTTTCACAATCAATGACTTATATTTCAAAAAGAGGAGATATAGCTTTCTTGGCATGTAAATATAGAAAAAACAGCCTAAACTTTAGTTCTTAGGTCCTTTCTTTGTAACTGATACTTCACTCCTAATCAGGCTTATTGGGCTTAATTACTATTGACCTGAAATTGAAAATGCTTCAGGGTTGTTATTTGTTTGTTTTGTAGAGAGGAGTTTTGTTTGTTTTTAATTGGCTTTGACTTTTTTACCCCCAAATCACGTTATTTGTCCTGTTCTTCAAAAATTTTATATTGCAAAGGAACATGTAAATTGCTTTGGACAGGTAATAGAAAACTGGGCTTTGTCTTAGAAGTTGCCAGTTGCATAGCTTCTGGCAAAGAAGTTTTGAATGGTTAGTCACAGTAGGATGAAAAGTCAGATAATAGAATTGGAATGGTGGTGTAGATGTCAGCATTTAGAATTTTGTGGACCTTGAGAGATTGACGGTGTCAGAGTTATGGGGAAAAAGGGAAAAAATGAGAAAGATGCAAAGTAAGTAAAATGAAAGTATTTATGTGTGTTATCCCCTGTCCTTTGGGACTATAAATTGAAAACTTCTGTTATGGAGGCCAAAAAATCTATAGCTTTTCCACTCCCCAGTCAGACTTACTAGTCCAGCATTACTAAGAGGCTATATGGTATGGTAGGAGGAGTGCTGAGTTTTCATTAAGAGAACCTGACTTCAAATCCTGACTCTGCCATTTACTTAACTTGTGTAACCAGGTCAGTTTACTACTTTGGCCTTCAGTTTTCTTCCTTTCTAAAATGACAGGGTTGGATTAGATGGTCTCTAAGGGAGGGTCCCTCCCAGCCATAAGTTTGTGATCCTATGATCTCCCTACTGCTGCTGTCTTGGCAAGGTCAGACTTAACTATGCTAATAAAATAGTGCTTCTCCCCTCCATCAAAACAAAATAACACCTCACTGTTAACAGTTCCATTTATTCAGGACAGAAATATACCTATGGAAAAGGCAATGTGCAGGAACCTGACAAAATGATAAATGGGATGTAGTTATCTAGTCAGGAGTTTGTCTGCTAGGTTTTAATACAGTTTTCCTAATTCTAGAGAGGGCTTTATTCACTTGTGTATAGCATCAATAAAGAATACTTCTGTTTGTCACTAGCAGTTTGCTGCATTTGAAGTTAGAATTGTCTCTCTTGTCATAAGAGTTTTGTGGTGTGTTGATATACCATGTTTTCATAAGGTTGTTGTTAAAAGCTTTTTGATAATTCTAAGTTTTTAAACTTTTTTATAGAGTTTTTCTGGGGATTTTATGCATCCAGTGGTACTAGCCGGAGGAAAACAAGAGGTAATTGTTTTTCTTTAGTTCTTAATCTCTGAAGGGAGAGCAGATGTTTCTCAGTCTTTATCATGTTTTTCTCTGTTTATAGGCTAGGTACAATGGAACAAACCATACAGCTGTTGTAGAGAAGCCTGTAAGTATGTTTGTGGGGGGCTTGGAGTATTGAAAGTCACCTATTTTAATTATCTTCAATATATTCTTGAATTTGGCTTTTCAATGTTACAATTTAAAAAGAAACTAAAGAGAGTTTCAGTCTTTGTTGTGACGTGTGACTTGGAAGAGAATTTAGAAAATTGATTATTGATGTGGCCTGTGGCCCAAGCCAGTAAGTCTGTGTTGTACCCACAGTCTTATCCATGCTGGTCAGATATATTCAATAGAAAAGGCCACTGATGAAGAATTTAGAACAAAGAATAGAAAATAAGATAAAATTGTCAGGTCCTTGGGCTGGTTTAACATTTTGATCCTGCTGTCAGATAGGCAGTTTTAAAATAATGAAAAATAAAGCAGGACCACATTATTCTTAAAGTTCAGCTTAGGACTTAATTTCTGTCCTAAGGGCATCAAATCTGAGAGAAGATAGTTCTGGTTTTCAAAAGTAGTAGTCGGTAGTCATGTGAGGCTCTAGAGCCTTTTGGCCTTTGCTTCTAAGGAACATTTTGCTTTCCTTTAAAATGGCACAGTGCTCTCAAATACATTACAGCCAGCTGTTATGTGGTTAGCAAATGTTTGCTGTATTGATTAGAAGACCCTCTCACAAAGGATCTTTTCATGTAGCCAGAGTTCAAGTTAAGTTTTAATGTTAGATTGTATTCAGTAAACGTTTTTTTTAAAAGTCATGAAAGAAGGGTTTTCAGGCGGAATTTAACAGATGTCCTTTTTGAACTAATGTAGTTTTGTGTGACTAAAGTGAGCATGGGGTACATACAAATTTGACAAATGGTTTGATTTCCATCTGTGTTGAAGGTCATACTATATTCATAAATCAGTGTCAGAAAACCACTTTTCTAGTTTTAGAAAGTGGCTCAAGGCTCAGATGTTCGATGACTTTGTCCATGGTCACACACATGTAGTAAGTGTTGGAGGTGGGATTTGAGCCTATGTTCCCCTGATTCTAAGGCTAGAATGCTAGCTACTATGCCATGTGGCCTCTAACTGAGAGATACTAGAAACAGAATGGTCCACAGTACACAAGGGAGGCACTTAATAAATGCTAATTGACTGACTTGTAAAAATCATGTGCTTACCCCACCTGCAATCATAAATAGTTCTAATTGCCATGTCTTAGGAAAGACATACAGGAGCACCCTGGAGTTGTATATTACTGAGAAAAAGCTACTACCTTCTCTACAAAATCAACCTTGATATTATGGATTGTTGTTACTAACCATGTTGTAAAAATTTTTAAAGATTTTTTCCTTTCCAGTCTCTCCCATTAGGGCAGGTCAAAGATAAAAAGAGCCCATGTCAAATATAGCCTAGTGTTCTAGGATGGCAGTCAGCTGCCACTTCTTTAAGTGCCTACTGTGTTCCAGGCACTGTGCTCAGTGCCAGGAGCTCACACTCTAATGGGAGAGACAACATGCAAACTATTATGTACAGATAAGGTACATGCAGCATGAATTGGAGGTAATTGACAGAGGGAAGGTGCTAGCATTAAGGGGGACTGGGAGAAGCTTCTTGGAGGAGGATTGGACTGGGAGGATGATGGCACTCTCGACAGTATTAGGGAAGGTAAGAAGAGGGGAGAGTTTTGGGGGAAAGATAATGAGGTCAGCCTGGGACATGTTGAACTTAAGATGTCTATGAGACATCCAGCTGGAAGTGTCTAAAATAGGCAGTTGGAGGTATGAGACTGGAGGTCAGGAAAAAAGTTAGACAAATAGATCTGAGAATCATCTGCGTAGAGATCCTACCTATCTCAAGTGAAATAATGTAGAGGGCGAAGAGAAGGGGACCCAGGACAGAGCCTTGGGGGACGCCCATGGTTAGTGGGTATGACCTGTGTGAAGATCCAGCAAAGGAGAAAGAAGGGAGTGGTCAAGAAGAAAACCGGGAGAGAAAAGAATTTCAAGAAGAGGGTGATTGATAGTGTTAGAGGCTGAAGAGAGTTCAAGAAGGATAAGGACTGAGAAAAGACCATTTGATGTGGAGATGAATGGATCTTTGATAACTTTGAAGAGAGCATTATCAATTTAAAATTGACTTCATTTAATGCTTTTGATTGATCTTTGTCTCTTACCATAATCAAGAAATATTAAATGACCACTTTTGTGTGGTTCTGTGCTAGGTGTTTCAAAAAACTTAATAAAACAAGAATTATTTAATTTCTTGTTTTTTTTAAAAATCATTTTGAAACCAGTGTTGTTTTATTACATGCATGTGTACATATATATTTATATACATGTATATGTGTATACATACACACACATATATGTTATACACGCATAATATGTTCAAGCATTCATAAAATTAATGGTAATACACCAGACTGAAGGAATTTTTCCCTTGTTTCTCAGCAGGCTTTAATAATAAAATTTAAAGACTTGTGGGTAGCTTGCATTCTTAATTTCTCCGAGACTTAAAGATTTTTTTTTCTTCAGTCACCGAATGCTGCTATTAAAACTTGGCAAGATGGGCCATATATCTTCATTGTTCAGATTGGGATTTCATCCTCAAAGGATTCTTTGAAAGAAGCGCCCCAAAGTAAACTTTTTACCAGTAAGTTTTCCATTCCTCTATTTGCTTTTATATTAATACTTAATAATTGTGTTTAGTTTTAGTGTTGTGTGCATTGTTTAATTGCTGTAAGGAACAGAATAGTCTGTCTTCTTTATGTATAATTATTCTTTAGTCCTGTGCTTGTGAAGAAGTTTTGCGTTCCCATAGAGAGCAAGGGAAAAATGAAGTTGCAGCATTCGTGAAAGTGACACTGCATTTACCAGTTGTGACATGCTAGCTCTCCATAGCAGTTGTCACACATTCTTAAGAAGGGGTGCTCCTCTCTTCTTGAGGGTGTTCATTTGTGGGGGATGGTGGTGCTGTGCTGTCTTTTTGTCTCCCTTTTTGGTCTTAATAGTCCAGTGACTTAACTCAACATGGATAGTTTGGTTTGATTTCCACTTGGGGAAACTTGCTTCTGGTTAAAAGACAGAGAATGAAAACATGCCTGGTAATGATGTTTTTAGTTAGCAATGGTGTATGATGATTCCTAGCAGTTATGTGCACTAAATTAAATCTATTACGTCCAAGTAAATGGTCTCATGAGAATTTATCTACTTACGTTATGGTAATATAAGAGGATGATTTTGTTGGTTTTCCTACCATTCTTTTAATACTGGGTTTTTGTTTTTGTTTTTCAATCAGTGACTGTGGAAGTGAAGGGTCCTTATGAATACCTCTCTCTTGCAGAGTATCCCCTCATGATTGTAAGTAAAGTTATATTATTTAACCCCTGAACAGAATGAATTAATTCATCCTTGAGCATTTGTCAGATATACTGTAGTGCTGTTTCACAAGTTGAAGGCAGGTAGCCATATGTACTGTTTCTAGTGCTCACTCTGCTTCCTACTAGTTACGTGACTTTGAGCAAGTTCCTTAACTTTGGTTAAGTGAGCTTTTTTAAGTGAGTTAGACTAGGTGGTGTTTTTTTTTTAAACAAAGGGTTTCCGGTGTTTGTTTTTTATGAAGCATGAGGATATGATTTAGCTAAGCCATCATCACCTGATCCAAATTTTCTTTAATTCAGTTTCATTTATTTTCAGTTACAAATTCTCCCTCCTATTTCCCTCTCTCCTACCTATTGAGAAAGCAAGAAAAACAAAATTATTACAAATAATATAATAAAAGAAAGCAAATTCCTGCATTAGCTATGTCCTACTTGGCCTCTGACTCCCTAAATGCTTCACTTTGCACTCTTGAGTCCATCACCTCTCTATCTGGAGGTGGGTAGCATGTTTCATCCTGAATTCTCTGGAACTGTGGTTGGTTCCCTTGTCTTAATCAGAGTCTCTTAAATCTTTCAAAATTTTTGTCTTTAGGGGGCAGCTAGGTGGCACAGTGGATAGAGCACCGGCCCTGAAGTCAGGAGGACCTGAGTTCAGATCCGGCCTCAGACCAAACACTTAACACTTAACTAGCTGTGTGACCCTGGGCAAGTAACTTAACCCCAATTGCCTAAAAAAAAAATTGTTGTCTTTATAGTACTGTTGTTATATTATGAATTGTTCTGGTTCTGCTCACTTCACTTTGCATCAGGTCATACAAGTTTGCCCAAGTTTTTCTAAAACCATCCCTTTTTTCATTTCTTATAGCACCATTGTGCATTCTTTCACATCCATACACTGTAGCTTATTCAGCCATTCCCCATTTAGTGGCACCCTCTTGTTTTCTACTTCTTTGCCAGCATGAAAAGAACTGCTATTAATATTTTTATACATATGAGTCCTTTTCCTCTTTTTTTTTAATCCCTTTGGGGTATGGACCTAGGAGTGGTATTGCTGAGTCAAATGGCATTTTTATCTTTCTCCTCTCCTTTTCTCAGACTTACCATTTCACCTTGTTTCATTGCTCCAGATTATCTTCAACCTTGCCAAGTTCTTTTTCCACCTTAATGTTTGCTATTTTCATGTATTTTTAGACTGAACCAGAGAACCACCTTTAATGAAAGAGTGACGTTGCCCTTGACAGCAGCACACTTATGTGGTCTCCCTGTGTGCTTCCCTGTGCTTGTATTGGTGAAGTCCAAAAAAAAAGTGATTTGATAAAAACATCTCCTGAATAGATGATTGTCATGGGTAGAGTTTATATTTTGCTAAGGATATGTAGCTGCTAAATTTAGAAATTTGGAATGGCCTCAGTCCTAATTTGCCTGTTTAACTCTTATCCATCTGGATGACAGTTCTTCATGGTGATGTGTATCGTGTATGTCCTGTTTGGTGTTTTGTGGCTGGCGTGGTCTGCTTGCTACTGGCGAGATCTCCTGAGAATTCAGTTTTGGATTGGTGCCGTTATCTTTCTGGGAATGTTAGAGAAGGCAGTCTTTTATGCAGAATTCCAGAACGTTCGCTACAAAGGAGAGTCTGGTATGTGACTACAAAGGTTTATAGTTCTTTGGGTGTGATTAAAAGCTTGGGTTTTTAAGAACTTTCTTGGGGGGAAATGGTACGAGGATAAATTCAGATCAACTATATGAATGATTTATGCAAAATCACTGTGATTATTGAATCCGAAACAGAAGTATGTTGTTTCAGATCTCAAAGCCAGATGACCCAAACATTTAGACATATGAGTCTTCAGCACCAGGCCATGGTAGTGAGCTTGCTACAAAATATATGATATATGCACACCAAGGTGAAATGTCAGCAGTGATAATGAAAATTTCAGAGAGGAAAATTAATATGAACTGAGTAAGAGGGGGCTTGTACTAGGTAGAGTATTAGATCAGTAATCTAAAGCAGTGAATCCTTTTGGTCTAAAGACCTATGTGAAATGCCTTGACTTCATTCTTATAGAAGCTTTTTTTTTTCTTCTGTTTTTGAGGCAGTTGGGGTTAAGTGACTTGCCTAGAGTCACAGAGCTAGTGAGTGTTATGTGTCTGAGGCCAGACTTGAACTCAGGTTGTCCTGACTCCAGGGCTGGTGCTCTGTACACGTGCCACCTAGTTGCCCCACATAGAAGCCGTCTTTAAAAAGTAAAGAGGTTGGAGCTTTTGTGAATGTTCTCTGAGAGGTACTGATTGTGTAGGTGAGTCCACTCTATAGGATCATAAGTGGTATCAGCCTAGATGGCTCTAAGAGAGAAATTGAGAGGGAAATTTCCTTCTTCCTAGGACTAGCAGTTGCTTTTTCTGCGAATTGATAATTAAGGATCCACATTCACATTCATTCACTATTTTCTTCTCCTCTCGTATGTTTTTCCCTACAGTCCAAGGTGCCCTTATCCTTGCAGAGCTGCTTTCAGCAGTGAAACGATCCCTGGCTCGGACTCTGGTCATCATAGTCAGTCTGGGCTATGGGATAGTCAAGTAAGTAGCAGCTTCCTACAGGAAATGCAAAAGCCGCTTTAAAGTGGAGGAATAATGAGAACTGGTAATTTCAGACTCCTGGTAAGAGAGCCTTGAGAATGGTTGGGATGGGTAAGGATTTTTCAGTTACTATGAGGTAAGTGGTCTTCTGAAAAGGGCTCTCAAATTTTTCATCGTGTATTTGTGAAGATAAGTAAAATCTCTGCCACCACCTCCCTACTCCTCGTCCCCTAAATAATTCCCTTTCATTTATTTTGCACATACTTATTTTTTATATGTGTAAATGTTATCTCCCTAGATAGAGTGGGAGCCTCATGAAGGTGGGGACTCTTTCCTTTTTGTTCCTGTATCCCCAGGTTCTAGCAGGGTGCTTGACACATGCCTGGGACTGGGAAGCACTGAATCAGTGCTTGTTAATCTCTTGGTTTTATTGCTTGGATCTATATCATCCCCCTCTTTGGAACTTAAGAGAAATTTATAACAGTAATTGGTAGTATAGCGTTGAACTTTTGTTCAGCAAAGTGAGTTTACTTCCGTCGTACAGGACATCTCACATATGGCATACCGTTGAAATGATGTGAAATCAATAAGAATAGATCCTTTTAGGCCTTAGGTAGGTATGGCTCAAAACTCCCTTTTTCCAAGTAGAAACCCCTAGAAGGAATTTTTCTCTTTGATTGGGATTTGAGATTATTACCCCAGAGGAGTGTGTTTGTAAAGTGCAGTGGTCCCAGGCTGTCCATGTAAAACCATTGTTTTCTAGCACTTTGAGTCTAAGCTGCTTTCTACACCCTAATGAATTTATTTTCTCTTCTTGATGGGGCAGTGTCTGATACTTAGCTGAACCTTATTTTGTTTCAGGGGAAACAGGTTGTATTGTGTTGTGATGTTCTTGCTCAGCTTTATCTTTTTTCCGCCCCCCTTTAGGCCTCGCCTTGGAGTCACTCTTCACAAAGTCGTGGTGGCAGGAGCTCTCTATCTTTTGTTCTCCGGCATGGAAGGTGTCCTCAGAGTTACTGGGGTCAGTAACTTCTTAATCTGAATTTTCATGGTCAGCATAGGTATAATTTGTCTCTGTCCTTAGGGGGTGCAGTGGGTTGTTGAAGAACATAACAAAAAGAGGCAGAGGAGATGACTTTGCTGTGGAGATCCTTGGCTCTAATTTTCAAAATGCAGCTATAACCCACTTTCCTTTTCAGTCTTCCTTCTAAATCATGCTTCTTATGAAATACTTGAGAGAATGAGAGTGAGTGGTCCCATCCTCTCCAGTTGAGTGATTGCTATTTAGTATTTAGGTCTTTCTCTTCAATGGAAGGACTCTCACTCTTGTTGCAGGATGACAGACCCTAGAACCATGTTGCTGCTGGTTCTGTTTGACAGTGGAGCTTTTCGTTATTAAATAACAGTACTTTTTTTCTTCTATCTTTTTTGTTTTCAAAGCAATTCTTAAAGTGCAGCCAATTAAGTTTCACAACATCCAGTGAATTATGTAATAGTTATCCTCATTTAATAGGAAAAGGTAGCACTTCACTCCCAAAGCACTGAAGGTTATATGAGAGGAAGATAGACCTCTCCTGAGCCCTGAGTGGTCTTTTACTCCCTCTCGAATGGGAAAAGGACATGAGTCTGCATATACTGCTTTCCCTGATTCATTCTGATTTGTTTCTCCGGTCAGACACACACCTGGATGGAAGAGGGGAAGCCCCATCATATGCTCTTAGAAGTGTGCTATCTAGGCTCTGTCCCCAAGAAAACTGGGCTTAGGGGGTATCAACAAAAGTTGGCCCTGAGGCAAAGTGTCTTTGAGATGCCAATTTGTTGAGTATTTCACTACCCACTGTCAGCAAGTTTTCCATGGACTTTTAGAAACTGTAACCCCTTATCCTTTTATGTTTTCTTTCTGCTTCTCTTGCTTTAGTCTTTTTACGGTTCTTTGGCTGTGATAGCAAACCTGGCCCTCTCCGCGATTGATGCCTGTATTATTTTATGGATATCCTTTCAGTAACGTCCTGGATGTTGAGTAAAGAATTAGACTACATAAGAAGCTGCTCTTTGATGAAAGGCTAATGCTATCAGAATTAACCAGATCACAGCAAATTTTGTGTTGCAAATGAAACACTGCTTGTTAGCCTTCATTTTAGTTTGTGTCTCTGGAAAACTTGCATATGTTATTATTCTTTATGAAATAATGATAACGTATTTATTTTTCCTGACGTGAGTAGGGCACAATAACATTTCAGCTAGAAATGCAGAATTATGAAGGACCAGTAGCCTGGTTTTTATTTCCTTTTTCAGTTTTAATGACAGTGAAAGAGAAGTGATGGTTAATGGAGATTATATACTAGGGCTGTGTTTCTGTTGGTAGAGTTACTCCATAATACATCTATGTTAGAAATAGCTCCTTTGTCACTTAGCGGAATGTTGTTTTATTTTGAGGATGAGATCTCAGCTGACATGAAATGGTCGCAGAGAAATATGCATGGTGAAAGTTTAGTAGAGCGAAGTTAAGAGGTGGGTTCTATCTGCTGTGATTTAGATTAAGTGCCAAAATAGTCCAACTACATTAGGGGTCAGTGGTGATTTGCTCATATGTATATAGAATTACGTGCTAGTTTCTTTCCTGTGCCTATCCAGTCATCTCTTTCTTACTACCTTTTTCTCTTTGTCTCCAGGCCCAGACTGACCTTGCTTCCTTGGCCTTTATCCCCTTGGCTTTCCTAGACACTGCCCTGTGCTGGTGGATATCCTTCTTTATTGGCTTAATTGATGGAGTCCCATTTTCCCCCCTCAAGTTGGGTTTTCATTGATTTTTCTGCAACAAGTCTTTGCCAGTTTTGTTGATTGCTCCTTAGTGCAGGAGACAGGGTATTATTTAGACCTTGCAGCTTGATAGCCCAGGTAAGCTTATTGTATCAGAAGCTAGTGTACTGGTGCCTGACTGTAAGACAAGAATGTGAACTAGCTTCTAGTTTTTTTTTTTTTAATGAGAATTGTTGTGAGCATTTCGCTTTGATTGTGCCTTTTCAACTGTGAAGCCAACATGATATTTGAGCAGCTGTCAGAAGAATTAATAGCCTGGAGTTGGTAGTCGCCACCTTTAGACTTTGGCAACTCACTTTGTGAGAGCACTGGGAAATTGTGAAAATGGGCCGACTTACATATAGTGTGGCTTGAGGAGCAGTATGAGGTTGATTTGACTGTTTTAAAACCTTATGTCAGTTTAGCAAGGTTTAAACTTCCTGAGCAGGATGTGTTGTGTGCCTATAAAGCTGACCAAGGCAATGCTTCAGAATAAACAATAGCTTGTTTGCACAGTATAGAAATGTGCACACTGAAGTTTGCACAGTAGAGCCGCTGATAACCAATCTGCTCTCTGTAAGTTTGTTTTTCTGGTTTGTCAGAGCTATTATATGTATCCACTTTGGATGTTATTTCTAGTTGGTCTTCTTTGTGGCTGGTGTTTGTGTAATACCTTTGTTGTGTAATACCTTTCTCTTGAATAGCTTGCTAATGTAATGTAAAGTTGAGAATGCATGGTTTTGTGAAGTGCTGTTAGCTTGGGTGCGTTGCTATCCTCAAACATGTTTTGAAATAGAATATTAAGCAAGGGAAGTTGAGGCAATAAATGCTTATTATTGCCAGGCATTGTGCTGGGGATATAAATACAAGCCAAAATAAGACAGGACCTGCTCTGAAGGAGCTTACATTCCAATGGGAGAATACTGTATGCCCCTTGAGGCTCCCCAGTGCCTAGCACAGTGCCTCGCACATGGTACATACTTAATAAATATTGAATTGAATATTTTGAATTTACTGCTTGTGTTTTCTCCTTTATCTCATTTCTTGCTCTTGATTTTTTCTTCCTCCTTTCTTCCCTTTTATATTTCCTCTTTTTTCACATTTTTCTTTCCCTTTTTGTCTTTTTGACTCCTAATTGGTATAGCATTGCATACAGAGTTCTCCTTGTTAATTCTCTCAAGTTTTGGTGGTATTTCTTTGTGATGATAAATGGGAGCTGGTAGGGATAGGGTGGAATGTGAGGAATTTTGTGGCCCACAAACCAAAAATGATTGAGAAATCGAAGTCTAGCCTGGTTATTTCACCTAACTTTGACTTCCTTGACCTATCAATACATATTTATCAGCCTGACTCAAACAATGAAGCTTCTCAAACTTCGGAGGAACATTGTGAAGCTCTCTCTGTATCGCCATTTCACCAACACTCTCATTTTAGCAGTTGCAGGTAAGTCGTGGAGTGTTTTCGTCTCCTTCTAAATAAGATCTGTCCAGGGATTTTCAGCCTCTTGCTGTGGTATACTGTGGTGTACTGTGGTGCAAAATTTAGCTAAGTGTTCCCAATGAGGGTTCAGTGGTGTGCAGAAAAGGAAGAGGAAGAATAGGTATAAAGAACAAATAATTTCTAAGGAGTCAAATGATTTAATTTAAATGTATGGAGGAACATAATTGGATTCTTAATATAGAGCTCTATGAAAATGAAACATAAAGGATTAGGATAAGGAGCCCAACTTGTCATCGATCTTGTAGTAGTGCTCAGAATTGGAAAATCCTTCCTGCCCTCCTGACTATAGGTGTCTTCTGAAACTCCCTTCTATTGAGTTTATTTAATTTCATGACTTCAGCTATTGTTGCCTTTGTGCTGAGCAAAGTTGCTATAGCTCTAGCTCTTTTTTTTTAAAAGTTAATTTTTATTGATATATTTTTATATCACCTTCATTTCCAAATGTATCCCTTTTCCTTTCCCTATTCACTGAACCATCCCTTGTAACAAAGAATGGAGAAGAGGGAAAAAAGTAGGTCAAAACTAAATAACAAATTGTCTGAGTTCCATGGCAAGCAATGAGGTAAAATGCTTCAATTTAATTAACAAACATGTGTGCAAGACATTACCTAGCTGTTGGGGGTATTCTCCCAGCCGTGACTTTTTCACTTATACTTGAGATTCATATTTCTAACTACCTAAGAATCATTTTCTTCTTAAACTCCGGATTTCAAAACCAAATGTGTCATCTTTCCTCCAGAACAGTCCAGTGTCTGTTGATTCTTTTGTACTTCCAGTCTTCTGCATCAGAAACCCTGGAGTCAGCTTGGATTCCTTCTTTTTTTTTTTTTTTTTGGCCTTCTCTATAGGCCAGTGTGTCATCAAGTCTTATTTGGTTATCTTTGAAATACTGCTTAGATTCACCTCTTCCTTCCCTGTCTATACTGTCACCATCTCCTGGAAGTAATCTTTCATTACCTGACGCCTGCATTAAGCAATAGCCGTCATTCGAGCTAGATTCTTTTCTCCAAGACTCTTTACTCCTGTCCTCTTACAGCCAAATCTTTCCATAACAACTTCCACTATGTAATTTCTCTTGCATAGTAACATCAAATGGCTACCTCTTGCCTGCTGACTCAAGTCAGAATGTGGTTTCCTGGTTTTCAGGTTTCTCTACAGCCTCCCATCTTTTCTAGCCAGTGTTATTTCCCACTCTTGTTGAATACACACAGATTGTTCCAGTGAGGCCAGTTGCCTTAATTGTGTGCCCTGGGTACTCTGTACTCCCAACTCTGTAAGTTGCTTGTGTTGATGCTCCTATATAAGGCTCCTATCCGACTTCTTCAGATTCTCCTCAGCTTGAGGACTTACCTCATGTACCACTTGGTCCTTGAAGCCTTTCCTCATCACTTCACAGAGCTGTGATGGTGCTTTTAGTAAGGACCACTTAGGTTATTCCTTTATATTTTGTATCTATTTTTGTTTGTCTCTCTGGTAGGTTCTAAAATCTTTCAGCACAGGGTCTTGTTTTCTGATTCTTTCGTGAAACTTCCATTCTCCACAGCGCCTAGCACAATGCATGGGCTATATGAAATATTCATTAAATACTTGTTAATTATTCAGTGGAAAATGCAGCATGACTTAAGAGTTTTGGCAGGAGTTTGGATCCTGTATTGAGAGGTTTTATATTAACTTTGCTATTGCTTATCCTTGTGATCTGGGAAAAAAAATTATGTCACTTTATCTGTTTCCTTAGCTGTACTTCCTAGTTTCATGGTGGCCTTGGCGATTAACTTTATTTAGTATTGTAAAACAGACTATGAAGAGTACTGTATAGATGCTGGTGACATGAAGCATTTCACTATTACACAGTTTCATTGCCAAAGACTTTTTAATATCCTGTTTTATTAGGCAGTCTCAGTCTTTGGTAATAAAATTCTTTGCTTCAGTCCAGCCAGTTATGTTTGTCCAGGTGTTGCCTTCACTGGTCTTATGCTTCAATTTAAATAACAAACTTCTGTGCGAGGCACTTGCTAGCTGCTGGGGGTGTGGAGACCGAAACAAGATGGTTTCTGCCCAGGGAGCTTGCAGAGACAAAGAAGTAAAGATTAGGTCATTTTAGGAGTGGGAAAGCTTAATGGGAGAAGGGCATTGGAGTGGAGCCTTAAAGGAAGTGGTTGACGCTATTTTAAACTGCATCTGGGAGACAATGGTATAGAAGTGGTGCTGTGGGCTTGAGATAGAGAAGGTTCGTATTAGCAGCTGTAGGGAGCACAATAGAGTCAATTAGGGAAGCCTAAAAGCATTTTTGTAGAGCATCAAAATCTCATTAGTTATTAGGTAACAGGAATTTGTAGCAGCCCCTACTGGTACCATTGCATGACTTTCTTCAATGGTAATTAGCATCTTGGAGTGAGAGCAGGAAAGGCAGTGGCCAAGGTGTTCCAGAGCTGAGGCTTGGCAAGAGTGGAGGATAGTGTGTAGTTTAAAAAGTTAACCATCTAGGTCTAGATTGTAAAGGGAAGAAAGTGAGTATGTCAGGGGTGACATACTGGGGTAACAGAGATTAGAAGTTATGATAAAGGTGAAGAGTTTGTAGGGAGTAAATTAAAGATAGAGATGGAAGGAAAGGAAATTGTGATTGGAGGGGAATTAAGTGTTTAAAAATTATGGAGGAAAGTTTGGAGTGTTGGTGGCATCTGAAATGTGGTTATGGTGGAGTGAAGATATGTGGAAGTTAGGGAAGTTGAACTTAGAGGACAGGTTTTTGAGGAGACTGATCATTATGTAATTGAAGCCTCCAAGTAAGAAGGCAGGAGATAGGGCATAAAGGAAGACTTAGGTGTCTGGACCCCTTGAAAAAAGGAGAAAACGAACCTTTCTTCTTTGTAAAGAAAGGTTGGCAAATGGGTGTGGAACGATGTGTGGAATGGTGCCATGTAGTGTCAGACTTGGTTGAAATGTTGGTTAGTTTTGCTGAACTTTTTTTTTCTTTTTTGCTGCAAAGCATGGCTTGCTGGGTGGGAGAGAAGTGAGGGATCTATTTAGAAATGAAGGTAATGTAAAAATAGGATCTTTGAATAAAAGTATAACTTTTGAGTTTTGATTTGCCTGGCTCTTTAGAAAGGATGATATCTCTCCTACAGGGGGAGCTGTTATTTCAGGTTTGTGTTGTTATATCAACCTCTTTCCCGTCTAGATTGGGCAAAACAAATCCCCCAAGCCTACACTGGGCAAAAAAGAAGAATTTGGGAAGATTGATGAAGATAAGAAATGATTAGCACTAGTAGAGGCTCTCCTACATCTGTCCCTTCCTTGTTGCTGAAATAGGCACCATCCTCATGTAGGTCTTACTCACCTCTTAGTGGATTATTAATTTTTTTTCCTTGTCTAATTCACTTTTAGATAGTAAACTCCTTGAAGGTGCAAGTTGGCGTTTTTCTTTTTTTCTGTTTCTAGCTCTTAGTACAGTGTCTTATATGTAGTCCCTTATTCCTTTTTGTTGAATTGAATTGTTACTTAGCTTTTCAAATTGTCTCATGCTTTCAGTCCTGTTTTTCAACACATCAGTTCTTTATTGCCTTATATTCATAAATATAGGGATAATTTCAGCTGCCAGAAGAATGATAGCACTGTTCTTTAAAAATTATGAGTTGAAAGGATTGAGGTAAAGTTTTACTAGAATACTTGAATTTTTTTTTCCTTCACCGTCAGTTGTCCCTGGCTAAAGTAATTGGTTGGAGAATTATAGTCGAATCTCATTGCAGGTGGGATAAAAATAGGTGAGGTCCAGCTAGACTGGGTCTGAGGTGGTTAAGAAACATTCTCTCATATAGGATTGTCAACCAAAATGGCTCTTTTCTGATCTGTCATCCTTGCTTCCCATTAGCATCTATCGTATTCATCATCTGGACTACCATGAAGTTCAGGCTAGTGGATTGTCAGTCGGTGAGTTGCCAACTGTATCCTGTTAAGGGTGCTGTCTCTTCCGTGTAGGCTATGTGTTGGCCCTTCCTCGTTTGGGTCAGATCTGTGCTTTGGTTCTGAGTCTGTTGCTGGGTATTGTGAATAAGTGGGTCATTTCGACTCTTCGTAGTCCCTATTTGGGATTTTCCTGTCAAAGATAGTAGAGTGGTTTGCCATTTCCTTCTGCAGCTCATTTGGCAGTTGAGGAACTGAGGCAAACAGGGTTAAGTGACTTGCCCAGGGTCACACAGCTAATAAATGTCTGAGGCTGGATTTGAACTCAGGAAGAGAGGCCTTGCTGACTCCAGGCCCAGCACTCTGATCCACTGTGCCACCTGGCTGCCCTGAAGAGATGAGTAGGAAAATGGCTCACTCTATTTAATTTTGTGGCCCATTCTGTGGTGTGGTAATACTCCACTATTGTTAGTAATCCTGTTTCCTTTTGGCAGGACTGGCAGGAGCTGTGGGTGGATGATGCCATCTGGCGGTTGCTGTTCTCGATGATCCTATTTGCCATCATGGTTCTGTGGAGACCATCTGCGAACAACCAAAGGTCCTAGTCTCATAGCAGGACCATTTGTTGATAGGAACTTTAGTTCTTCCTAGTTCAGAGTGCATCTTATGTGTAGATGAAGAGAGAGAGATGGGAGATATACTGAGCATCCCATCTGCTGTCCAGCCTACAGAATAAAGTCTAGATTTTTATTGAGGATACCTTACTCTTCTTTGGAAGGATAAGGGAACTATAATGAAAACTTGTTTGACTGTTTTGGGGAGTTAATAATCTAGATGGTAGTTAGCTTTATGAAACTATAATCAGTTCTCAGTTACTTAGGGAATAAGCTGTCAGATAACTTTGAGAATTATCCAGTCCTTTTTTTTTTCTCTTTCTTTCTTTTTCTCTCCCATTGGCTTTGAATTTGGGCATTTTACCATTGATAAACACTGTTAATGGAGACTGGGCATAGAAAAATGATGAAACTAAAAGCAGCCAGTTTTTCTAATTGGTTAAAGGCTTGGAGGTGGAGGGAGAGGTTGAATCTCTAGGTTGGCTCAATAAAATTTTCAGTTATCTGAGTATTTATCTAAGCTATCTTTGCCTTTTGTTGAGAGAGGTAATTGAGAATTTCATTGGGGGCCGGGGGGAGAGAGAGCGTTCCTTATTAGAGATGTCCAAAAATGGAGCGAGCTGCCTTGGGACGGCGGTGGCTTCTCCCTTATTGGCTGTCTCCAAGCACAGCCTGGATGTGCACTTTTGGGGTATGTTACAGTGAGAGTTCCTTTCCAGATTGGACTAGACTGCTGATGAGGTGCCATTCAGCTCTACAATTCTATGATACTTAATTGTTTTTTTTATGAATGAACATAAATGTACCTACAGAAGCAGTCCTAGAAAACTGGACCTTTTCATCATCTAACTCAAATATTGGAGTCTTTATATTGTCTCCTTTTTCTTCCACATTTTTGCCAATAGGTTTGCCTTTTCACCATTGTCCGAAGAAGAGGAAGATGATGAACAGAAAGAGCCCATGCTGAAAGAAAGCTTTGGTAGGTATAAATTTCACCTTGACCGTGTTTTTCTTTCTAAAAATGGGATCTTAGATTTAGAGTAATAGGTGCAATTTACTCTAAGCTTTACATGATTTCATGTAAGGAAACTAGATCTTTCTCATCCTTCATTTCTAGTATTTTTCTTATCCATGGCATGTGCTTTAACAGTTTAGTACTGTTAGTACTAACATATCAGTACTTCTGGATCGGTTTCTGTATTCTTTGCTGGTCTGTGTCTATCTATAGAGCTAACCACTCTGTTCAATTTAGTTTTTAATACCTTCATTCTGCAGAAGGAATGAAAATGAGAAGTACGAAACAAGAACCAAATGGAAATAGTAAAGTGAACAAAGCTGTGAGTATGAACTCCACCTTCCAGTCCCCTTCTTTATTCTCCCATACCCTGGGAAGTGTCCCACAGCCTTACTCATTTGACTGTAATCCTTTTTTTTTGGTATATTTCCTGAATTGTGAACAAAATCTAACCTCATCACATAATTTATGTTTTGTTAAAGTATTCCATGGAACAGTATTGAAAATGTAGACAAAGCTGAATTAATCTGGATTTTATGACCATTTTTGATTAAAGTTTGTTTTAATCAAGTTTAGTTTGGAAATAGTCTGAATTATGAGAAAAGAAAAAACTAAAAGATGGCAAATATTTACTTATAATTAATTTCTCATTTTAAGACTTTTTAAGTCCTTTGTAGGCAGCTAGTTTTTGAAAAAATTCATGCATACTGTGTAGTAAAAGTATTTCAGACCAGTGTAATGGTTTTTGTCCAGGAGTTTTCATCAGGGAATCACCATTCTTGGGTGTGATAATACACACTTTAGCTGAAGAAATATCCCTTTACCTCAATAATAACCCAAGATGATCTGCTTTCTGTCAATAACTAAGATTTTCTTAATAAGTGCTAATCAGTTTAGAAAAATATTACACTTCTATCTCACATAAGGGTGCCTTATTCATTATAATTTTTAATGTTCATTCATGACATAACCATATATGGATGGAAAATCTTTAAAACTATTAAAAATATTTTTAGTTTGTATTGCTACCTTTTGTTTTTATAATGCCATTTCTTATTGTATCCCTCCCCTTCTAGCTAACCAACCTTGAATGAAAAAGAAACAGGGAATAGAAATTAATTTAATTAAACAAGGTATCAGCTATCTGTTTATATGCACTTGAAAAGCAGCAAAAACTTAAACCAATGATTAGAGCAGAGTACAAGAATGCATCAGATTAAAATTTTAATTTATTTAGTTTGGAATAAAATCACTGAATTTCTTCATGACTTAGCAGCTCCCCTCTGTTAAATTAATGTGACTTTGGTGCTCAAAAAGATTTTTTAAAAAGCTTTAAGGTATTTAAAAGTGCATAGTAGTTTTTATTGGTATTTTGGGGGTGCTATTTTTCATAATATAAAAATAATATTGAGCTTTTTGGGATTTGCAGTAGTTTTTGATTGTGTTTTTGTACTTACCAGGTAAATTTTTTTTTTAATTACCTACCCTAATTCTTGTGTTGTTCAATTTTCATTCTGGTGATACCTGCTAAATTTTGACTTCCAGCAGGAAGACGATTTGAAATGGGTAGAAGAAAATGTTCCTTCTTCTGTGACAGATGTGTGAGTATTTGAATTGACTCAAAAAATTGCTTTTAATAGCCAGGATGATTTTGTTACTTTGTTGATGAATTGGTTAAAATAACAGAATGTTCAACCAGAAGAGAAATTGATTAAAGTACTAGAAGTGATGTTAAGGAAAAGTTAAAGGAATTGAGATTATTTAACACAGGCTGATTAGTAATTTAGGTTCCAAGTTGTTGGCCCAGTAAAAGTAAATAATAATCAGTTATTTTTATTTTGTGCTCAGAAGAGGAGAAAATGGATTTAAATTCAGCAAGAAGCATTTCAGATAAACAAAAGAATTTCCTAACTTCAAATGAAATTTGCTTAATATTTTTCTTTAATGTTTTTCTTAAAAAAACACTTCTGTTGAGTTGCTTAAGGGGTAATCTTGCCTAAAATGACATAATGGAAGAGATGATTTTTTTGAAGTTCTGTAAGTTCTTACCAGGGCTGTAAGTGTAATATACTATTAATTAGCATGTAAAATCTTAGTTCTGCTTTTTTCAGTGCCATTCCATTTTATTTCTTATGACATTTCTTGCTGTGAAAGGCCCACTGAATTTTTTGTATACACAAGGCCCTAGGTAGTTGTAGCAAAAGCTTAATGTTGCATTCTTAATTCCATTTTTTAGAGCATTATATTCTCTAACTGTCGGTGTCTTTTTTCTTCTCCAGAGCACTTCCAGCCCTTCTAGATTCTGATGAGGTCAGTAAACAAACTTTTTAAAGTAAATTCTCTGATCTAATGACATGCAGGAGTCATCAAGGAGATTATTTTGACTTTGTTTACCTAATATCTTTGAGGAAAAAAAATATGGAAAGCAAGACAATAAAAATATAATTTTCAAGTGTTCAGGGAAGGTTGGGTCCCCCGTAAACTTTGATGTAAATATGTGTCTCTTTTAAAAAGTTATAAAAGCAACCTACATCTTTATGTAAATTATATATGGCCAACCTAACTCCTCCCTATTTACTAATGTTTTTTTCAGATAACTTTCACCTGATGTGTTCAGGAAATACAAATGATTTTAATATTAAACTAAATTTAATAAGGAAAATTAAACAGTCACAAAAATAATACAGTACCCCAAAAGCAAATGGGGTTTTTAATTGTCTGTGGTTATACATGCCATTATTGTCTATAAATAATTGACTAGAGTGGGTGTACTTTCCTGTGTGTTAATTTTTGCAGTCTAGATGTTGGATGTAGTTTTAGAAATGTGTAAGCGAGGTCCTTTTTGCTTTCTGGGAAGCTGTGAAGGTCATTTTGATGGACTAGATCGTGTACAATTGTTTTTTTTGGTCTTTCTAATTACTGTGTGATGATAGACAAGTTCCTTGATTGCTCTTTTCCCCAGTTTCCTTATTGGTGTAAACTGAGAACAAAGCCTACAGGTATGAGTCCTAGGTCCTTTTCTGGCCTCTAGAATTTAGTCTACCAAATACATCTGGTATTCTAGGACTTGTGTATAGACTGTTATACTGGCAAGTTTCTAGTCTTCTTGGACAGCCACCCAAGTTAATCCTGCATATGAAGGTTGTTTTTCAGCAGACTTCTAGTGTCTGCTCACCTGCCAGAACAGCACTGCCTCCAAAGGCTGTCACTAGAGGGACATAACCCTCTGTACAGTTGCAGATAAGCTTATGTGCATATGGCAATCCTGCCTTTGCCAGCTTCTCTCATCTTTATGCTTTTTGCCTGGAATAACTGCACAATACTTGGCAATCATGTCTACTCATTATAAAGGTACAATTTGATTCAGCTCTTAAAATTGTCAATGGAAAATATAATTCCTACTATATGCTGCCCCTTTAAATATTGAAAAGATATGAATAGGTCCTTATGGTGGATGTATATTCTAGAATGTGTACGTTAAAATATCAACATGCCTAATCTAAAAAAGAAAAATTTTGAACAAGAAACCATGGTCCCTCTAAAATGAGCCTTTTTTTTCCCTTCTAGGAAAGAATGATCACGCACTTTGAAAGATCCAAAATGGAATGAAGAATGGAAAGTTTTCAGGGCAGAGCTCGTTTAGCATCAGGGAAGAGATCAGCATTTATGTCAGACTTCTGCCGCTGCCCCACTGGCTGAAAGGAGGCAGTGGCACACCCCTGATCTGTTCCTTGTGAGAGAGAGAGAGAGAGAGAGAGAGAGAGAGAGAGAGACAGGCATTACGACCAGGCAAGCGTCCCATTGGGAAACAGGTCACAGAATAACAAAATCCTTATAAAAGGTTCTGATTTACACTTCCCCCCTCTTCTACTCCAGATCCCTGACTTGGATGTTTAAGCAAACTACATGTTTTGTTTCAGCTATTTAATTTGTCAGACTAAAATTTTAACACCAAAGGGACAAAGTCCATAATATGTAATGCCCAGAAGCAACTGCCTATGGTTTTATTTATTTTTTTGAAGAGGTGATGGGGAAAGTTATTAATTATCCTTCAGTTTCCTGGGGAGCAAATGTTACACCTTGCAGAGCTAGTTGGGAGACAGAAAGGGCCCCTTTGAGTTAAGGAGTCCCCAGTACTATCAGTGATTAAAAGTACCAAAAAAATAGAAAGATTTGAAAACGTTAACAGTGAGATTCAGATCATTTTTTAAAGCGAAATCAAGTGCAATTTTGTTTACAAAATGGTGTATATTAAAGATTTTTTCTATTTCAGATGTAATTTAGAGAGAAAATATTAGCTTAACTCTTTTGATGTCTGCTGTTGTGACACATCCCATTGCTGGCAATGTGGTGCACACCTGAGAACTTTTAACTACTGCTCTGACAGCCTCTAAGTGCTGCATTGCTATCTCCTATGCAATGCTTTGTCTGCCCTGGCATTACAGGGATAATAGGTGTTCCCCTGGTATTGCAGCAGGTGCAGAGGCATTTCTTCCACCTGAGAGCATATGAGTGAACTTCCTGCTGGAAGGTACTGCAATGCTTCAGAAGAGGACAGGTGATTATAAAGGAAGCAGGTCCTTCCAGCTTAGTTGAATATCCCTGTTTGGGGTAGGAAACATTAAGGTGAACTGTTACTGTTTCTGGTGTTGGTTAAGAATGTTTACAAGCGTCACAAGGGGAGTTGCTGAATTAGAAACCATTTTAAGGACTCCATTTCTGTTCTAACAGTTTTCTCAACTTTTGCCTTCCCGAGTTATGGATTTCTGTTCTAAATACGAAAAGTTCATGCCACTTTTTAATATTAAAAACCTTAAAGTCAAAAGATTTCTGATTTTTCAAATTTTCTCTTATTCTTAATGATCTTTTTGTCTCTGAAACTCTTGTACCTTCTGTTATGGGGAAAATGTTCATTTCCATACCCTTTATTAGCTTTCTAGGATGAAAAACCATGTTGGTCAAGTACCTGCTTCTTAAAAAAAAAAAGTCAGCAATCCTTTTTGAGTTGTACAAGCTCTGCCAGAATTACCAGAAGTTTCACAGATGGAACTTCTTTTCAAGTAAACAAAAATATGAAGAGCCAATTACTTTCACATGTTAATTGCCTAAATATCTACTGTCAAAAGGCTGTAGCTATAATTTGCTGTTGATGCTTCTGATTTTGTGCCATAGCATTGAGAAGCACCAGCTATGATGCTGCCAATTTTTTGGTTTTAAATTGCTCAGGAATAGCAAGGAAGTTTATATGGGTCTAGTCCATACCTCAGGGGCTGGTAGTTCTCTTCCCCCGTTGCTGACAGTCTAGATTATTGAAATTTGATAACATCATGTCATTTGCATGAAAATTATGATCAGGCTCGCTATCACTTTTTTGGGGGTTGGGTTTGGGGCACAGTTCCCTGTTTTCCTGGAGCAGTGGTTAGATGTGATGGATCACAAAGTAGAGATGAGAAAGTGCTGCACCAAAACAGATGACTATCATACCAGTGGGCCACTGTAGCTGCAGCTCTCCCTCCATTTCTGGCCATGGACATGCCCCCGATCAGTAATTAACTAAAGATGTGTAAAACCAAGGTTTCACATGCACACTGCTTGGCACATAGGCACTTAATAAATACTTGCTGAGTTGAACTACAAATTCATGTTTCTTGATACCTAGTCCAGAATTCTTATTCTGCTCTGAACTTTAAACACTTTTTAATGTTTTTAGACTTGATTTTCTTCTGGGTGAATATTGACCACATTCAGATTATTTCTAGGACCAGGACTTGCATAGAAAACTCATCAAAGAGAAGAGAATTTTGGAAGCATGGAGTTTAGCATAAGGGAACCAAAAGGTGGTTGATAATACAGATGGGAATTGAGGGATGAAATAGGTTGCATGCACATCACCCAAGGTCCAAAGGGGAAGCTCTTAGGTAGAATTTATTGGAGGACAGTAGAGAACATTTGGCAGAAAGTTTTTTTTTAAAGGAAACAATTCTTGAAACCCGGTAGAGAAGGTAAGAGAGGAGCCCCTTGGAACCTGCAGCTTGAGAGAGGCCCGGGACGGGGCGGGAGATGCCCCATTCAGTCTCCAAGACAGTCCAGGAGTTGGGACACTGTCGGGGGTGGGAGAGTGCCAGTACAGCCGCTGGGCCATTTTGCTTTTCACTCACATTTTAGGGGTCCTGATGGCAGAGAAGGCCGGCATCACCTCCTGCCTTACCTGTCTTCAGATGGGGCGGTATGGCCTAGCGGGGCGGGGGGGCGGCGCTGCCTTTTTCCGGAGGCCCCTCACCTCGAGCCCGGGTGACCGGGGAGAGCCTCCCACCGAGTGAGAGGTCCATGGATCGACTTCAGAGAGTCCACGTGCTCCGATGGGGGATGAAAAATTACTCATTTTCACTAACTTTAAACTGATATTTATCATTTCCAACAATTAAAAAAAAGGCCACTCTTATTAGAAGGGGTCTATGGGCTTTACTACATTGAGAAAGGGATCCATGACCCCAGAAAGGTCAAGAAGCCCGGGACTCCGGAGACGTCCAAACTGGTGGGCGGTTACCACGATCGAGACAGTGATTCCGGGTTCAGGAGGCGGGCACTTTGGAGGAAGGGGCGGGGCCTCAGCGCCGGAAGGGGCGTGTCATCACCATCGCAGCAGGAAGTTTGTAGTTGTCGCCGCTGTCGCCTCCTCCGTCCCCGCCTCCGCTTCCCCTCGGGCCGGCAAGGCCGAAGGCTCGTCCCCCGGCCAGAGACCGCTCGTTCGCTGCTCACGACCCGGCCGCGGCGACGCGGGCCCCCCCGCCGCTGCCATGCATGACGCCTTCGAGCCGGTGCCGATCCTGGAGAAGCTGCCGCTGCAGATCGACTGTCTGGCGGCCTGGGGTGAGGGGGCGGGGCGTGTGTGTGTGTGTGTGAGAGCGTGTGCGCAGCGGGAGTGTATGGGGGGGTGCCCCGTGGCGTGGGGCAGGTCGGGGTCGCAGAGCGCTCGGGGTCCGAAACCTGTCGTGGGAGGGCGGGGAAGTCAGTGGGTGACGGAGGGAGCTTCCACTTGGCCGTGGCTGGGGGAGGTGGAGGGGATAAGTTCACAGCCTCAGTCAGCGTCGTTCCTGACGTTCCTTGGAGTTGGATGGGTCAGTGTAAAGAGAAAGTAAGCAGAGCTGTCACTCCAGCAGTCATGCATTTCCTAAGCTCCTGCTTTGTGCCTGGCATTGGGCCACACATACAGAGGCGAAGGTGAAGCCAACAGCCCCTGTAATTGAGGCACTTGCACCTAACCGGCTGTACAAATAGTACATACATACCAAATAGAGTCAGGGGTAGTGAAGGACACCCGCATGCCGAAACATCAGCCAACCAACGGACTTTTGAGGCACTGTGCTAAGCACCCGTATTGTATACTAGTCAAGGGTTTGAATTTTTCCTTAGGAATCGGGTCTTCTCTGGGGTGCATTCCTCCCTATTGGATTTAGTTTTTTTTTTTTAATTTAGAAGTATTTAGTTTACACTTCTAACCAAAGACTGCTAATGGATATCTCACTGCCATCTTTCTTTTTCTGTAGGTAAGGGACTGGTTTTAGTTAGCTATCCAGAAAGACCCTTTTTTGAGTTATTGGGAAAGCACTGGGGAGAGGTAGGCCCAGCGTTGATTTTTCTTTACTACCTGTAATCCTAGGAAGTCAAGCTTTATTGTTTGAAATCGTGGGTGGCATAGTGTCATTCCAAATTGTCATGAGATGTAGCTCATAAATATTGCAGTGACCCATTTGGGATTGACCAGTGCAAAGATTTGGGCCTGATACCTCTGGATTGACCTGAGTGACATACAGGTCTAATTGGGACTGAGTTCACTGAGCCAAGGAAATAAATGAAAACCATTTTTTAAGTGTTTACTGAGACTCAAGTGCTGTGCTAAGTTCTGGGGATACAAATACAAACATAGACTCCCTTTATTAGTCTATGCCTTCTGATGAGGGAGGCAAAACAAGTAGAACAACACACCTAGTTTGGTGAATGGTAAATTGACATACTCCTTTCATGAAGAAATGACAGTTTATTTGGTCATGACTAGGCTAAACCTAGCCCTCTGTCTATGAATGGATTAAGCCTTGGGTCAGACAACTATAACAGGTGAGCTTAGGTGAACTCTGATAATCCATTAACTTCCAGGTTTTAACATTAGAATCCTTTTCCCAAATTAGATCTTACAATGCATTGGGAGGTGAGTGAAATGAGTGTTGCTTGGCAGGTGTAAAATCATCTGGTAAAAAAACTGACCTATCACCTAAGCAAATCTGCTGTAACCACTTCTGCCCCATTATTCTACTTCTAGTTTATACGCATGCCTTCAAAAGTGTTGTACTTTCCTTGAAATCAGGCAGCCTTTAAGAAACTGATCTGTACTTTGGGAGTCAAGAGAGGATCCCACCTACTATAAAAATCTCTTTGAGACTACGGTCTTTTACCATTAAATTTAGGACAGCAAGGGAAAAAATCTCTTAATAGAGTGTGTGGTTTGTATATGAGTGATATGTAGTAAATATAGTATATGAAGTATACTGCTTTAGAATCTTGACTTCTAGGAGAGAAAGAATCATGTTATATATTTGTTCAGGTGAATGCCCAGCACAGTTAGTCCTCTCTGCAGCCTAGTCATAACCATTTTACACACACATATACACACACTCTCTCTCTCTCCCTCCCCCCCTCTTCCCCTCTCCCCCCCTCCCCTTCCCCCCTTCCCCCTCCCTCCTTGATATATATATAACCTGAATTCAAATCTGTGTGCCTCAAGTTTTCCAAAGGTACAGCAGACTGACATACTGTACCTTCTTACAAGAATGTGAGGCAAATTGACGAAGTCATGTGAATATTGTACTTTCCCCTCTTTAGAAGGAATGTTAGATCACATGAAATCCATATCTGAAAGAGAGAGATGGTTTATCTTAAGAAATTCCAAATAAATGAGTGAGAGTGATCAGATAGTTTCAGTCCCTAAAGAATAATATCTGCCACTCTAACCTATCCCCGTGTTTTATGATTTCTTTGATGCTTGATCAAGGGAACATTTTAGTAGAAGTGGAAAACAGGACAATGTGTTATTAAAACATTGTTTTGCTTGCTCACTGCCTTTGGAGGCAGTGTTGCTATGATACCAACAACTGTGGGAAAGGCTGGTAAATTTTGTGGACTATTGTTTTTTGGACTTTCCTTATGGCTATTGAAGAACCATCAAGCCTAAAAGTTTGCTCTGCCACGTAGCATGCAGCTAGTGAGGTATACATTCAACCTCCACATATCCCCTCAGCAGGTCTTTAAAAATAATTAGTTCCTGTACTCCCAGGGGGACCTCTTCTGACCACTTTATTATTAGAGCTAGCCCAGTTTTGGACTGGCTGTGATTTAGAGGCCACTATGAAACTTGGTCTTTTTCTCTCTTTTTTTAGGTAGATTTTTATTGATATCTTTTCTTACATCACTTATATTTCCCCCACTATTTCCCCCATTCTCCTCTCCTCTATTTTTTTTTAGAGGAAGAAGAGAAAAATAAAAGTTTAACACCTTGAAAATATATGCAGTTTCCAAGGAGGAGGGGCATATCTTATCTTTTTTCTTCTTTAAGGCCATTCTTATTCATTATAACATTGCAACATTCAGTTTCAATTGTTCTACTTTATTGTAGTCATTATATATCTTATTTTTCTGGCTCTACTTCAGTTTGCATCAGTTCACATAAATCTTTCCATGCTTCTCTGCATTCATCATGTTTGTCATTTTTTACAGCACAGTAATAGTCCATTACATTCATACACCACAATTTGTGTAGCCATTCCTGAATTGAAGGGTATTAATTTTGTTTCCAGTTCTTTGCTACCACAAAAAATGTTGCTATAAATATTTTGGTGTACTTAGAGCCTTTCTTTTTTATCAGCAACCTTCTTGGGGCATATACTTAGCTGTAGAATCTCTGGGTCAAATGGCATGGACATTTTAGCCACTTGAGTTGCATCATTCCAAACTGTTTCCCAGAATGGTTGTACTAATTTACAGCGCTACTAATGATGTATTAGTGCACTTGTCAATCCCTCCAACGTTGGCTATTCCCACCTTTTGTCATCTTGGCAATTTGCAAAGTCTGAGATAAAACCTCTTCATGATTTTGATTTGCATGTCTCTTACTAGGAGTGATTTGGAGCATTCTTTCCAAACTGTTAGCAGAGATATTTGCTACAAATTTTTTTTCCCCCAAGGTGGTGGATCATCTTCAAGGCTATTCCAGTGATTGACACATTATATTTTCAAAGGAAGCTTCAGGTTCATTTTTTGGTCTTGTCTCTTTTCTTTACCAACCATTTTTGAAGCCCAGAATGGTAGTCAAGACAGGCCCAGGCTTCGTAAGCCCCAAGACTGAGCCTTGTCAGGTGAGAACTAACACAGCCCCCACAGGTGCTTGATGGGGTCACCTGGAGTCCAGACATACTTGCTAGAACTTTGCCCTGGTCAGACCATATCTCCTATGTAATATGCAGTTCTAGGCACCACATTTTAGGAAAGACACTTAAAAATTGGAATATTCACAGGACCACTACTTATTTTGGATATCCACTGACTATGAGCCATTTTTGTTTTATCCTTGGAAGATAAGATCATTTTTGTTCGCAAAAAAAAAAAGAAAGAAAAAAAATGGAGTTAAGCGGCTCTTACCTTTTCATTGCTCAGGCAGAGGTTCTATCGCCTCTTGATCCTCTTCCATTTCCTAGTGTAGCTTTTAAGAGAGCCCTCTTTGTTCTTAGCTTTCGTTGCCAGCCTCAGCTCATTCAGAACTTTACCACCTATTCCTGGACGCTCCTCTTGTCAGACTATGCCTTGTTTTTGAATTCATTTTTGGTTAGCTGTCCTTGGTTCCATGGTTAAAAATCAAAGGTGAGGGATTTGTTCTCTGTGTCTTCCCATCAGTCTACATAGATCTCCCCTTTTTCTCCTCAGTGGAAAGATGTATTTCTCTTGATGCATTTGATAATTTCATTCTGGAGAACTTCTTGTCTCTCTTGGGCTGACTTCCTTGCAGAACTTTTAGTCCATGGGATCCAAACTGGCCTTTCCACAAACCTTTTAAAATCTCTTTCCAAATCTAGGGGTCATGTGAGGCTGTGTGTGTCTTTTTTCTCTGTCAGACATTTTTAATTGAATGCTCATGCTCACTTCCCTATATGGTCTTGTCACTTCCATCACTGAAACCAGTTCCTCTTGGCTGGTGAAAATCAGATCTAAAATAGAAATTCCTCCTTAAAAGATGGAGAGCCCACTTCCTCACCAAGGTCTCCATCACTTCCAACACTGAAACTAGATCCTCCTTTTGGTGAGGATTGGATCGAAAGTGGAATTTCCACCTTTTGAATGATGGTATCATTCACATTTTTAGGAGCTCTGCTTTTAGCAGAGAGGGGAAGCTCCAGCAGATATATGGATAATTGAAATCCTCAATCACTACTACATATCATACTTCTATGCTAGGCTTGTTATCTGTTTTCTCTTTCTGTCCAGATGGGTTAAAATATGTTCTGATAACAGTATCAGTCCTCTTTTATCTTCATTGAAATGTTCTCTACCATGCTTTCCCCTTCTTTGGTTCTTGGATTTCCTTGTGATTATATCTTATTTAATATATAGTGCTACTCTGTCCCCACCCTTTTATCTGTTCTGTTTCTTTTGAATAGCTATACCTTTCTATAGCCATATTTCATTCATATATCTGTTAGGGAATTCTCTCAGTTGAGAGGAATGGGACATCTCGGAGTAGACATTACCTGTTAACGAGTCCGGTGTCCATTGACCATTGGTCAAAGATTGGAGACTAAAACAAAAGCAAAGAATTTAACGCTTTTCACAGGAATGGGAAGGGCAGAGGATGGGGGCCTCATTCGAAGAAAAAAAGTGAGGTTTCTGGGGGCATATTTACCATGCAATTGGCAGGGTTTGTTATTGGAGTGAGAAGACATTCCCTGTTCAAGGGCAGGAGACATGGGGAGGTAACAAATACTTTTACAGTTGTGAAAGAAATCTTTTTAGACAAAACTGCAGGGTTGAGTAACCGCTTAGACAAGACTACGGGTATTTCTTACCCAAGGACAATAAATAGTTGCTACAATAGTGGATGCAACCATCTGCTTTGTTATATTTTACTCCTCCTTACTTTCTGCTGTTAGGCTGCCACGGGGTTGAGAGAATTTCCACATTCTTGGTCCATCACGATGTCAAGAAATGATTGTGCTTCCTGTTTTTCCCTGCAGGTCTCATTCTACCAAATCTCACTGATAACTGTGAGGTCAAATTTGCCTCCTTGTGTTAGTATCGCTAGTTTTCTTTGTTTGTTACATATACTTTATGCATTTGAGTTTAATTGTCTTGAGGCCATGGGTTTTATCACTAGCTCATTTCATTTATTTTGTCTTCTGTGAATTTTTGGGTGCTTTTATTTCATTCTTCTTATACTCTCTAGGGTACTAGAAGGAAGAGGCAGCTAGGTGGTGAAGTGGATAGAGTGCAGAGTCTGAAGCGAGGAATACCTGACTTCAGTTCTAGCCTCAAACACTCACTAGCTTTGTGACCCTGGGCAAATCATTTAACTGTGTGCCTGACTTTGCCTCAGGCACTGCTTGCCTCAGTTTCCTCAACTGTAAAAAATGAGGATGATAACAGCACCTACCTTCTACGAGTATTGTAAGGATCAAATGAGATCATATTTGTAAAGCACTTAGCACAGTGCCTGTCTCATAGTTCATAGTAGGAGCTTAATAAATGCTTGTTCCCTTCCCCTCTCTAACTTGGTATGGGTATAGATAAATGGTGTTTTCCGTCTGTTTTCTTTTCTCTTTTGATTGTTATTGATATGCATATTACCTTCATCCCTTTCCCCTAACCATTAAGAAATTAACCAGTTCATCAACCAAATCTGACAATATATTTAGTGATCTATACCCATAGTCCCATACCTGTACAAAAAAGGGAAGGAGGTAGTTGCTGTTTTCAGTCTTTTTGTTTTCGTCAGTGAAAAGCAAATGTGTGTAATGTTACCTTTTCCTGAGGTTCTGTCTTTCCCTCTTGTTATTTCTGGGGCACCCCATCCCTGGAGCTACTCTAGATTCTGATAGTGAGCTTCTACTTTATATTGGCCAGAATCAGGCTTCCATCTCTGTTCTCACCCACCAGCTCTTATTGTGTGGTGTCTTCCTCCATTACCAGGTAAGCTCCTTCAGGGCAGAGACTATCTTGTTTATTTGTATTTGTATTCCTAGCATTTAGCACTGTGCCTGGCACATAGTAAACACTTAATAAATATTCTGTCTGTTATCTGTCTATTTGTTCATCCATCTATCTATCTAGTAATTGTTGGGTGTAGAAAAAATAGTAAGTATATACATATTACTCCTAATGTAATTTCATCTCCTTCACCTTTGTAAAGTCAGAGGTTTGCACTTTTAACTTAAGTTAGCCTTATTATAGATTTTTATGTATACTATACATGAAGGTAAAATTCTCTCTTATTCAATCTGTTCAATTTTTATTTAATATGATTTTCATATTCTTAAATTTAGTAATTTGTGTGTCAAACTGCTGTACTAATATTTAAATATATAGTTGTAAATACAGTATATTTTCTTTAAAATGCAAGTGCTATCAGTAGAATTCTTTTTTTTGATATTCTGTTTCAATAGAATCCTCCAGTAATTCAGTGTTATTTTTCATTGACACTTAAAAGTCTCAAAAGACACATGTTGCTTTTCCTTTTTATGTACTGTTTGCTTTTAAAAAAGAATTAGCTGTCCTCAAGACGCTGAGGAAATGAACTTAAAAAAACCAAACAAACCAGATTAGGTTCCTCATTTGTTCTTTCTACACTAATGGATCAGTTCTTTGACTTAGCATCAAAGGAGAATAAATACCTAATGATGTGTGATTCAGCACTTAGTCTTTCGTACTGGTACCAAGACAGTTGTGAGAAGGTGTCGTTAGTGGTCTTCTCTGACTTCATCCTCAACAAATTAAACCATTATACCTGGGGGAGACTGCGTTGTGGCTGACAAAGTGCTGGGGCTGGTTCCAGAGCATCCCTGTATTTGCTACTTAGGTGACCATGTGCAAATCTCTTCACTCTCCCAGGCCTCATTTTCTTGATTTGTAAAATGAAGGGGATGGATTAGAATCTAGATGACTCTGAAGTTCTTTCTAGCTCATAATCTATGATTTTATAAACATCAGTCATATCTCTTCAGCATTTGTCTTTTCAGACTGAAAATGTCTTCATTTTTAATCGTCTGTTTCCATAGAGAAGTCCTGGATTTATTGAAACATCTTTGAAAGATTTGGGGCCAGTGCTGTGTCTTATAATTCTCTTATTTTCCACAATGACTAGTACAGTGCTGGGCTTAACAAAAATGTATTAGTTGATTCTTAGAGGTCTCTTGAATGAATACACTCTCAAGCATTGCAAGATAACAGCTTTTGAAAGCTGCTCTGATCTTTCACCTTCTCCACAGTACACTTATGTGTTCTGATGTGGGGATTATTGGACGGAGGAAGTAGGGTTATATTAGGCCTCACTGAACTTCATCTCTTTCTTTCCAGAGGAATGGCTTCTTGTAGGAACCAAGCAAGGTCATCTCCTCCTCTACAGGATTCGGAAGGATGTTGGTGAGTAGCAGAGAACATAGTGGGATCTAAGGCCTGAATGGCTTCTTTTTAGTCGTAGGAGATAGTAGACAAGAAGATGTCATCCAAAATTTCTTTCAGCCCCAAAACTCAGTGACTCCATGACTCTTAAGTTAGGTCTTTGACAAATATCCAGGGATCTCTTCATTCATGGTACCTGTGGTTCATTTAAAAGCTCCCAGGAGGTGATTAGGGGAAAGAACGCTGGATTGCGAGTCAGCAGACCTGGATTCTTGTTCTACCCATCATTAACCACGTGTCCTGGGTAACCTGCAAAGTTGTGAAGATGAAGTGGGACAATCTAGAGAGCATGGGATTTGTAGTCAGATGACCTGGGCTAAAATCCTAGCACTGCTACTGATTGTCTTTGTGACCTTGGGCAAGTCACTTGACCTTTCTAGACCTTGGTTTCCTCAACTGTTCATGAGGTTGAGGGGACCTTCAATCCATTTTTAAATCTAAACTCCTGTAAGACATTACTCCCTTGTAAGGTGACATTCCAGAGCCCTGGTCAGGACACTTGGCTATTCCATTGATGGTGAAACATTTCATTGTGTCTTTGAACAAGGGCTGGACTGGGGTCAGAAAAACTGGGGTTAGAAGTCCTGTGTCTTCCACTTTACTGTGTGATTTTGGGCAGGTCACTTAATTTTTCTGAGCCTTTGTCAATAACAATATGGGATAGTTTGGAAATGATTCTATTGTCAAGCTCTTCCTATAACTTATCTTTATTTATTTTTTTGTTTTAAATGGGGAAGGCTTCCTGTAAGAGGTAGGATTTTCATTCATTGTTTCTCCTTTTGGTGAGTTTTTTTAGGCAATTGGGGTTAAGTGACTTGCCTAGGGTCACGCAGCAAGTGAGTGTTATGTGTCTGAGGCCAGACTTGGACTCAGGTCCTTCTGACTCCAGGGCTGGTGCTCTATCCACTGCACCACCTAGCTGCTCCTCCTGTAACTCATCTAAAAAATAAACCATTACCTACACCCTTTTAAAGTTTTCTGTCTATAGATTTGACATGTATGTTTGTAATATGCACATAGACATAAGTTGCAAATGGCCAACTTTTGGTAGTATATGGCATATAGTCACGGTATATATACTCCTTGGTACCTCTGATGAATTGTTTAGTCTCCATGTGTTTCATTTATCCCCCAAGTAAATGAGAATAGTGATATTAACCTAACTCAGAGGATTGGTAAATCTGACAGTTAATCAAGTGCTTTAGGAAATTTCATTCTTTCCCCAGGTGATCCTAGGAAGTATCTAGTTCTAGCCCAGCACTTGGTAATGTAGGTCTGGAATCATGGTGGCCCAGAGGTTCTCTTTCTGCTTCAAAGAGCCCTTGGAAGCCAGAGTAGTTCAAGAAGTGACCTGAAGAATCAGGTTATCTCTAAAGTGGACCCAGGTCACTTGATCATTTTAGAATCCCAGAGCCATCATAGGTTCCCTCAGGAATAGGATCAGAGCTGGAAGGGACCTCAGAGTCCATCTAATCCAAACCCTTTATTTTACAGGCTCAAAAAAACTGAGAGGGGCAGCGAGGTGGCACAGTGGATAGAGCACTGGGCCTGAAATGAGGAGGACCTGAGTTCAAATCCGGCCTCAGACACTTGACACTCGCTAGCTGTGTGACCCTGGGCAAATCACTTAACCCCACTGCCTTGCCAAAAAAACAAAAAACTGAGACCCAAAGAAGTCAGGTGACTGGCCCAAAGTCACACATGTAGGCAGCATCAGAGGTGGGATTTGGATCCAGGTCCTCAGAATCTCAACCTAGTGTTCTTTCCACTATCCTGTGTTATCTCCTGAATACACCTGAGCCTTCTTATGTAAATCTAGAAGTTATACAGCTTTTCCAGGACTGGACTAGATGGGACTGACACCAGGCTATCCTTTGAGGAAGTGAGAAAGGTTGATATCAGGTTGGCCTTCATCTATACCTTCTCACTGCCTCCTACTCCTATTACATTTTATGCTTTGTCAAGATACCAAGACAATTCTTATTGGATAAAGTAAATAAGCCACTTGTGAAAAGCAAAGTATTACATCAAGGAGGACATAACTAAGACTTCCCTCTTCTTTCTGGGGAGTATGTCACCCCATATGTAATTTAGAGTTTCCAACAGACTTTTGGGCTTCATCTGTAGGAGGTGAAACAGGGCCTTTGCTGTTGTAGCCATGGTAACAAACACAAAGAGTGATCACAGGTTGCATAGAGAATAGTATGATAGCCATATGGAAAATGTGAAAACTGTTTAACAGTAAAAATGCACACCATCACTTATATTAGGGCTATTTCCCTTTGTTTCCTGAGAAATTTTTTTTCCCTGACACATTTCTAAGGCTGACTTTTAGTCAGGTTGGGCAGGAGTCATATTTCTGTGGTATATAATATTTTATTTATTTTTGCAACAGCACCAACATTTGTGGCATCACTAGAAAGTTAGCAGTAAGTTTGGGTGCCTGAAACTGCTTTAAGCCTTGGGCTGGAGCTGAGTGTGTGTTCTGTCCTGTGCTCTGGTCCGTAGAGTAGTTCCTGGGCTTTAGTTATCTAGACCCAAAGTCTTCTTTGGGGTTGGTCCTGGAGCTTGTGTGCTCTTTTATTTGATAACTTTGTGAAAGCCCCTTCCTTTCAGAATTTCTTGCCTAGGCCCTTGTTAGATAGGAAGAGTGAGTTCTGCAGGCCCACAAGTTCCTTTCAGCCGAATTAAATTCTTCTTGGGGAATCTCGCTCTGCTGTTGAGGGAAGGGGCATGAGAACCTGTCCTGTCAAGTTGAAGTTCAAACATTTCACCCTTTTCAGCAAAGACAACAAGAAGTTTTCAGTCTATGAATGCTTGTCTTTTTGACATTTCATACAAAGAAGTTTATAGAGTTTTTGGTTTGTGTTTTGTGGGCAGGGGGAGCTGGCTAATATATACCTTCATTAGAACTGTATGCAATTATTTCTTTTTCATAGGTTGCAACAGATTTGAAGTAACTCTAGAAAAATCCAACAAGAACTTCTCCAAAAAGATTCAGCAGGTGGGCAACCAAGACAGCAATCATGGCTAGAGCTTGTAAGGAGGTGGGGGTCCATGTCTGTGTAAGTGTTCCCTTTTGTGGTAATCTCTGCCAGCTGCTTCAGTCCCTTCCGTTTCTCCCCATGACGGGGAAACCCTCTGGGCACACAGCTCACAAGAAGTTGTGGTCACATGTAAAAAATCTACAGATTATCCCCATGACTTTAAGAAGCACTGTGCATCCTTTGTCAGTATTGTAGCCAAATGAACAAGGGTGGGCAAATTTTCAACATATTTTGTTTGAGTTAAATGATTTGCTTATTTTTCTTTCAGATCCACGTGGTTTCCCAGTTTAAGATTCTGGTCAGTTTGTTAGGTAAGTGAAGAAAGGATTCTTTTGTGTTTTGGGGTTTCCATTATGTCATGTGTCATGTCTCAACCTGGTTAACTCTTACTTAGTTGGAGGTAGTTACTATCTTTGGATGCCATAGAGGGCCAGCTCTAAAGGATCTGTCATCCTGCTCAGGTCCTGGCCTCTAGTTGTTGGGGTCAGTAGAGGGCCTGTTCTGATAATGATGATCATCTATCACCCTTTCTCTGGCTTTACTCTTCACAGCCTGGAATGTTTGGGCAATCAGTCAGCTATGGAATGTGGGATCCCTTTGACCCCCTTGTCCTCTCACCCAGTCACCCATTGTGCTTAGCTAGACTCCAACCCTAGAATGCTCACATGATGCTGAATGCTGCTAGAGGAAGTCATGCAGCCATGCTGATTAGATTTACTACAGATTTATTTCATCTCACCTGGGCTCTCACTATTACATGGAAATCCTTTTGGTTTTCCTTAATTGACTCTACTGCAGTGTAGTTCTTAATTGTGTCTTCACAGTGACTATTCCAAACCTTCTCCTCTCTCCTCAAACCATCTATACAACCTCCTCTACCCTGTCTCTGAGCAAAGAACTCTTTTCCCTCCTACTTTGCCGAAAAAAATAGGACATCCATCTTGAGCTCCCTCTTCTACCCTACCTCACACCTCAACACTCTTTTAGTTTATTTTTGGCTAGGCAATGGGGTTAAGTGACTTGCCCAGGGTCACACAGCTACTTAGTGTCAAATGTCTGAGGCTTGGATTTGAACTCAGGTTCTCTTGACTCCAGGGCTGGTGCTCTCTCTACTGCTCCACCTAGCTGCCACTCTCAACACTTTTTAAAAATTATCCCTCACTTTCTTTTCCTTTACTTTGATCTCTGGCTGCATCTCCTCCTATCTCCTTGAACATGGCCTCCCTCTCTTCAGTCTCCTCTTATCCATTGGTTATTTTCCTACCAACTAGATCTCCAGTTCTCCCCTAGCCTTAAATGACCTTTACTTGCCCTGCTGTCTCCTCAGGTTGCTGTTCTGTAGATTTTCTCCTCTTACAGCCAGACTCATAGAAAGGTTTATCTGTGCTTGTTGCCTTCATTTCTACATCAGTTTCTTGCCACTTTACTTTCTTACCATCTTAGCTAAGTTTACCTTTTGAAGTATAGATTTCATAAAATCAAAGAATTTGAGAGTTGGAAGGGACTTCAGGGGCCTCCTCGTCAAATCCATATGTGAAAAGTGTCATCATCATAACATCCCCAACAAGAGGTTTCTGCCCGAAGACTTGCAAAGGGTCGGAGGGCTCCCCCCACTCCCATCTCTTGGGAGACCATTCCACTTTTGGCTTGCTCTGATTGTTAGGAAGATTTTCCCGACATCGAGCCTAAATTTTCCTCTTTTCAACTTTTCCCCTTTTGCTCCTGCTTCTGCCTTCTGGGGCCAGATGGAACAAGTTTAGTTCCTTTTCTATATGATAGGCCTTGAAATAGCTGAAGACCAATATCAGGTTTACCCCAAGTCTTCTCTTCTCCAAGGTAAACGTGCTTACTTCCCTCGGCTGCTCATCCTATGAAATGGATTCAAGGCCCTTCGCCGTCTCTGGACACTCCCCAGCTACCCCAAGCTGGACACGGTGTTCCAGATGAGGTCTGACAAAGTCAGAAGACGGTGAAACGGTCACTTCCCCATTCCCCGAAACTGCTCTTCTTAGTGCAGCCCAAGGTCTCATTAATTTTCTTGGCTGCTACATCCCATTGCTGACTTATAATCGAGTTTGTAGTCCACTAAATCCCCATGTCTTTTTTAGAATAGCTGTTGTCTATCCGTGTCTCCCCAGTCATATAGTTACGAAGTGGATTTCTTAAACCCAAATGCAACACTTTATATTTATCCCTATTGAATTTAGAGCTAGTCCAGTGCACTAGCTTTTCATGGTCTTTTCGGATACTGACATTATCTGCTGTGTCACCTTTTGTATCTCTTAGTTCCCGACTTTGGAAAAGATCAAAAGAATACTTCAAAGTCACTCAGCTACACCTGAGGGAGTGGATTTAAGGCCCTTCACCTCCTGGCCTCTGTTCCTTTTTCGGTCTTATTTCATACTACACCTTTCCATTCCCTCTCCATTTCAGGTAATTGGACTCCTAGCTGTGCCCCGCTTCTGTCCTGCGGTCTCTCACCTCCATGCCATCATGTAGGCTTGGAACACACTTCCTGTTCCTCTCTATCTATTAAAATCCTTCTCTTCTAGGCTCAGGTCAGTTGGCACTTCCTCCTTGAAGCCTTCCCTGATTACTCATCCCCACATGGCCGCCGAAGTTCTCTTTCCTTGAGCACAGTCTGGATCTTTGCTTTGTACCTGTCACTTCCTGCTTTGTGTTATACTGACTTGTGCCTGTGTCCTCTCTCCCATCTCAACACCCCAGGAGGCTAGAAAGTTCTGTCTGGTCAGGGACCTTGCATTTTTCACCATTGTACTCCTCCTGCCACCTAACATAGTGCTTTGAATGTAGGAGATATGTAATAAAAGTTGAGTAATTTGAGGAAAGGCTAAGTTCAGAAGTCTGAGGCAGTGACTTCCTGAATTTTTTTTTGTTGGTACATAAAAGTGAATCAGTCATCTTTGTCTGAAGCTGAAATTAATTTTTAATTTTGTTGCTTTTAGGCAAGGGGTTCTTAATCTGGGGTCTTTGAAATTTTTTTAAAAAAAATAATTGCATTTTAGTATAATTGGTGTCCATTGTGATTCTATGTATTTTATTTTATGCATTTAAAAACATTCTTAGATGGGACCTATAGGATTCACCAGATTGCCAAAGGGGCCCTGGACACAAAAAAGGTTAAGAACCCCTACTCTAAAGACAGTATGTTTATTTTTTAGTTTTGTTGATATATTCATCTGTGACCAGTATTTGTAAAGATTTGCTCTTAGGTGTGATCTAAGGCTTCCTGTATCATTTCCCTTGTTTTCCTCCATTAAATGATGGAAAAGTAATTGTATGTCTCTTTTAAAACAGAAAATAACATATATGTTCATGACTTATTGACATTTCAACAAATCACTACTGTTTCAAAGGCAAAGGGGGCATCTCTGTTTACCTGTGACCTCCAGGTAAGTACAGGCAAGATAATTTATTGTTCTTTAGCTGTTTCTTACTTAATGGAGTAGGTTAGTGGCATGGGTTTTCCAAATAGCAGAAATGAAAAATAATATTTGTTTTGGTTTGAATATAGGCCAACCTCCAAATAAGCTATGCTACTAAAATGACCTTTTTTTTAAAAAGCAAAGAAAATACAGAAAGACATCCTGAAAAATAATTGCACAAAATTACTATATCAGAATTTTACTGTAAAACTTTATCTTCCAGTCACATAAACATTAAGTATTCATTTTTATCATAACTGTTCTCTATCTTCATCACTTTTGTTGTCCTCTATGTTGAGAATACAATTATAAACTGAACTTTGGTTTTATGCAAAGCAGATTTGAGGAAAAATATGGTCTATATTTGGACCACTGCTTAAGTATTTATGTGAGAGGCACTTTGACAGAGTAAATAGAGAGCATTTTTTAGAACATGGAAGACCTGAGTTCAAATCCTGCCTCTGATACATACTTGTGTCATCTCAGGCAAGTCATTAACCTCTCCAGTGCTCTAGGCCATTAAAACTATAAGTTGCAGTGAGGGATAAGTCTACATTAATAGAGGTAGTTTCCTCACCTGGGACTTCCCTGTACTGGTAAAATTACAGGCTAGTACAGGGGTGAGGAACCTGTGGCCTCGAGACCCGCCTTTGGCCTTCTAGGTCCTAGGGTGTGGCCTTTTGACTGAGTCCAAGTTTTACAGAACAAATCCTTTTATTAAGGGGATCTGTTCTGTGAAATTTGGATTCAGTCAGAGGGCTGCACTTGAGGACCTTGAGTCCGCAGGTTCCCCACCCCTGGTAGTACATAGTAGATCTTTTTCCCCTACTTAAATATTTCAATGAATTTTTCATCATTGTTGGGGTATCCTTTTCATTGGCACAGATAATAACTTATCCAAGGTTTTTCGTTCTTTGTGGTGGGTGACCAGTAGGTCAACCTCCTGATGATAAGCCTCATTGTACTTTGCTAAGCTAGTCCTTAGAAAGCAGATTTAGTCTGTCATCAGAGCTTTTCCAACATGGCTGAAGTAGATTTTGCTCCACTGACATGGCCTTCAAGAACCCAGGCCTAAAGTAGTCTGAATGATGGTGTGCCAGCCTAGGATTAAAGTTTTGCCATAGAGAATCCCTATTGATTATATTGTTACCATGTTAATGGAGCATTAAATCAACTTCCATAGTCACCATTGAGCCATGAGGTACACAAAATAGTCCTCAGGAAGCCTGTGATTTCATTTAGAAAAGACAGGTATGTTCACGATGTTCTTTCTCCCTTTTTGCCGGTTTCTCTGCCTCATCTCCTTTCAGAGCTGCCTCCAAAGCCACTTGCCTCTATAGGGAGCCTTTTGTAATGTTTTCTGCTTAGGTCTTATCCCGTCTCTCACTCTTATCCTTTTGATGTTTATGTACCGGTTGGTCCTGTACTTTATTTCCGCTAATGTGTTGCTTGCTGTTGTTCCTGATTCATTTCACGTTGGTACATTTCGGTCTTGTCAACTAAATGATTAACTCCTTATGAGAAGAGACCACATTTTTGATTTCTTTGTGCTCCTTCTTAGTACTAAGTTCATTGCTTGCACAGGATAGATGTTTTTTTGAGGGACTAGTAAAATGTTGAGTGCACATGGGGGGGTGTGTGTAATAACAATAACAAACAACATATCAGCAAAAATAAATAATATTTCACCAACTGGGAATATAATATGGAGAAGAAAAAAATTATGGAATGGATCAGACCTGAGTAGAATAAGTCAAGAAAGGCTCCCTGTGGGAGGTGAATTTAGGGTCAGGTTTGAAAAGAGATGAGAGAGAGAGATCAGCACAAAGGAAGAAGGAATATGGTGAACAAGTGTTTTTTCTAAATGACATCTTTCTCTCTGTGTGTATACATATACATATGTATATCTGTGTTTATTATGTGTATGTATACATAATATAGATGGATGGATAGCATATGATTTTAGTGTCACAAGTTGGAAGGGTCACAACACATAGTTTTTTAAGACTTATCTAGGTGATAGGTTAGTAATCTTAAGTGCTTCGTCCTGGAAAGTTTTTGGTCTCTTTCCTTCTGGTGTGTTCCAGGATGGTGACAGGAAGGAGGGGGATTGAGTGCTTGTCAGCTTCCATCTCTTATGAGCTCATCTGGTGGGAAATGGAAGAGCTTGACTTTGTGCTGACATTTGGAAACCGGAATTGGATGATGGGGGAGGGGACAACAAGGAGAGAAGAGGGCAAGGGAACATGGTGACAGCAGCTAGCTACTGTGAAAATTAGCCTGTGAGTTGTTTGGGTCACATTTGCTATAGATTGCTGACCTCCAATCTGGGTTGTGTTAAGAGTCGTATGTTTAGGTACGTGAGAGAGGCATCAGAAAGAAAAGGAAATATAATTTACCCAGGCAGAGGCTTGTATTGTTGATAGAACATTTATTAGCTCCTGTTTGTGTTGGTGCCTTCAGTGACAACCTGGAGAAAAGACAACCAAGAAGGTCTTTCCCCACTCACTGTGTGTGGATACATTTTGGGAATGAGCAGCATTCTGCTGGGCTCCTCTGATAACATGAATTTTATAAGAGAATCACTGAGACTGTCTTAAAGTAACTCTTTGTTAACATAAATGGAGTGTTAATTTTTAGCTGCATCTTAGCTGTGAGCTAATTGGGAGTTCTGTGGTGTAACAGTATGATTTTCTCTGTTTGTCCTGCTATGCTGTCAATGCTTTTGATTCTCTTACCAGCACACTGAAACAGGTGAAGAGGTGCTGCGGATGTGTGTGGCCGTGAAGAAGAAACTCCAGCTGTATTTCTGGAAGGACAGAGAGTTTTATGAATTGCAGGTAAGTTCAGTTGTCAGTCAGGACATGAGCCCCTGCTAAAGTTGGTATTCACTCTGAAGGTTCTTCCAACTGGCTGGTAGCAAAAATCCAAGATTTCAGTGTTCTAATTGTCCCTGACAGAGGCAGCATAACCTAGTGGATAGAAAGCTAGCTTTGGAATCAGGAAGACCGGGCAATATAGGCACTGTATGGCCCTGGACTAGTTACTTAATCTCTCTGTGGCCCAGGTGATGAGCTGCATTGATAATTAAGTTCCTCAGTATAGAGAGCTCTTTACACTGATGAAATCCCAGATGCTGTTTAAAAAAAAAGAAAAGGCTTCCTAAATGATAATTCTGTTACTCATTTCTCCAGGGTTCTCACTTTTAAAAGAGAGATGTGATACAAATTCAGTCAATGCCAAATTCAGTCATTTGGATTCTTTGTTAAGCCAGTGGGTATTTATCTCGTGCCAGACATCTCTTGTTCAGTATATGGTAGGAAGTTACCTTTAAGGGGGAATTTTTAGTACTGTGCTGTGCCCTATTTTTTCAGAATGGGGATAGGGATAGTAGATAATGATTTTTGATTCTTAACATCTTTCCCAGATGAATTGACTCCCTCTTTCTTCAGGGGGACTTTAGTGTACCAGATGTGCCCAAGTCCATGGCATGGTGTAAAAATTCCATTTGTGTGGGTTTCAAGAGAGACTACTATCTAATAAGGGTAAGTCCTCAACTTGACACAGCAGAACACAATTGGAGCAGTGTGTTGTTTTTGCAAAGATCCTACTGTGTACACAGACAGAGTGGGAGAGGCATCCACATAGTAAATGCAACTCTCCAACACAGTTAAATTCAACAAATACTTATTAATCACCAGCTCTGTACAAAGCACTTTGACAGGTGCTAGGGCAAAAAGTTTAGAAGAGACACCGTCCCTTCCTTCGTTGGATTTAGACTTACTTTCAGTTGTAGCGGGATATGATGCAAACACAAATACTTTGTTAATATTTTTTCTTGTAGCTAAGTGCATTAGAGAAGTGTAAAAGTGCATTGTGAAGTCCAGGACGAATGTCATTAGCAAAGAGCATCAGGGAAGATTCTGTGAAATGAGGTTGCTTTTATTTGTGCTGGACTTTAAAGGCTAGGTGAGAATTCATCAGGCAAAGAGGTGAAGGGAGGCCATTGTAAGCATTATGAACAATGTGAACAAAGATAGAGAGACAGGAGATGTATGTAGTAGGACTCGGAATGTATTAGGGTGGTTCAGAGGGTAGTCCACTTCGGCTAGACTAGAGAGCAGAGGTTCTTAACCTAGGTTCTATGAACTTGCTTTTTAAAATATTTTGCTAATTATATTTCAATGTAGTTGGCTACCTTTGTACCTATGCATTTTGGTTTATGTACTTCAGAACATTATTCTGAGAAGGAACTGTAGACTTCACCAGACTCACAAAGAAATCTGTGACTCACAAAAAAATTAAAACCCCCTACTCTAGAGCAGGGGTGGGCAACCTGCGGCCTAAGGCCACATTCTAGGTCCTCAGATGCAGCCCTTTGAGTCCAAATTTTATAGAACAAATCCTTTTATAAGGGGATTTGTTCCATGAAGTTTGAATTCAGTCCAAGGGCCACACTTGAAGACCTAGAGGGCCCCCGTGAGGCCACCATTCCCTTCCCCTGCTCTAGAGTATATGGGAAGGGAGTAATAGGAGATAAGGCAGGGGTTGGAGTGGAAAGGAGGATTGTGAGCCAGGTTCTGAGTTCCTTGAGAAAAGACAGAGAATAATCTGCAGGCCACAGTATCTGGAAAAGGTAATATATCCTCTGTAAAATGAGGGAATTGAATAATAATTGTGACGTGCTTAGCACAGTGCCTGGCATATAGTAAGTGCTGTATAAATGCTAGCCATTATTATTATTGTTATTGTTAGATGACTTCTTAGGTCCCTTCCTTCTCTAAATCTGTGATAGTATGAAGGACTGGACCTAAGTGGAGGAGGAGTTGTTCAGTGGTGGTGGTAAGGAAGGGCCTGGACATGATTTTGAAGAAGAAGCATGCCTCCTCCTCCTGGCCTGGTGGCAAGGTTTGGGAGATGGAGAGGGGATTTTGAGAAAAGAAGATACATCCGGTCATAGAGAGAGCAGTCAGGGATGCAGCTCCTCTGGAAAGTTTCCATGATTGCAAGGAGAGAAGGAAAGAGCCCAAAAGGAAGAGGCTTAGTGGAAAGACAGTCTGTTAAAAATAGAGGGATTTCCAGAGGGCACAAAGGAAAGGGAGCATAGTGGAATAGAGATGTCCATCTAGGGAAGGGAGCTTCTGCCTAGGCAGCCTACAGCCTTGAATCACAGGGATCCTGAGGAACTTTGGGCAGTAGATTGTTGTGTCCTTTCATGTATTGATGGTAATGTTGTTTTGATTATCATTTCCTGAATAAAGGGCAGAAGGAGGTCTCTGCAGGAGGGGAGTGGAGTATATGCATGGATGGTCACTGGTGGAATGGCACAATTCCTGTACTCACTGGGCCCTGATAAGGGCCTGAATCACGTGAGGCTCTAGTCTGGGACCTCACTGGTTATAAAGGGTGGAGCTGTGGTTGATTAACATCTACAGCTCTGCCCTAGGGCCTGCTCACAAATAATTCTTGGCTTACCCAAACATTCCTTCATGTCCAACAATGCAGATAATTGAGAGTTTACTATATTTTTTCCCCCATTATTTATTTTTTCTTTTTTAATTTAGTATTTTATTTTTCCCCAGTTATACGTAAAAACAATTTTTAGCATCCATTTTTGAAACTCTGATTTCCAAATTTTCTCCCTTCCTCCATCCCCACCCTACCTCATTGAGAAGGCAATCAATTCTATATAGGTTATACTTGTGTGTTGACTCTGTTTATAAAAAGACTACTGGTCTTATGACATTCAAAATCGCAGCTTAAATTTCTCCCTCTCAACTCCTCCACTCAAACGTAGATCTTGAGACTTGCTCTTCACAGATTTGACTGTATGCATTATATGGACTTATCACTTACTTAGCTTATGTGCAGATTTGTTTGATGTATATGGTGTGTTGTTGGCCCTCATTAGACTATGAGCTGGAAAACAGAGACTGGTTTCTTGTTTGTTTTTTGCCTTTCTTTGTATTCACAGTGCTTAGCACAGTGCCTGGCACACTAGTAGGCAATTAAGAAATGCTTGTGGGCTTGAATTGTTTTGGGACTCCCATCTTCCTGCTATTGTAGAGCCAATTCCTGGGCTCATAGCCCAGAGGCTGAATGGTTTGAAGCCCTCCTCATAAGAGGACATGTATATTTTAAAAGTATGAGGGTTGATAATACTTTTTCTCTCTCAAAAAAGTTACTATTGTCCTGTTAGAGAAGAGGAAGAATGATCCTTCTGTGTAGTATTTAGGGTCTAAAGCAGTATTGAGAATTTTCTAATTCTTAGGTTGTCTGTTTTTGAGCAAGAGTATTCTAGCTAACAGGGTCACATGTGGGGTACTGAACTTCCTTCTTGCTTTATTTTTGTAGGTGGATGGAAAAGGGTCCACCAAAGAGCTCTTTCCAACAGGGAAGCAACTGGAGCCCTTGGTGGCACCTTTGGCAGATGGAAAAGTAGCCGTTGGTCAGGACGATCTCACTGTGGTCCTGAATGAGGAGGGCAACTGTACGCAGAAATGTGCCCTGAATTGGACAGATATACCAATTTCCATGGGTGAGAGCCAGCAGTAGCTGTTCCCTTCCTCCTCCTCCCCTCCCCCCTTCCCCCCACATTGTCATGTTGACTCTAATGAATGTAATCTGAATCGTTAGCTTCAGTTGTGTATGGTGTGGTTTTTAATCACCCACCACATTTCCCTTATTACAAGCAGTTGAGTGTTTTAGAGTCATTAGAAACTGAGTATTCCAGTGTTTGTTAGAAGCTGTGTTTTTCCAAAGTAGAAGAGCTTGGGAAGTGGAAAGTCCAAATGACCATGTTAGATAGGTATGTGTAGTTGTCACTGTCTTCACGCACCCCATGTTGTTTCCCATTTTGTTGCCTTTGCTCATGCTCTTTCTCCTTGCTACAGTACCCTTCCTTGGCCAGTGAGTAAGAGCAAACTACATCTGGATGGCCCCAGACCATGGTTCCTATTCATCCACCCTAGACGTCTTTGTCTAGCCATTCAAATATGCCTCCCCAACTTTGTATATACATCCATCCATAAAGTATATTTAAATTTTGCTGATGCCCATTGGCTTTTATACTACAAGCATTTCCCACTTTCTGCCCTCCCTCCCTGTTGAACCCTTCCCTTTAACAAAGAAACGTTGAAGCATAAATGAGCGAAACAGCTGCATCTGATAGTTTATAGTATTCTGCTGGTGTAGTTGCTCACATCTTATTAAAGGGGTGGGGCAGGTTATGTTTCAAGTTTAGATTCTGTAATTAATCTTGGTTTGGCTGCTTTTTCATTTTTATGGTATATTATTACAGTCACAATGTATTTTGCCTTTGTTTACATGATTGCAGTCATTGTGTATTTTGTTCTTCTGATCTTACTTATTTTACTTTATCAAATTATACAAGCTGGGTAACATTTTTAGGAAGTGATTTATTGATATTTCCAGTTCTTTGTCCTTCATCTCCTTGTTAATGGGCTTTATTGTGATTTTAGCCAGATGTTTAGAAATTAAATAAGCTACTTGTTCATGAAATAGTAAGTGCCACTAAGGTAATGAGCTTGGGTCTTCTAGACTGTTAAAAAACACTCAAAGGACTTCATAGAGGTCTGTTAATTGAAAATTTTCTTTTCTTTTCTTTTCCTGCTTCTGATCTAGTCTGTCAGATCTGATGATATCATCAGAAGCATCAGAAGTATCACATCGTTGTATGTGATTCATTTTCAGTAAGAAGCAGTAGACTTTATAGAACTTATGACTGTTTATAAGGAATTGAGAAGTTTGCCCATTTCCTTTGAGAAGCTCATAGTTTACCTGGGGAGAGACAAAGCTTTGTTACATGCAGCAACCAGAAAAATGCCACAAAGCTACTGTGTAGAGTCAAGGACTGGATTAGGTAGTCCAAAATTCAGTCGAGGGAAAGATAGTTGTGAATAGATAGTCAAAAGAGGTTTTGTGGAGATGAGACTTGAGGGGGACTCCAAAAATGGACAGCCCTTTTCTGCAGGCTTATGTTCTAATAGGAAAGACTACAGATGTAGGGGATTGGTGGCCAGACAAAGGGAGTTTGTGCCCCAAGAAGACAAAAGATGAGCTGATCCTGAAGGCCATCTATCGTCACCCTTTTCAGAAGAAGATATAGTATTAATTTGATTACTATTTCTAGAGCAAGTGATGTAAAGAGGAAGTGGGTTATGTGTACAGTAATAAGCCAAGTGGCAGGATTTCCCAGAATGTTTGGGGTGGGATAAAGGTGAGGCATGGTCTGGAGCCATCTAGATATCTTGCCTTCAGGTAAGACCACTCTAATCCACTGGCTGGGGAAAGATATTCTAGGCAGGAGAAAGAACGTGAGCAAAGGCAAGAAAACGGGAAATGACAGTGGGTGCATGAAGACAGTGAGCTCCTTATATTGGCCTAGCCAGAGCAGAAGGTTTATATTGGGGTTGTTGTTATTATTGTTAAGTCATTTTCACTCGTGTCTGACTCTTTGTGACCCCATTTGGGGTTTTCTTGGCAAAGATACTAGAATGGTTTGCCGTTTCCTTTTCCATCTCATTTTATGGATGAGGATACTGAGGCAAACAGGATTAAGTGACTTGCCTAGAGTCACATAGCTAGTAAGTGTTTGAGGCTGGATTTGAACTCAGGTCTTCTGGACTCCAGGCCCATTGCTCTTTCTACTGTGCCAAAATCAGACAGGTCAAATAGATGTATTTAATGGAGAGCCTTGAAGGATAGAGATAGGCATGGTTTTTTTTTAAATTTTTAAAAATTTATTTTAATTTTATTTTTTAAAATTAATTGATTTTTAGTTTTCAACATTCATATCCATAAGTTTTTGGGTTTTAAATTTTCTCCCCCTCTTTCTCCACCTCCCTCCCCAAGACAGTGTGCAATTTGATATGGGCTCTATATATACATTCCTATTAAACATATTTTCACATTAGTCATATTGTAAAGAAGAATTAGAACCAATAGGAGGAACCACAAGAATGAAGAAACAAAACAAAACAGCAGGAAAAAAAAGAGCAAATAGTATGCTTTGATCTGCATTCAAACTCCACAGTTCTTTCTCGGGATGTGGATAGCATTTTCCATCATGAGACTTTTCGAGATGTCTTAGATCCCTGCATTGCTGAGAAGAGCTAAGTCTTTCAAAGTTAGTCATTCCACAACATGACTGTTACTGTGTACAACCTTCTGATTCTGCTCACTTCACTCAGCATCAGAGCATACAAGTCTTTCCAGGTTTTTCTGAAATCAGCCTGCTCATCATTTCTTATAGCACAGTAGTTATTCCATTACATTCATATGCCACAACTTGTTCAGCTATTCCCCAGTTGATGGGCATCCCCTCAATTTCCAATTCTTGGCCACCACAGAAAGAGGTGCTATAAATATTTTTGTACCCGTAGGCCCTTTTCCTATTTTTATGATCTCTTTGGGATACAGCCCTAGAAGTGATATTGCTAGGTCAAATGGTATGTGCATTTTTATAGCCCTCTGGGCCTAGTTCCAAATTGCTCTCTAAAATGGTTGGATCAGTTCACAACTCCACCAACAATGCATTAATGTTCCAATTTTCCCACATCTTCTCCAACATTTATCCTTTTCCTGTAGCCAACCTGATAGGTATGATGTAGTACCTCAGAGTTGTTTTGATTTGCATTTCTCTAATCAATAGTGAATTAGACCATTTTTTCATATGACTATAGATAGCTTTAGTTTCTTCCTCTGAAAACTGAGGCAGGCATGTTTTTAAGCAGCTTGGGGAGAGAATTGTCTTGTAGGAAGGCTCTGAAATTCTCTAGTATAGTTTGAACAGTTCCAGAGAGCAAATAACAACAAAGCCCACTTTACCAATAAAGATACCTTCAGGTAAGAAAAACGTATAGTCAAGCCATGCTGCAGAGGCTGAAGCGGGATAGGGACAAGAGCATTGAATTTGGAGTTGCAAAGCTTGGTAATAAGAAAGGCAAGAAAGAGATGACCTAGTGCCAAACCTTTAGAAGAAAAATCCTCCTTAAAAACAGAGTGTCAGTTAAGGTCTGTGCTGTTTATTTTGTTCTGGGTGAGGCTTTTATGTTGAACAGCACTATGGAGGCAGTGCTCTGTGTTTTGCTCCCCTTGGCCTCTGTAAGTAACCCCAGGTTAAAGGAAGTAATCCGTGCTCTCCTCCTAACCCCACCCCCATAGGTTGTGAGAGGGTGCCTGCAGCTTATGCTGATCTCACCACATTCTCCTTGCTTATCTCTTGAGCAGCCAGTAGGAAAGTGGAGTGAGTGATACTTCTGAGGGGCTGGGGTTCTGTTAGTTCTTTGAGTGGAAATAGCTAGAGTTGGGTGAGGTCACTACCTGTAAATCCATCTAGCTTTGTCCTTCCTCTGAGCTGGACAGCAATCAAAGAGAAGCAGTCAGCCAGACTCCCACTTGAGTGAAGTGTTTATCCCAGATGATGGCCATGCTCGGAAACCTCCATCCCAACCCCCGTCCCTTTCTTCAGACCAGAGCTGTTTCTCATGTGAGGTCGTGTCTCCCCTTCATAGAGCACCAGCCTCCATACATCATCGCCGTGTTGCCTCGGTATGTGGAGATCCGGACATTTGAGCCCCGGCTGCTGGTGCAGAGCATTGAGTTACAGAGACCCCGCTTCATTACCTCAGGAGGGTGAGGACTTGCCACTTACTTTATCCTCCAGAGCTTTCACAGCACCTAAAGGCCACATCATTCATCCTTTGCTTCTCTGTTCACGGCTTTTGCTCACCCTCCAGTTCGGACATCGTCTACGTGGCCAGCAATCATTTTGTCTGGCGGCTCATCCCTGTCTCTATAGCAACCCAGATCCAGCAGCTTCTTCAGGACAAGCAGTTTGAACTGGCCCTGCAGCTGGCGGTAAATTTCATTTTTCTTCCTGAATTCCTCAATTTCCTTGAGAGCAGGTAACTAGGAAGCCAAAGCATGTTTTCTTCTTTGGCACACACATTCGTAAACACACACATCCAGAGATGGAAGGGCCCTTCAAAGTCATCAGATCCATCCCCCTCCTTTTTCAGATGAAGAAACTGAGGCCCGGAGAAATGAAGGGACTTTCCCAAGGCCACACAGGTCATAGGTGGTAGGGCTGAAATGCAAACCTAAGTCTTGTAATTCCAGATACATTACACTGCAATTTTTGCTGCCATAAGCATAGGCTTGTAGTTAGAAGACTTTGATTCCAGCCCTCACTTGGATGTCAACTGCATGTGGGATTAAAAGCCCCTGAGTTTTGGGGTCTTCAGTTTTTTCATATGTGAAATGAGGATAATAGTACTTCATTAAATAGTTGTGAGAATAAAATAAGAAAGTGCTTTGAAAAATGGAAATATATACCAATATAAGGTGATTCATTTCAATTCAACAAACTTCTTGTTGGATGACTACCATATGCAAGATGCCATCTGGGAATGAAGAGATAGCTGTGACACAGATCAGGCTTTAAGTAGCTTGTAGTTTCATGGGGTAAAAGATATCCTTACAGATAACAGTAATAGAAGGAGGAATGTAATAGATGGAAATAAGAGGTCTAGACAGTGTGCTATGATAGATGTGGATAGAGAGATCACTTTCAGCTTGAGAGTGGGAATGAAGAAGAATCATCTGGAAGATGTCACATTTCATTTGAGTCTTTAAGATGTGGTGGGGCTTCAACAGAGATGGAGGAGAAGTTCATCATAGGTATTAGGGCATTACTGACATAAGCAAAGACGCGGAAACAGGAAAAGTTGAAGAGATGAGGGTCCCAGGATAGTGACGTGTGGAACTGGAACTTAAAGTTGGTGAAAGGTCTTGAGATAAGAGGGAAAATTGGAATGGTGTCTCAGAGCTGGATTATTGGGTGCCAGGATCAGGAACTCATGAAGGTAGTAATATCATCACCATTAATAGTAGTAATAGAAGTAATGTAGTTCTAGCACAGCTTACCTAAAAACATCTCGAGGTGTTAAGTCACCTTGCCCTGTGGCTTTAGCATATCTGCAGAGTGTTTGCCTATGAGGAATCCTGAAACGTTAGATCTGGAAGGAGCCTTAGAGATCATTTAGTCCAATCCCCTTATTTTTAGGTGAGGAAACTGAGGTCTCGAGAGTGTGACTTGTCCACAGTCACATAGCTACTTTCAAGAAGAGCTAGGACTAAGATCAGGCCTCCTGCCTTATAGACTGTTACTCTGTTTATTAAACTAGTCATTGTTAAAGTGTGATCCAAAGACTGCTGACGGGCTTTGAGATCCTTTCAGTGGATTTGTGAGGTCAAAACTATGTTTATAATTGTAGTAAGATACTATTTGTCTATTAAAATATTCCTCCCCTTTCCAACTACATTTCTGCATTTTCTTTATACATTTCAGCCAAATTGAATGTAGAAGCACATATGAGAATCCACCTGTTTTTTATGAAGCCAGATATAAAAAAAGTTTATTAAATTATGGAAAGCATTGCCAGTCTCACTATTTTTTTTGTTGTTTTGGAAAATAGTTATTTTTCATGAAAACGTGATTTACATTAACATATTATGGGTTTATTGTTTTTAAAATAAATTAATAAATATTTTGAAATTATCAGTTTCAGTGTCTCATAAAAATACTGATAGATGTAACCCATATAAACAAAAGTTATTTAGGGTTCTCAGTAATTTATTTAAGAGTATAAAAACCAAAAGCAACTCTTTTAGCATATAACTACCAGAAATTCCTGATGTCTGATGAAAAATTCCTCTTTATATAGTTTGTCTCTTCTGGTTTTAGTGGTGATAAGAACAATTGATTTTTAAGTACTGTAAAATAGCCCGTGACATAATTGAAGACTCTTAACCCCCATCTGTTATCTGTTATGTGCTTAACATTATATAATATATTTTAGATAAGGAGCTTTATTCTAGTTGGAAAGACAAAACTCAAATATTAAATATTTGAGATCAATTTAGTACTAAACTCTGTTATTGATTTAAAATGCAGTTGAGAGTCTAGAAAAGGAAGACCCGAGTGTAAGCTTGAATAGTAGGAGAAGACTTCATGAGCTATATATGGCTTTTGGGCTACCCCTTGAAGGATGGTTGGGGGAAAGAGGGAGCATTTCAGGTAGAGCCAACAGCATGTGCAAAGGCATAGATGCTGGGCATTGCCAAAGAGAGCAGCCAGACTTGAAACAGAAGGTATATATTCAGGGCAGTGGGATATAAGGTTGGATGGACAGGTGGGATGAGATTACGGAATTCTTTGAAAGCTAGACCAGATGCTCATTGTGAGTTGATGAGGGCCTATTCGAGGATAGTAGCAGAACGAATAGAGATCTTGGAATGAAGAAATTGTAGGATTTGTCAACAGATTAGATTTAAGGGGTAAGAGAAAGGGAAGAGTCAAAGATGACTCTGAGCCAAGTTTCTAGGTTGGGTCTGACCAAAATAGTATAGTTGGGAAAGGGAGCCAGTTTTGAGTAGAAGATAAATTCCGTTTTTTATGTGTTGACGCACTCCTTTACAAAAGGCAAATGCAGTCAACATATATTATGTCCCTTCTGTGTGCTGAGCATAACATTAGGTGTTGGGGGAAAGCTGGAGTTGAGATAAGGTATGTATAGTCTGGGGGGGGCAGATAATATACCAACACATATAGCTATAATACGTGATACTGGCTTTAGATATTTTTAAAAAATGTTATGTGAGGTCTTAAGGTTGTCATCAACTGAGGGGATCAGAGAATTGAAGGAAATAGAGTTTGATTTGGGCTTTAAGGAGAGATGGGAGTTCATTCAGGAAATAGGAGGAGGGAGGGCATTTCAGACATAGGAATCAACCTGGGCAAAAGCAGAGGTTTATGAACATTAGAAGTCTTCAGGAGAGTTTTAGCTGTAAGATAGAGTGCATGGAGGAGAGACCAAATCAGTGGTGGTGTTAGAGATAAAAATGGTGAAGTGAGAAGAAAGAACAAGATATTATAGGCTGGGTAAAGATGAGTTTGGACGTTTGAAGGACCTGTAGGGGCTTCCATCTGGAGATATTCTCTAGGTAGCTGGAGGTATAGGTCTGGAGCTCAGAAAGAAGGCTGGGCCCTGAAATAGAAATATGGGAATCAGCTGTGTAGAAGTGGAAATGGAAGTCCTGAGACTGAGTGAGATTGTTGGAAGGGAGGGTAGAGAAAGGACCCTACCAAGCACACCCTCTTCTGAGACACCCACAGTAAGTGACTAGGAAGAGGATGAAGAGCCATTTAAGGAAATGGAAGGGTGCTTAGAAAGGTGGGAGGGGAACCAGGAGTGTTCGTTCTCTCTCTCTCTCTCTCTCTCTCTCTCTCTCTCTCTGTCTTTCTCTCTCTGAGGGATTTCCATGTTCCATTGGAAGTAGAGTACTGGAGTGTGGTCTGGGCTGAAGGTGTGGATTTGAGAACCATTGGCATAGAGGTAGTAACTGAAGACCTGTCAGTGGATGAACTGACCAATACAGGGAGTATGAAAGAAAAAAGCAGAAAACAGATCCTTAGGGAAGAATGTGCAGTTAGGAGTGGAAAGAGAAACCAGCCAGGAGGCAGGATAGTCAAAAAGGCTAGTTAAGTCTCATGTATATTGAGAGGCCGGTAGGTGCTGTGAATAGAGTCTTGGAGACAGGAAGGCCTGTTCTAATCCTGTCTCAGATACCTGCTAGCTATGTGACTTTCATCAATTCACTCTCTGGGCCTCAGTTTCCTTGTCTGTACAGTGAGGGAGTTGGACCTGATGACCTTCCAAGATCCCTTCCAGTTTTAAAATTGATCCTGTAGAAAGAATTCAGAGGATAGGAATGAAGAAAAGGGCCATTGGATTTGGCAAGAAAAGAGTCAAACAAAGCTTCATTTAAATGATAGTGATAGAATTCAGATTGAAATGGGAAGTGGAGACTGTGATTCTTAAAAACATTTCAATAGTTGACCAGTGAAAGGAAGGAAAGATACTGATGAAAGCATGTAGAAGAGTCAAAGGAGCTATGTTTTGGGGGATGACTAAGAGAGCATGTTTCAAGGTGTAAGGAAGGAGCCTGTGGGGGGAAAGGAAGCCTGGAGGAGGAGGAAGAGAAGGAGGGCAGGGATAGGATCTAGGGTAGAGGGTGAGATGTTAGTCTTAGGAGGACAGAAACCACTTACTAGCAGAGAAGAGGAGAAGAGAGCTATATTTCATCTGTTGAGGTGAAAACAGAAAGGAATTCATGGTGGAGCCCAAGTCAGTGGGTTTCTCAGTTCCATTTTCTTGATGTCCCAGGCGCAGTGGCCTGCCTGGACAAAGGGAAACTTAAATGTTTGGCTCCTTACAAGTTTATTTTTCACTGCTATTATATTACCCAGGAAATTTCCTTGTCTGGTTGTGGTTTTTGATTGTTTATTTTTTGAATAAGACCAAGATCATTGAGCCCTATTTTTGCTTTCTTCCTATTAGGAAATGAAAGATGATTCCGACAGTGAAAAGCGACAGCAGGTCCACCACATTAAGAACCTGTTTGCTTTTAACCTCTTTTGTCAGAAGCGTTTCGATGAGTCCATGCAAGTCTTTGCAAAACTTGGCACAGGTGAGGAGCGGACGTGGGCTAGGATTCGAGCGATGGGAGAGCAGGATTTGGGACCCTGTGGTAAGGATAAGGACTCTTGCCAGGAACTGATCCTGCTACCTAGCAAGATTCTGTAGGTGGCAGTATTTATTGACAGTTTAATCTCATATTATCTGGCCAGATATTGGCGATCCCAGCAGCTCCCATAAATGCAACTGTCATCTTGATGCAAATGATTCTCAGATTAATTTGTCCAGCCCTAACCTCTCTCCTGTCTTCCAGTCTTACGTTCCTCTGCCTGTTGGACGTTTTGTACTGAATGTCTCATAGACATCTTAAAATCAGTTTCCAAAACATCCCCTCTTCCTGACTTCCCTGTTACTGTGGAGAGTGCCATCATCCTCTCTGTCACCCAATCCTGCAACCTAGGTGTCATCTTTGACTCCTCATTCTTTTTTTCACTCTCTCCCCCATCCAGTTATTTGCCAAGTCCTGTTGTCTCTGCCTTCATAACCCCACTTTTATAAACTCCCTTCTTTCCTCTGACACACCCTAGTCCAGACCCTCATCACCTCTTGCCTGGACTCTTCCAATATGCTGCTGGTTGGCCTCCCTGCCTTAAGTCTCTCCCCATTCCAGTCCATCCACTCAGTTGCCAAATTGATCCTAAAGCATAGATCTGACCATGTCACCCCCCCCGCCCCATTTAGTCAGTTCTAGTGGCTCCCTGTTTCTTCCAAAACCAAATGTAAAGTGCTTTGTCTGGCTTTTAAAGTTTTCCCATAGCCTCCCTTCCTACCTTTCCAGTCTCCTTATCCCTCACACTCCTCAATCTGCCCCCCCCCTTAATTTTCAATTCGATGACACTGGCCTCTTCACCTTTCCTTGCACAGGAATCTCTTGATTCCAGGCATTTTCGCTTACTATCTCCTATATCTGGAACTCCCTTTCTTCTTATCTTCATCTCCTGACTTCCTTGGCTTCCTTTAAGTCACAGCTAAATCCTACCTTCCACAAGAAGTCTTTTCCAGTCTTCCTTAGTGCTACTGCCTTCCCTTGTATATTATCTCTAATTTAGCCTATATGTATCTTGTTTGTACATGTATCTCCCCATTGGACTATAAATTTGTTGAGAGCAAGGGACTGTCTTTTGCCTTTCATTGAACCCCCAGTGTTTTGCACATTGCCTGGTATGCAGTAGGCACTTGCTGAATGCTTAATTGACTGACTGGCCTGGTTATCTATGGTCTGTGTCCCATTTCAGAGTGTGGTACGGGCCCACATAACACCTGTGAAGGCAATTACTCAATGGGGTCCTAGTATTCTTCCCCCGGCAACAGAAAGAGAGCTGAATTTGGAGTCAGAATTCCTGGGGGTGAATCTTGGCCGGCCCTACGATTTGCTGGTTGTGTTCACTAGAATGAGCCAATTAAGCCTTTTTCCCCCTCAGGCCCCTCATGTGTAAAATGAAGGGCATTAGGCCAGATGACCTCCCAAGTCCCTTCCAGCTCTAAAACGAGGATCTTATGGGCCAGTGATTTATAGCATCTTATTACACAGAACTATAAGATTGGAGTGTTTGTATGCTCAGTTCTGATCAGTTTGTATAGATTAAGTCTACATGCAGTAGTATGTGCTCCGTTTGCTGTTATCCCTCCTTGCCTTCTGTCTGCAGTAGCAGGTGAGGGGAGACATCCAGGAATAGTAGAGCCAACATTGGCCTTCGGCTTGGGAGAGACCTGGCTTTGAGGCCTGGTTCTGACACTTAGTAGCAATGTGACTTCGAAAGTCCCTTCACTTCTCTCTGTCTCAGTTTCCTCATCTATAAAATGGGGGTGATAATACCAGCACATCGTTGTTATGACAGAAGTGCTTCATAAACCTTAATGGGCTATGTAAAAGTGAGTGATTGTTATTATTATCATTCCCACTCCAACCACTGATAAGGTATGAAAAAGGAAAGAAAGGGAATCGTACTTATTCTTTCAATCTCACCTTGACTGACTTTCTCCCTTTTCTTCCTCACCTTCGTTTTTGTTCCACATCCCCTCAGCTGGAGATTTCTGGGCTGGATTGCCTGGGATAAAGGGCGGTAACTTTCACTGAGCAGTCTCCACTGGGACGTTTGTTTGCTGTTCCAATGAACTTTAAATTCTTTAGGAAAGAAAAAGAATAAGCATTTATAAAGCACCTACTGTGTGCCAGGCACTGTGCTAGGTGGTTTACAAATATTATCTCATTTGGTCCTCAAGACAACCCTGCAGGTAGGTGGTTATTATCCTTATTTTTCAGCTGAGGAAATTGATGAAGCGAATAGAGACAAAGTGACTTGCCCAGGGTTACACAGCTAGTCATTGTTGGAGGTCAGATTTGAACTCAGGCCTTCCTGACTTCAGGCCCAGTGCTTTATCGGCTGCACCACCTAGCTGGAAAGATATTGGACTAATGAGTTGGTATGGCATTAGCTACCTGGCCATTGACTATCCCACCTTTTTTCCTCTGGACCAAAGGTGCTTAAGTCCTCAGCTCTAAAACTTGAAAAGAATGGGTATCCTAAGTGTGAACACTTAAATAATTCAAAGATCTGTAATTTCATCAGCAGGGGTACTCCCTTGACTGACAGATTGCAACCTCTCTATAATTTAGTAGATAGTGTTAAAGAATTGTAGCCAAAACATTAATCACCTTGCAGCCAATCTACGATGGAAAATCTTTGGATTTAGGTAGACTGGTTCTTGGCCAACAGAAATGCTATCAGTTACCGGTGTGTATTCAAAGACTTCCAGGCTTGGTAGGGCCTGCCAGAACTCACACTTCACTGGAATAACCTGTGAGATCCTAAAGGAGAAGTGTAAAATGACAGTGATTTTGCAAATTATCTTTCTGATAGAGGTGGTGGCTGCACACTCAGTAATTGCATACATAGAATGTAGGAGAAAGAAATGTTAGGATCCTAGGTCTAGGTTGGAATGAACTCTACCACTGATTGCTGAAAAACTTGGAGGAGTTGCTATGCTTTGGCAAGTGAGGGTGAGAATGGGATCATCTGGATCCAGGAGCCAAGTGTGTATGTGATTTTCTGTTCCTTTGTCCTCCTTCTTTAGAGTGAAAATATTAGGGAAAAGAGGAAATTCTGCGAAGAGTATAAGGCCTTGTTCTCACTGTATCAGACCTTTTTTAATTGAACATTTTCATTTGGAATATTTATTTTTGTATTTCCTTCACTTGTGAATCTATTCCTCCCTCCTCCCCTACTTAGTGAGCCCTTCTTCATAAAAATAAAAAGAGGGGAGGGGAAGGCAGTTCACCAAAACTCCCCATCCAGTCACCCATGTCCAGCAGTACGTGCAGTGTACAACATTCAGAGTTCCCTGCCTCTGCAGAGGAGGGAAGGAGGTACAGCTTTGTATCTCTTCTTTGGAGACAGAGTCTGTCAGACCACTTTTACAGGTGAACGGGGATCAAGTGGTGTTAGACTCTGTTTGTAACTGATGTGCTGCGGCACTGAGGACTTGAGAAAGCCGAGGAGGATACCGAGCTCTTAACTCCTGTACCACGAATACGCCTGTCTTATAGCGAAGCTGTATAGTTAAAAATTGGTGTCCATTGTTGAGAAGTGATGAGAAACTTCCCAAGGAATCGGCTCTGGTTGATGTGGAGCTGGGTAGTAGTGGGGCACTAGATTTAGTCATTGAATTCCTCTTGGTGATTGAGTGAAGATGCTATGGGATAACTTGGTATGGAAGAAAAATCCTAAGCTTTGTAAAGCCTATTAATAATAGCTTTAGAATCTTTTTTTTCTAAGGCAGTTGGGATTAAGTGACTTGCCCAGGGTCACACAGCTAGTAAGTGTCAAGTGTTTGGTCTGAGACCGAATTTGAACTCAGGTCTTCCTGACTTCAGGGCTGGTACTCCATCCACTGCACCACCTAGCTGCCCCAGCTTTAGAATCTTGAAAAATGGGTATGGAATGGTGAATTAAATCTAATACCACATTGATATTCCTTGTAAGGAATAGAGGAATAATCTTGTCATTGTTAAATCAAGTGCTGGTGGCATACCAGGGGGACATATAGAAGATATAATCCTTTTAAAAAGGCCCAGAGAACTTATAAACCTCAAGGTAAATTAGACAGATATTAGAGTGTGTGTGTGTGTGTGTGTGTGTGTATATATGTGTTGTGTGTGTGTGTGTGTGTGTGTGCTGTGAATACCGTTGGTTGCTTTATCCTTTAGTCTGGTTGTCATTGATTGGCCAACAATAGATCCCAGAATGAATGTGAATAGCATTTGTTTCTGTTTTGCCAGAAACCCTGAGGATCTTCCCCTCTCAGATCTCTTTTTTTTGAGTCCATTCTTTGCCTTTCTTTCTTTCTTTCTTTCTTTCTTTTTTCTTTTCTTTCTTTCTTTCTTTTCTTTCTTTCTTTCTTTCTTTCTTTCTTTCTTTCTTTCTTTCTCTTCTTTTCCTTCCTTCCTTCCTTCCTTCCTTCTTCCTTCCTTCTTCCTTCCTTCCTTCCTTCCTTCCTTCCTTCCTTCTTCCTTTCTCTCTCTTCTCTCTCTCTCTCTCTCTCTCTCTCTCTTCTCTCTCTCTCTTTCTTCTCTCTCTCTTTCTCTCTCTCTCTTTCTCTCTCTCTCTCTTTCTCTCTCTCTCTTTCTCTTTTCTCTCTCTTTCTCTCTTTCTTTCTTTCTTTCTTTCTTTCTTTCTTTCTTTCTTTCTTTCTTTCTTTCTTTCTTTCTTTCTATAGTTTTCAGCATTCTCTTTTATAAGATTTTGAGTTCTAATCCCCCTCCTCCATCCCTACACGATGGCATGCAATCTGATATAGGCTATACATGTATGATCATATTAAACATATTTACACATTAGTCTTGTTGTGAAAGAAGAACCAGAACAAAAGGGGAAAACCATGAGAAAGAAAAAATAAAAAACAAGAAAAGAAAGAGAAAATAGTATGCTTCAATCTGTATTCAGATTCCATAGTCCTTTCTCTGGATGTGGATAGCATTTTCCATCATGAGTCTTTTGCCTCATTTCTTATTTTTTTTCTTCTTTTTCTTTTTTAAAATAATTACTTTATTTTTAGTTTTCAGCATTCACTTCCATAAGGTTTTGAGTTTTAAATTTTCTCCACCTCCCTCTCCTCCCCCTCTGCTCACCCAAGACAGCATGCAGTGTAATATAGGCTCTACTTACACATTCATGTTAAGCATATTTTCCCATTAGTCATGATATAAAGAACAATTAGAACTAATGGGAGGAACCACGAGAATGAAGCAGTAAAACAAAACAACAAAGGAAAAGGAGAGCAAATAGTGTGCTTCCATCTTCATTCAGACTCCAAAGCTCTTTCTCTGGATGTGGCTAGCATTTCTATCTTGAGTCCTTTGGAGTTGTCTTAGATCCTTGCATTGCTGAGAAGAGCCAAGTCTATCAAAGTCAGTCATCACACAGTGTTTGCCTCATTTCTTTTTAAGGCTTAATCACTGAATGGGCATTGCCTCAGCCAAACTGAAAACTGTTAAAAACCTTATTTGAAAAGGCCAAGGTCCCCCCACTGCATCCTGAGCTATCTCCAGTCATCCTGATCTATATCTTGCAACTGGATCCAGATGGGGATATTGCACAGCCCTCCCTCACTTAAAATCCATTTCTCTTGCTTGTCATGGCATCACCTCCCTGATGTCATGGTCCTTTTGGAGAAAGAAGAACAAACGACAGCCTGTGATCTCCAGCAGATGTGGCCTTTCCTTAAATGGCAGTATGGTATAGTGGAAAGAGCATTGGACTGGAAGATTCAGAAGGATCTGGGTTTAAGTCCTTAACTCTAACACTTAGTAGTTGCATGACCCTGAGCAGTTCATTTAATCCCAGCTTCAGTTAATTCATTTGTAAAATGGGGATAATAGTTGCTCTGCTAACGTCACAGATTGTTGTGAGAAGAGCACGTTGTGAAGCATGAAGGTGCTTTATAAATCGAGGTGGTTATTTGTAGGACTGTTGCCTTTATAAAAACCATCAGTAGCCCAACTTAAGTGGAACATTTTTTGTAGTGGATCTCTGGATATTTGACATCATTGAAGGTTTTGAGGATAATTAATTTCTTGCTTTTCAAAGAGAGTGCTAGGTGTGGAGTCTGGCTTTGCCTCACGGTTACATAATGTCTTGGCATTATTTTATAGCTCTTGCCCAAGCAAGACTGACGTAGAGCCCATAAAAGAAGGACTGAAAGATGTCTGTGCTGCATTTGGGTTAGTAGAGCAGGGGAAGATCCCTTCCTATTTCTTGCTTGAGTTCCGTAGAGGGATCCCTAATTTAAATGTAGGTCATTGGATATGAGGGCCCTGGTGCTAGGTAGCACAGTGCAGAGTGCTGGAGTTGGAATCAGAAAGACCTATGCTCAAAAATTGTCCATCAGTTAACTAGCTGTGTGACCCTGGCCAAGTCACTTAACATCTTTGAGCCTCAGTTTCCTCATCTGTATACCTAGGATAATAATAGCAGCTAGCTCAGAGGGTAGTCATGTGAATCAAATCAAATAGTATACGTGATATGCTCTGCAAAGTTTAAAAGAACTGTATACATGTGAGCTACTATAACTAGTTTTATTATGGTTATTATTTTCTCTTGGAAAATTCCATGAACTAATCAGTAATCATGTTTGTTAAATATTAGCTCAGGCTTAAGCAATGTTAGATTTTGAGACTATAGACCAGAATAGGGTAGTATGTAATTACTGTGATTTTATATAGTTCGTATTGGCATATCTATGGATAAGTTGTATTATCTGGTAAGCTATAAACTCCTTGAAGGCAGAGACTGCTTGATTTTTGTCTTTACATCCCTATGCCTTACACATAGTGGGACTTCATAAAGCTTGTTGTGGAAGGAAATTGTTATGGGAGTGGAAAGCCCAGCAAAGTCAAGAAAACTATTAAAAGTTAATATATGAACTCCTCCTGACGCCGTCCTCCTCCCATCCCTTCCCTCAACCCCCAACAGTATGAAGAAAGACAAAGGTACTCTGAGTGCTTTGTCTCTGATGAAATCATTTACCTCACAGACAGCTCAATAGTAAACATTCTCATATCTTTCTATTCCTCCTGTTGACGCCCTTCCTTATATGCATTCCTCTCCTTCCCCTTTGTATATTTTATGTGTTGAAGTTAAATTGCACCTAATGTATGCTTTGGTACCTCATATACTGAAGCTTATTAGTTTATAGTTTTCTTCCCTCCTACACATATCTCTCTTATTCAGATTTAAGATTATGACAATAATTACTTGATTACTAGGATTGCTGGAGTTCATTGTTATTTAGTAGAATATAAGAACAAAGTAAGACTCCTCTCTATCTCTTGTTTATTCATAAGTTGTTTGCCTGTCCATAAGTCTGATAGGTAATATGTTCTGTGTTCTTCAGATTTTCTTTTAATATCTCTATTTATATCTAGGTCATGTATCCATTTTGACCTTATCTTGGTAAATGGTGTAAGATATTGGTCTATGCCCAGTTTCTACCAGAGTGCTTTCCAGTTTTCCCAACAATTTTTATCAAATAATGAATTCTTATCCCCAAAATTTAGGTTTTTAGACTTGTCAAATACAAGTTTACTCTATTTGTTTGCTGCTGTAAGTTGTATGTCTACTCTGTTCCACTGATCTACCTTTCTATTCCTTAGTCAGTACTATATAGTTTTGAAAATTGCTGCCTTATTATATAGTAAGGTCTGGTACTGCTAAACCTGCTTCCTTTACATTTTGTTCCTTAGTTCCTTTGATATTCTTGACTTTTTGTTCTTCCAAATGAGTTTTATTATTACTTTTTTCTAATTCAGTAAAATATTTTTTTGTAATTTAATTGGGATGGCATTGAATATATAAATTAGTTTAGATAAAATTGTCATTTTTATCATGTTGGTCCTGCCTACCCATGAACAGTTATTAACAATTAAGACTGTTCTGTCATATCAAAGTACCACTTTGCCTTTTTTCCCCCTCAATTTTATTAATTTATTGATTCATCAACAATCACTTCCATATACTTTTGAGTTGAAAATTTTTCTCCCCCTTCCTCCCCCCACCCTCCCCAAGATGGCACGGCATACAACCTGATATAGGTTTTACATTTACGTTCCTATTAAACATATTTTCACATTAGTGAAGTTGTAAGTAAAAATTAAAACCAATAGGAGGAACCATCAGAAAGATGAAACAAAACTCAACAGAAGGTAAAAATAAGTGATAGCGATTCGACTTCCATAGTTCTTTCTTTGGATGTGGACAGCATTTTCCATCCCGAGGCCTCTGGAGGTGTTCTTAGATCCTTGTAATGCTGAGAAGGGTTCAGTTTAACAATATTAGTCATTGCATAACATGGCTGTTATTGTGTACAAAGTCCTCTTGGTTCTGCTCACTTCACTCAGCATCAGACCATATAGGTCTTTCCAGGTTTTTCTGAAGTCAGCCTGTTCATCATTTCTTATAGGACAATAGTATTCCATTACAATCATTTACCACAACTGGCTCAGCCATTCCCCAGTTGATGGGCATCCTCTCAATTTCCAATTCTTTGCCACCACAAAAAGAGCTATGAATATTTTTGTACATATGGGTCCTTTTCCCATTTGTTTGATCTCTTTGGGATATAGCCCTAGAAGTGCTATTGCTGGATTAAAGGGTATGCACATTCAGAGTACCACTTTGGATGAACTGGTAACCACAAGGTCCTTGGATTGGTGCTGTGTCAAGAATTGGGAGTCAGTAGCCAGGGTTTGAGTCTCAGCTCAGCTGTGGTGCTGGGCAAGTTATTTTTCTTTTTCTAGACTCACTTTCCACATCTATAAAATGAGGAGGTTAGATTAGATGGCCTCTGAGGTACTTTCCATTTGTAAAACTGTGATCCTGTAAGATAAGGCCTAAGTAAACACTGTCGTAGGATCTGGGTAGCTAAAGACTTGGCTTGTTACTTTGATGTTTGAAAGTCTAATAAATTTGATTATAAATGAGATAATTTTTTAGAATGACCTTGGTTCCAGTCATGGATCTAACTGAACAAAGATTATCTGCCATCTCTGCCAATGTTGTTTATGTTATAGCATGGAGTAGCTGAAGCTTTTTCATTCATTTTAGCTGAGGGATTGTTTACAGGTTGGTGAATGTGACCTCTTTACAGTTATTCTTAGTTCTTGGCGTTGTATAGTCTTCCTGGCTGAATAACCGGACAGACACAGGTTATGCTGACTGCATAACTGACTGCATGTCCTGATGGTTCAAACTAAGGCTTTGAACTTGCCCAGAAAGAATTGCTTTTGTCTTTCATTCAACTGGATGAGACAGTCCTGTGCAAGGAAAAAAAAAAGTCTGGACCCCTTCTCATAGAAGTCATGTTTGTCTTCCATGTAGATCCTACCCATGTGATGGGTTTGTATCCTGATTTGCTGCCCACTGAGTATAGGAAGCAGCTGCAGTATCCCAACCCGTTGCCAGTGCTCTCTGGGGCTGAACTAGAGAAGGCTCATTTGGCTCTAATTGACTACCTGACTCAGGTAAGTAGGGACTGGGGATGCTTCCTGGGAATTCTGTCTAGCACTAGTTTCAGTGATGGGTAAGATTGCAAACAGATGGCACAAAGGCCTTGGATAACCCACTGCTTTTCTGGGCTATTTCTCATGAGTTCTTTTGCCTAAGAGTCTCAGTTGTGAACAAGAGTGAAAGCTGACCCCTCTTATATATGACTCTCAGCTTCGCTATGTCTACATCGTAGTAATCTGTGTCTACCCTTGGAAAGTAGGTAAGTGTAATTTCTGAAGGAATCCAAAAGTACCATTTTGCCCCAAGCATCCATGGCTCAGTTCCTGCCATCTTGGATTATCGCTTATTACAAGTGGTCCCACTCAGAAGTGTATTAATACCTCTGAGAATCATTTTTTTTCTTTTACAGAATTTCCACAAGCCTCAGTTTCTATGCCTTTTTTTTACAGTAAGCACTTGGAGGTATTTATAGAACATTTGCTGTGCTGGCTGTTCTCCAATCCTGGTTCTGGGGAAATGGGCATAAGGGCAGGCCTACCTGTGCTGTGTACATTAGACACACCCTTGGCATTAGATTGCAGAGATGTGCCCGTCTTGTGAGCTAAAGGCTGGGGTGTTGCCTGAGCAGTGGCTGACAGGCAGTCTGTGAGGAGACCCCAGGTCAGCCTCCCCACGTGCTCTGCCTGGCATAAGCTCCAAGGGAAGGGGGCGTTCTGCCTCTAGATGTAAAGAGAAAACTGTAGCTTGTGAGTTACAGGGCTGATTGTCCCATGTACTGGCATTAGAATTGGGCATACTGCCAGAGAGAGTGCTTTTCTGCACATGTGTCCAGTTTAGGGATCTAAAGCACATGCAGAGTCATCTCCCTAGCTCCAGTGGGATGTAGCTGGGTTGCACCAAGTTTCCTGGCAGAAATTTCATCAGTGGCAATTTGGTAGCTATTTATAATTCTCAGACTCTCGTATTAAGGTGGAAATGAGGTTAGCTACTTAGGGGGTCCATGATCCCACAGGTGTGGGTGTACTCTTATACCCAGTGCAGACCACAAGCCCTCTCACCCTTTTGGTTCTGTGAGGCTCTTGTCCATATCTTTTTTTTTTGTCCATATCTTTTTGTAAATCTTCTGAAAAGGATCCACCTCTGGAGGTGGCCTTGTGCTTTTACTATCTCAGGGGTATGAGTGCAGTAGAGACATTGGAGTATGGTGGCTGGAGAAGAGTTAGGAAAACCTGGCCTCACATCCTGCCTCTGACACATCCTGGCTGTGTGACCCCAAGCATGTCACTTCATGTCCTCCCCTTCCCCCTAGGACTCCAGGCAACTTTCTAAGATTTGAACACATCTTCAGCTTGGCGTGAAAACATGCCTCCGATTGAGGGATCTAAGGCACATGCAGAGTCATCTCCCCAGTTGCACTAAGTTGCCTCTGGAGGAAATTAGCAGCCTGGGCCCTGTTTGTCTTCTGGGTGGCACAGTTTGTACCCTCATGTGCTGTCTGCTCTAAGTTTCAGAGAAGGTGATGGTCTGCCTTGGCTGAGAGAGGTGTCCTTGGCTGGCATTGCCTGCATCCTTGAGATCACCAGTTCAGTCTACATCCGCTTCCCCCCCAGCCTCCCTGTGGGGCTCGGCCTCTCTAGCTGCTCTCTCTCGTTTTTCACTGCGTGACCAGCCCCCAAAGTCATGCATGTCCTTTATGGTATATTCTGTGCCACCCCTCGGGCACAAGCCGTCATTGGTCATTGGCTCCAATCAGCTTGTTCCCTCCATGCATCTCTCCATTGCCCTTTGGGTTACTGATGGTTTGGGTTATTCGGGGATTGTGAGCTCCATGGTGTTAGAAGGGATTTGGGTGGCAGCAAAACAATTTTTTAACCATTGAGAAAGTGCCTCAGGATTCCCCAAATCCCAAATGGCAGGTGGCCATGTAGGCCTGAGGAGAACTTCCCCTGCTGGCCAAGGGGTGGGATTGGGGGATATTTAGCTTTGGTTTTCTATGCTTCATTCATCGCCTTTTCAGAAAAGAAACCAGCTGGTGAAGAAGCTCAATGACTCTGATCATCAGTCGAGTACCTCCCCCCTCATGGAAGGCACCCCCACAATCAAGTCCAAGAAGAAACTCCTGCAGATCATAGATACCACGCTGCTGAAGTGCTACCTCCAGGCGAGTGGCAGTGCCTGAGACCAAGTAGGGAAGCCATCTGGCACCTGGTGCTAACGAGTCAAAACCATCCTGGGCAGAGAAGTGGAACAGTTGTCCTAGTGTTTGTCATGTTTCTGATGATCCAGGCATTTGGTCGATAAGATAGGCTTTCTCTCTGTGGCCCTAAAGAAAGCTTGTTTCTTTTCAGCTCTAGCAAAGCCCTAGGTAGGGAAGAGGGTAGCTCATGAAGACATTTTTTTCCCCAGAAAGTTAAAACTAGAGGGGTTAGTAAATGAAGAAAAAAGCATTGATTAAGTGCTTACTGTTTGAAAAACACTGTCCTTTAAGGTGCCTTACTGCCTTGGTAAGGCTGGTTCGTGGCCCCGAGAGGGGGCAGCTGGTGGGAATGGGTGGCCTCTTCTCTGTAGCGATCCTCCTCTTGAATGATGGCTTTGGGAGCTAGGATGGAACTAGGGCTAGTGGTCTGGAGGATGTTGCTGTTGCTGGGGCTTTTAAGTTTACCCGCTTGTCAGCGGCAGTTGGTGAGTGGTTGGTGTCTTTGGTGGTGAGGATGGCTGGCTCCTTGTACACAAAGCTTGCCCTCCCTGGGTCTGGCAGGCAGAGCTGTCCCAAGGGCTGTCGGACTCCCCTGCCTGTCAACAGCAGTTGATCAGTGATTAGTGTTGGTTGTGGCAAGAATGGTGGGTCCATTCTCCCCTCAGTAACGGTTTTTGGGGCCAGGCCAGAAGCAAGACTGGTGGTCTGGGGGTGGGGGCTACTAGCATTCTCAGGGCTCATGGGCTTTTATCTCCATTATGGTCAGAAGGGGGGTGGTAGCAGTGACTTGCCTGGCACATACCACCTCCTTTCGCTTCCTCAGGGCATCTTGCTGCTTCAGCTGTGTGGGTTTACCTACCTTGATAAGACAACATTGGGCCTTTGCCCCTAAGGCTGATATCCTCTGGATCTTAAGCTGTGTCACAAGCTTTTTTCTGTTTGTGCAGTACTCCAGTACAGGACCAATACTGTGTGGGCCTAGAGAACAGGGAGGGAGTGGGGAAGATCCTCAGGGAGAAAATCTGATTCTACGTTGCACTCCTTCTGTAGACCAACATGGCCCTGGTGGCTCCATTGCTGCGTCTGGAGAACAATCATTGCCACATTGAAGAAAGTGAGCACGTGTTGAAGAAGGCTCATAAGTACAGTGAGCTGATCATCCTTTATGAGAAGAAGGGGCTTCATGAGAAAGGTGATGCCAACAGATTCTCAGTATTTGTCTGCCAGGGCCCCTTGGGGACCATGGGCTGGATGGTGTGGCTGCAATAAGTAGCCTACTCTCTGAGGAGTGGGACTGGCTCATAACAGCATTTTGGGGGTTTCTCACAAGCTCTGCAGGTGCTGGTGGACCAGTCTAAGAAAGCCAATTCCCCCCTGAAAGGCCATGAGAGGACAGTGCAGTATCTTCAGCATCTGGGTAAGCATCCCCTTTGGGGCAGCAAGATTCAGGAGAGGGACAAGGGGTCGGCTTGTTGAAAGGTACCTCATTTTAGTTGGTGTCTGACTCTTGGCAGTCTTGTTTCTCTTCTCTGGGAGCGCTTGACTTGTGGCCTCTGTGGGACGGCGCTGGTGTCCGCTTTCTTGTGGGACTTGGAGCTGGTGCACCAGGTGTGTGCAGGGAGCTGGCATTAGGGCTGCTTTGTCCTTTTAGCTTTCAGACCAAGGCACAATGGGCATTTTGGCACATCTGGGCTGTGACACCCCAGCTTCTTGTGAAATGTTCTGTTTCTTATTCTAGGCACAGAGAACTTGCATTTGGTGTTCTCCTACTCTGTCTGGGTGCTGAGAGACTTCCCAGAAGATGGGCTGAAAGTAAGTATTCTTAATTCCATCCCATCTTATCTGGACTCTCTTGTCGTGTCCTATTCCAGTAACAGAACTGTCACCGCCATCAATGCTTAATTATGTTTTATATTTTGTAGGTGCTTGTATATATGCACTTCTGTGTATACTGGCAAGAGAATGTAAGCTCCTTGAGGGCAGGGACTGTTGTTGTCCCTGCAACCCCAGCACGAGGCGCAGTGCTTGACATACAATCAGCATTGAGTAAATGCTTCTTGGTTAGTTGGTTGGTTGATTGACACGGGAGTCATAGAAGGGTCATGGTCTTTGGTTAAACATTGGGTGAGGGGAAGAGCTGTGACTCTCCAGAAAGCTTACTCGTATTCCTTGGGGTTCTCTCTGGCAGAAAGCTGTGTTCTTTGCTTGTTTGCTTTGTGGGAAGTCCTTAAACTATAAATTGAGAAAGAGGGTTATTGGAAGTGTTTATTTTTTAACTATTTAACTTAGGCTTTGCATGGATTAGGTTACAGTTCTCAAATTATGCTTATTTTTTACCATTAATTTTTTGTAGTATCTTATTTTTTCTTAATTGCATGTAAAGATAGTTTTCAACATTCACTTTTATAAGATTTTGAGTTTCCAATTTTTTTCTCCCTCCCTTCCCTTTCCTCTCCCCAAGGAGGCATGCAGTCTGATATAGGCTGTATGTGTACAATCCTATTAGACTTATTTCCACATTAGTTATGTTGTAAAGAAAGAATCAGAACAAAAGGGAAAAACCATGAGAACTGTATTTCCCTCCGTCCTGTTTCCTCCCCCCGTTTATTCTGTTCTCTCTCTCCTTTCACCTTGTCCCTCCTCAAAAGTGTTTTGCTTCTGACTACTCTCTCCCTCAGTCTGCTCTCTCTTCTATCATTCCTCTCCCATCCCCCACCCCTACTTCTCTTAATCCGCTTCCCCTCCTACTTTCCTGTAGGGTAAGATAGATTTCTTTGCCCAACTACGTGTGTATGTTATTCCTTCTTTGAGCCAATTCTGGTGAGAGTAAAGTAGACTCACTCCCCCTCACCTCTCCCTTCTTCCCCTCCACTGTAAGAGCTTTTTCTTGCCTCTTTTATGTGAGGTTATTTACCTCATTCTACCTCTCCCTTTCTCTTTCTCCCAGTACTTTTTTCTTTCAACCCTTAATTTTATTTTTTAGATATCATCCCTTCACAGGGCACACCTGTGCCCTCTGTCTGTATATACTCCTTCTAACTACCCTAATACTCTGGGCTTTTCATCAGAAATGCTTGAAAGTCCTTTATCTCATTGAATGTCCATTTTTTTCCCTCTGAAGGATTATACTCAGTTTTACTGGGTTGGCGATTCTTGATTGTAATCCTAGCTCCTTTGCCCTCCAGAATATGATATTCCAAGCCCTCCGATCCTTTAATGTAGAAGCAGCTAAATTTTGTGTTATCCTGACTGTGGCTGCACCATACTTGAATTGTTTCTTTCTGACTGCTTGCAGTATTTTCTCCTTGACCTGGGAATTCTGGGATTTGGCTATAATATTCCTGGCAGTTTTCGTTTTGGGATCTTTCAGGAGGTGATTGGTGGATTCTTTCCATTTCTGTTTTACCCTCTGGTTCTAGAATCTTAGGGCAGTTTTCCTTGATAATTTCTTGAAAGATGATGTATAAGCTCTTTTTTTTCATCATGGCTTTTAGGTAGTCTAAAACTTTTTAAATTATCTCTCCTGGATCTGTTTTCCAGGTCAGTTGTTTTTCCAGTGAGATATTTCACATTGTCTTCTATTTTTTTCATTCTTTTATTGTTTCTTGATTTCTGATAAAGTCATTAGCTTCCATTTGCTCCATTCTAATTTTTAAGGAATTATTTTCTTCAGTGGGCTTTTGGACCTCCTTTTCCATTTGGCCAGTTCTGGTTTGTAGGTCATTCTCCTCCTCATTGGCTTTTCAGACCTCTTTTGCCATTTAGCTTAGTCTGTTTTTTAAGTGTTATTTTCTTCATTGTTTTTTTGGGTCTTCTTTACCAAGCTGTTGACTTGTTTTTCATGATTTTCTTGTATCACTCTAATTTCTTTTCCCAGTTTTTCCTCTACCTCTCTTACTTGATTTTCAAAATCCTTTTTGAGCCCTTCCATGGCCTGAGATCAATTCATATTTTTCTTAGAGGCTTTGGATGTAGGAACTTTGTGTTATCTTCTTATGAGTGTGTTTTGATCTTTCTTGTCACCATAATAACTTTCTGTAGTCAGAGTGTTTTTCCATTGCTTGCTCATTTTCCCAGCTTATTATTTGACTTGACTTTTCACTGTTTGTTAAAGTAGGGCTCTGCTTCCAGAGTGGAGGGTGCACTATCTCAAGCTTCAGGGATTTTGTGCAGCTGTTTTCACAGCTATCTCTAGGGACCTGTAAGTTTTCAATTCTTCCAAGGTGATGTGATCTAAGGATAAGTGTTTACTCCTCTCCTGGTCTGTGCTCTGGTCTGTGAGTGACCATAAGCACTTTGTCCTGGAACTGTGAGGGGAGTGCCCCCTCCACCCATCCCCTCCCCACTTCTGCCTGCAAGCTCTGCTATGCTAGTATTCCTCCTTGCCTTGGGACTGCCAGCCAGGGCTGTGAGCTGGATCCAAGGATGGGCAAAGCAACAGCATCCTGCCTCAGTGCTGGCAGAAAGACCCCTGTAATCTCCTTCTAACCAGTTGTTTGACTCCCTTACTGTCTGTGGGCTGAGAGCTCCAGAAGCAGCCACTGTTGCTGCCATTGCAAATTCAGTCATTCCCATGGCCTGCTCTGGTTTGCTGAGGCCGAGGCTGTGCTGGTGTGGCCTGTGCTGATGCCACCTGTGCTGAACTGTGCTCTACTCTCACCCAGGTGCACCTAACCTTTTTTGCTGACCTTCTATATTATCTTTGGTGTCTGTGGGCTGAGAGGTCTGGAAGCCGCTGCTGCCAGTGATTCAGTTCCCCTGAAGCCTGCTCCGGGTTTGCTGGGGCTGGGTCTGCGCTGGCATGGCCTGAGCTGGACTGTGCTCTTCTCTCATCCTGGTGCAGCAGACCTTTCCTGCTGACTTTTCCAAATTGTCTTAGGCTGGAAATTTGTTTTACTCCGTCTTTTTGTGAATTCTCCTGCTCTAGAATTTGTTTAGAGTCATTTTTTAAAGGTATTTGGAGGATTTTGGGGGAGAGCTCAGGTGAGTTCCTGCCTTTACTCCACCTTCTTGGTTCCACCCCTCAAATTATGCTTAGTAACTGGCCTATATACATTGAAGCCTTTTACTATACCAATGTGTGGAGTCAGTGAGTGTCTGACTTGGATAATGGTGGAGTTAATTTTAAATTCCTATATTCCAGTGACAGGTTGTTCTTTTGGGACTCCATTTGATATTGTGGTAGGTCCTTAGGGGGTTTAAGTCATTGTATAGAGCAGTTAAGGACAACAATGCACATGGTATAGTGGAAAGAAGATCATCAGGGCTGACTGGGAGTCAAGATTTGGGGTTCAGTTCCTGGTTCTGTTACACCAGCTGTGTGATACTGGGTAACTCTTTGGGTCTCAGTTTTCTCTTTTGTAAAAATGAGGGGTTTGAGGTTGATGACTTCTGAGCTGGCAGGTAGGCTCTCCTCCTACCTGTATCAAACATTCTGTGACTCCTCCACCTGCCTCCATCTTCCTGAGCTCTCAGCTTGGGATGTCCAGCAGTGGTTCTGCTGATGGAAACATATTTTGTTCTGACAGATATTTACTGAAGATCTCCCTGAGGTGGAGGCTCTACCACGGGATCGTGTGCTGAACTTTTTAATAGAAAACTTTAAGGGCCTAGCTATTCCCTATTTGGTAAGATGCTGTTTTTTTTTTTCTAATTCATTTAATAAAGTTCACCACTAAGCCATCCTGGAGCACAGGTGTTCAGGTCATGGGGCATGTGAGATGGGTGTCTGTGCCCTTTAAGAATGGATAGACACCTTCTGATAGAGAAGTGGTGGACTTAGAGTGAAGACTTAGACATATTGTTTTTGGACATGGCCAATGAGGGAATTTGTTTTGCTTGATGGTGCATGTTTATAATAGGGGCTTTGTTTTTCTTGCTTTATCAGTGGTTGGGAGTGAATTGTTGGAAGGGGGAGAGAAGGTAGATAGATCTTTGTGAAAATAAAATTGAATTTAAAAAAAGAATGTGTAGAATTGTAAGATGAGAGATTTACTTCAGTATCCTTTGAAAGAGACATTCTGGCAAACTATATTTGGTGCCCAGAGTAGATGTTTTGGCACTTCATACATTTCATGACATTTCATACATTTATGGCAAGCTGTGATTGGTGAAAAAGAAAGACTTAATGGAAATTCCGGTGCTACATTGGTCCACCTTGATTCAGTAATGATCACAGGAGAAGCAAATAGGTTTTAAATATCTAAAAGAAAACACCTTAGGACAGGGTAGGATTGTTGGGATTAACTAGGTAAATTCATGGGTTAAAATTTAAAAAGACTGGTAATCAGGCAATTCATTCCTGAAACTCAAAAGAATTAACAGTGAAATTTATAAAAAGCTACTACTTAGATTTATAGCTTGATTAAGCTTTACAAGGGGTAAAACTTTACAGGGGTATCTGAGTTAAATTATCTGTGTAAGGGCAGCTAGGTGGCACGGTAGGTAGAGTACCAGGCCTGGAGTCAAGAAGATTCATCTTCTTGAGTTCAAATTTGGCCTCAGATACTTACTAGCTGTGTGACCCTGGGAAAGTCACTTAATCCTGTTTGTCTCATCTGTAAAGTGAGCTAGAGGAGAAAATAGCAAACCACTCCAGTATCTTTGCCAAGAAAACCCCAAATGAGGTCACAAAAAGTTGGACATGACTGAAATAGAAAATATAGGCCAAACCTGTTTTTCATAGGAACACATCATCCATACCTGGGAAGAGACGGGTTCTGAGTTCCACAACTGCCTTATCCAGCTGTACTGTGAGAAGGTCCAAGGACTGATGAAGGAATACCTTAGCTCCTTTCCTACAGGTATAGATGATCTTAAAAACCTAGTTGTCTCATGGGCTTGGAGAAAGCATAGAACTTGTCAACATGGAGCACGGGGTGGTGGCACGCAACACAAAACCTTGTACATTTGAGCTTTGTAAAAGCAAATCATTTTATGGGAAGAAAACTTTTGGAATTTTCTTTTTTCTTTTTTCTTTTTTTTGGACATGGTCCTCACCCTTTTTCAGGCCCTTCTCCCCTTTCACCTAGATTAGTATAATGGCCTCCACATTGGACTTCCTGCTTCCCTTCTGTACTCCTTGAAATCCTGCTCCACATTGAGATCTCTAAAGGATAGATATTACCTTGCCACTACCCTCCTTAGTGGGCACCTGGGTGGCACAGTGAAAAGAGTGCTGGGCCTGGAGTCAGGATAACCTGAGTTCAAATCCAGCCTCAGACACTTACTAGCTGTGTGACCCTGGGCAAATCATCTAACCCTGTTTGCCTCGGTTTGCTCATCTGTCAAGTGACTCCTTTTGGAGGAGTCAGTGAGCCCAGGTTAACCAATGGTAGAAGTCAGAGTAGGAACTGCAGGTTGGCCTACATAAATTACTCCCTATCTCTGAGAACCACCCCCAAGGAGAGGATGAAGTCCTAGAGCCAGCCTACTGCAGTGTTGGGAAGAAACCAGTGTTGTTGCCAGGCCTTTCACCTGGTAAACAAGACATGCTTCTGTCTTGTATTTTTGTGGTACATACAGACTACTACTTAAGTAGCTCATTCTGAGTGTGACATTCTTTTTATTCATTGGGATTATGACGTTACCCCCTTGTGGACCTTCTCTTGCACTGAGCCTGGTTTTCCCATAGATAAAACTCCAGTCCCTGCTGGTGAGGAAGAGGGTGAGCTGGGAGAATACCGACGGAAGCTCCTCATGTTCCTGGAGATCTCTAGCTGCTATGATCCAAGTCAGCTCATCTGTGACTTCCCTTTTGATGGTGAGTATCTAACTGGAGGCCACAACCTACTGCAGTTTTCAGGAAGGCACAAATTCGTGTTTGTATAGGGCCTTAGGGTTTAGAGAGCACCTTCATTTTTGTTGTTTTATGTTGATCCTCATAACAACCCTTTGAGGAAGCTTTTCTTATGTAATCAGTATTGTTAACCCTGCATTGCATAACTAAGTATTTAAATAGTAATTAAGTAAGTAGTATTGTCATCTAATTCATTTAGTCAGCAAATATGTATTAAAACCTAGTTCTTTTAGCTACCATCCTACCATACCACTCTGCCTCTCTCTTCTTTCTAACATGAGCTCCCTTTTCTTTTCCATTCTGTACCTCAGATTCCCTTAACACTGTCCTTTGTTCTCTCTTCCTGTACCATAGGGTCTTAGGAAAAAAAAGAAAAAAGGGGTCCTTCTTGCCAAGGCAAACCCTTTTGCAGTACTTGTGCCCTTTGATCCTATTCCCCCTGTCTCCTCTGGGAGTTTCTCTCTCTGTTTGTGCCCTCTTTCTTTCTAATCTTCAGTCCCTCTTTATCCACTAGCTCTTTCTCTGCTGTCTACAAATATGACCAGATTACCACTCCCCCATTCTTAAAAACAACGTGATTCTTTCTTCTCCTCAGACTATAATTCTTTATCTCCCTTTCATTTCATAGCCAAATTTCTAGAAAAAGCCATTTATACTCATTACCTCCATTTCCTCATGTCTTACTAACTTCTCAGATGCTAAACTGAAGCTGTTCTTACCACAGTTATCAACAGTCTCTTAATTATTAAATCCAATCTTCAGTCCTGATCTTTGACCTCTCTGCAGCTTCAGACACAACCACTTCCTTTTCCTAGACATGGTTTTCCTTGCCTTTTGTGATACCTACCATTCTCTTCCAGTTCTCCTCTTACCTTTCTGCATACTGTCCTTTGCTGGGCCATCTTTTATGTCCTGCATCACCAGCTGTTGGCAGGACACTGTACTTCATTGTCCAGTAGGCATCTCAGACTCCACTCAGACTCCTTCCCAAACCTCCCCTATTCCTATTCCTGTTCCTCCTATTCCTGAGGTTAGTATGAACACCACCATAACTTTCAGTCACTGAGGTTACAACCTTGGAGTCATTGTCTACTCTTCACTCTCTGTTACCCCCAGTGTTCAGTTAGTTTCCAAGTTTTGTCAGTTCTATCTCTACAAAATCTGCTGCATCCATCCCCCTTTTTTTTCCCCCTAGTGCACATGGTCCTCACCCTTTTTCAGGCCCTTCTCCCCTTTCACCTAGATTAGTATAATGGCCTCCACATTGGACTTCCTGCTTCCCTTCTGTACTCCTTGAAATCCTGCTCCACACTGAGATCTCTAAAGGATAGATATTACCTTGCCAGTGCCCTGCTTAGTGGGCAGCTAGGTGGCACAGTGGAAAGAGTGCTGAGCCTGGAGTCAGGAAAACCTGAGTTCAAATCCAGCCTCAGACACTTACTAGCTGTGTGACCCTGGGCAAATCATCTAACCCTGTTTGCCTCGGTTTGCTCATCTGTCAAGTGAGCTGGAGAAGGAAATGGCAAAGCTCTCCAGTATCTTTGCCAAGAAAATCCCAAATGGGGTCATGATGAGTCAGACATGACTGAACAACCGCCACTCCCACCACCCTGCTCAGTGAGCTCCAAGGTCTTTGCTTTGCATCTAAAGCCCTTCACAGTTTGGCTCTACCCTGACTTTCTGAGCCCGTGTCCTGCTGCTGTTCCTCACACACTCTCTGTTCCATTCAAAGCTGTCCTGCTTGCTGTTCCCTGTACGTGACATTCTGTCTCCAACCTCCACACCTTTGACCAGTGAGAGAGGAGAATACTTTCCTTTCTCACCTCTGTCCCCTGGAATCATACTCTCACCTCCTTTCTAGGCTCAGCTCAGGTGCCGCCTCCTGCATGAGGCTTTTTCCATCTCTCCTGTTGTTAATACCCTTTCCCACTCTGGGCCTACCCCCGCCCCCAAATTACTTTGTTTTTATTTTGTACCTAAAATGTAAGTGCCTCGAAGGCAGGGAACATTTGTTTTGTCTTTGTACCCCATGTAGTAGGGGTTTGCCATGTAGTAGGTGCTTAGTAAATGCTTGTTGAATTGAGTTGAAATGAAACTCACAGCAACTTGGTGAAGAAAACATGCAGTCCATTTGTTTAGGTATCTGTGCTCCAATTTCTTCCCTGTGGAGTAACCGCATTGTGTCTAAAAGCGTTCCCTTCTCTCTTTGGCTGTGTGCTCACACATTTATCACCAGCCAAGTTTAAATTTGTTCCATTGCATGTGTTTGTGGCCGAGCTTATTCTTTTCTGATTCAGTAGAACCATAAACTCAGTGATTGATATGATTTCCTGGAAAAAATTGTGAATTGTCTTTACTCGGGTACAGGTCAGTCCTGTGATTGCTCATATTTTGAGTGTTTCTAGTTATTAACTCCTTGGGGGGAAAACTTTAATAGTAGAAATAATATCTCTTCTCTTATTCTAGTCCCATGCTGTGCCATTCCTCTTGCAGTAGGGGTTAATTTTTTTTTATAATTAATTTATTTTTAGTTTTCAGCATTCATTTCCATAAGCTTTTGCATTTTAAATTTTCTCCCCCTCCCACTTATTCCTCATGCCCCCCCCCAGAGTGTGCAGTCTGATATAGGCTCTACGTATATATTCATGTTAAGCATATTTTTCCATTAGTTATGATGTAAAGAACCATTAGAACTAATGGGAAGAACCACAAGAAAAAAGAAACAAAACAGAAGAAAAAAAAAGAGCAAATAGTATGCTTCAATCTGAATTCAAACTCCATTGTTCTTTCTCTGGATGTGAAGAGCATTTTCCATTATGAGACTTTTGGAGATGTCTTAGGTCCTTGCATTGCTGAGAAGAACCAAGTCTATCAAAGTTGGTCATAGCACAAGGTGGCTGTGACTGTGTACAACGTTCTCTTGGTTCTGCTCGCTTCACTTAGCATCAGTCCATACAAGTCTTTCCAGATTTTTCTGAAATCAGCCTGTTCATCATTTCTTATAGCACAATAGTATTCCATTACATTCATATACCACAACTTGTTGAGCCATTCCCCAGTTGATGGGCATCCCCTCAATTTCCAATTCTTTGCCACCACAGAAAGAGCCGCTATAAATATTTTTGTACATGTAGGTCCTTTTCCCATTTCTGTGATCTCTTTGAGATACAGACCTAGAAGTATTGGATCAAAGGGTATGCACATTTTTATAGCCCTTTGGGCATAGTTCCAAATTGCTGTCCAGAATGGTTGGATCAGTTCACAACTCTACCAACAATGCATTAATGTTCCGATTTTCCCACATCTTCTCCAACATTTATCATTTTCCTGTTTTGTCATGTTAGCCAATCTAATAGATGTGATGTGGTGCCTCAGAGTTGTTTTGATTTGCATGTCTCTAATCAATAGCGATTTAGAATATTCATATGACTATAGATATCTTTATTTTCTTCCTCTGAAAACTGCCTGTTCATATCCTTTGACCATTTATCAGTTGGAGAATGACTTGTATTCTTATAAATTTGACTAAGTTCTTTATATATTTTAGAAATGAGGCCTTTATCAGAGACACTGGTTGTAAAAATTCTTTCCGATTTTTCTGCTTCCCTCCTAATCTTGGATGCACTGGCTTTTTTTGTACAAAAACTTTTCAATTTAATGTAATCAAAATTATCCATTTTGCATTTCATAATGTTCTCTATCTCTTGTTTGGTCATAAATTCTTCCCTTCTCCATAGATCTGAAAGGCAAACTATTCCTTGCTCTCCTGGTTTGCTTATAGTATCACTCTTTATATCTAAATCATGTACCCATTTTGACTTTATCTTGGTATTGGGTGTAAGATGTTGGTTTATGTCCAGTTTCTGCCGTGCATTTTTCTAGTTTTCCCAGCAGTTTTTGCTAAATAGTGATTTCTTATCCCAGAAGCTGGGGGTCTTTGGATTTATTAAATAGTAGAATACTGTAGTCATTGACTATTATGTCTTGCATACCTAACATATTCCACTGATCCACCATTCTATTTCTTAGTCAGTACCAAGTAGTTTTAATGATTGCTGCTTTATAATACAATTTAAGATCTGGACAGCTAGGCCACCTTCCTTTGCATTTCTTTTGATTAATTCCCTTGATATTCTGGACTTTTTGTTCTTCCAGATGAATTTTGTTATTTTTTTTTCTAGCTCTGTAAAATAATTTTTAGGTAGTTTGGTTGATATGGCATGGGGTTAAATTTTTAAAAAATTTTTCTTGTAGGTCTCCTAGAGGAAAGAGCTCTCCTTTTGGGGCGAATGGGGAAACATGAACAAGCCCTCTTCATTTATGTCCACATTCTGAAGGATACAAGGATGGCTGAAGAGTAAGTGACCTCTCTGATCCTAATCATACTTTCTGTGAATTTCTAGATTTGGGTGTATGTTATTTAGAATCAGAAGAGACCAGAAGGGTAGCTGGAAACATCCCACCACAGGAACGCCAGCTGCCTATGTTGAGTACCCACTAGAGTGAAAATGGTTTGCTACAATGGCCCTCAGTTCTAATGCAATCTCTAATAGATCATAAAGCTGTTAGATGAATGGAAATTACCTTAGTCCATTAAACTTTGTCTGGCCTTATCCCGTTTCTGACTCGCTGTGTTTCACTTCCAGGTACTGCCATAAACACTATGACCGTAACAAAGACGGCCACAAAGATGTGAGTAGTGACCCCAGTCCTGGCTGTCTTGTGGTTATTGCATGTGGTCACGTGTGTCTGACCGTGCACGACCTACCCAGCCCTCTTCAGGTTGATCGTAGGTTACTCTGATTGGAGTGAATTGCTGAGATAGCGTGGGTCAGTGTGTTGGTGCGATTTCGATGCCTGTGATTGATCTGTAGGTGGATCAAACATTATAACCAGGAACAGTTAAAAGTGAGCCGCTTGTCTGCCACCGTTTTTCTTTATATCCCCGGCAGTTAGCACAGTGCTTCATACGTAGTAGGTGCTTAATAAATGTTTGTTGACTTGATTTATCCTACTTCCTATGATGCTCTAGATTTAGGTATATGCTTTTTTTAAGAAGCAGGATCATAGGGGCAGCTAGGTGGCGCAGTGGGTAGAGCACCGGCCCTGAATTCAAATCTGGCCTCAGACCAAACACTTGACACTTAGTAGCTGTGTGTCCCTGGGCAAGTCACTTAACCCCAATTGCCTTTAAAAAAAAAAAAAGGAATCAGGATCATAGGGGCAGCTAGGTGGCACAGTGGATAGAGCACCGGCCCTGGAATCAGAAGGACCTGAGTTCAAATTCGGCCTCAGACACATAACACTTACTAGTTGTGTGACGCTGGGCAAGTCACTTAACCCCCATTGCCCAACCAAAAAATCCAACAAAAACCCAACAAAAAAGAATCAGGATCATAGAATTTTAGAGCTGAAGATAATCTTTAGAGATCATCTAATCTAATCCTTCTTCATTGTATTGGTGAAGAAAGCAGAGCCTAAATGGCATATGTCAAAGGTTATCCAATTACTGGAGCACAATGAGAGCCTGGGCCTCCTAACTCCCTGGCGGTTGCTCTTTTCAGCTTTTCATTTTGGTACAGTGATGTTGTACAAGTCAGTTTTAGAACTGGTACCAGTCCATTGTACTGAATCACCGTTGGGGCTTGGCTCTCACCTATCAAGGCCTTGGCATAGACTGGGGCCTCAGCTTTGAAACCCCAGCATAAAGGAAAAACCTTTACTGAGTTACACTTAGTTTTTCCTCCTTTTTTTATTTTGATTGCCAACTTAATTTTATATATATTTTAAAAAACATTTTTATTTTGAGTTCCAAATTCTCTCCTTCCCCTCTCCCTTTCCTGAGATGGTAAACAGTCAGATATAGGTTATACATGTGCAATTATGTAAAACTTTTCCATATCAGTCATTTTGTCATGTACATTTTAAATATATAAAAATTAATGACTTTTAAGACACTAGCTGTGTGACTCTAGGCAAGAAATCCCTTAAACTCTCTTGTGCCTTAGTTTCTTCGTGTCTAAGGGTAGGCAGTTGGATTCCATGACTTCTAAGGTCCCTCTCAACTTTAACTCTATGATCCTGTGACTCCCGTGAGCTAGATGACAGCCACTGCCTCTAGACTTCCCTCTGTATAAAACTGAGCTTTTCACCATCCCTCCGATTCAGCTGGTATTTTGGGATTCTCTGAAGGTCACTAGTACTCAATGTCAATTGATTGGTATATTTTGACTGGATTTATGTGAAACAGGTATATCTGTCCCTGCTTCGGATGTATCTGTCCCCACCTAGTGTTCACTGCCTGGGGCCAATCAAGATGGAGCTGCTGGAGCCCCAAGCTAATCTCCAGGCTGCTCTGCAGGTTTTGGAATTACATCACAGCAAGCTGGACACCACCAAGGTCAGGATCACCCTGTCTCTGTCTCTCTGTCTCTCTGTCTCTATCTCTCCTCTGTCTCTTTCTCTCCCCCCATCAGTTTACCTTCTTTGAATTGAGGGGAAGGAATACATAGCATTAGGGCTGGACAGAGAAACAAGTTCAGCTATTTGACCTTCTTTGAATTGAGGGGAAGGAATACATAGTATTAGGGCTGGACAGAGAAACAAGTTCAGCTATTTGAAAAGGTTTCTGCATCTTTCACTGTTCTGCATGGCTCACCATCCCTCCTTTGTGTTCCTCTGCCCTCAGGCCATCAACCTTCTTCCTGCCAACACTCAGATTAATGAGATACGCATCTTTCTGGAGAAGGTCCTGGAGGAAAACGCACAAAAGAAACGTTTCAATCAAGTCCTCAAAAACCTTCTTCAGGCGGAGTTCCTAAGGGTACAGAACACCAGAGCTCTTCTTCATTCTCTGCCTGAGTCTGTGTCCTGATCTCTTTCTGTGAACTGACATCAGAGTGCCTTCAGCCATGTGCTTTACACATAGGTCACATCCAGAGATGAATTTGACCTTTAGTTCCCAGCTCTCTTAGTGAAAGAAATTGGTGAAAACCAAGGTGGGGAAAGGGAGGGAGCAGGGATGCCATAAATGTACTTTTCTGCCTTCCTTTCTTGTGGGGATAGCTGCGTGGGGTTCACATGCAGTTGGGTTTTGGTCATGTCCCTCCAGGTCCAGGAGGAGCGCATTTTCCACCAGCAAGTGAAGTGTATCATCACAGAGGAGAAGTTGTGCATGGTGTGTAAGAAGAAGATAGGGAACAGGTGAGCCTCCCAGACAGGCCTGGCCTGGCCTCTGCCTCTTCAGGTTCTCCTCTAACAACCCGCAGCCTTGCTCCACACCTAGACCCCTAGGACTGGGTGGGTACCTTGGAGACACTGTCTCAGGGAAGACAGTAAGCAGGGATGAGTATTGAAATGCTCCCATGCCCAGACTCTTGGTTCTGAAGTGACTTGATCAGGGATGAAGCAATACAGGAAGTGGATTTTTAAAAATCCTCCTAGATTTTCTTATATTTTTATATACATGTGTTTGTAACAGGTTTTGTTTTTCTTGCTTTCTCAACTTGGGAAAATAGAGAATGGAGGGAAGTGGGAAGGAGATAATGTGGACCTTAAAAGAAAAGAAAATGGAATTTAAAAAAATGAACAGTCTGCTTCTTATGGAAATCTTGGAGGAGGGGGCCAGTTTCAGGACCACTGATGTATAGGGGTGGATCTCTGTTTTTCTTGAAAGGTGGGCACAATTGCTACTGATGTACCCTACTGCTTTTAAGCCGTTTGAAATTCACCTTTGTGCCATCTCTGGCCTTAACAGATGGAGTAAATGCTTGTTCTGTTTCCAGGCTCATTTATTGAAAAGACAGATTTATAATTTTGAATTTTGACCTTTGAAATGGGCTTATACTAAGCAGCCCAAAGAGATTAGACACCTAGCTGGTGACTGACTTGGCTACTTTTTTGAAATTTTAGAGATTTAATGCAGTTATCGTCCAAAGCAGTCAGGTCATGTCTGGGGCATTGAGTCCTGGGTGGTTAAAACCATAGCCTATCAGAAACAACTGAAGGAATTCTGGGGTTGTTTAGCTTGGAGATGCAGTGACTTAAGGGAGGATATAGTGGAGAAGGGATTAGACTGGTTCCCCTTAGCCCTGCAGGATAAAACCAGCACTAGGGGTAGAAGTGCCAGAAACACAGATTTCAACTCAGTATAAAGAAGAACTCTGCAGTGGTCATGCCCACAGAGGGAACGGGCTGTCTCAGCAGAGAGTGAGCCTGCCATTCCTGCAGGGCTTCAGTATAGATGACTCTGCAAAGCAAATGTTGTGTGACTTCCTTTGTGTGGGAGTGGAGCTGGAAGACTGGGAGGCTTCAGGTCTGGTTTCTTCAGATACTTTGTCAGGACAAGCCTGCAGGCTAAGCCAGCTTTGATACATGGGCCTGCATGTTCCCTCTGCCCGCTTTTGGTGTTTGCATGCTGTTGATTAACATGTTGATTAACAGGAGATATGTGCACAGTAGATATAGTATGTTTGCATCATGGAGAACTCTGAGGAATCTAAGACTCTCTTGTACTTCCAGCCTTGGAAGAGATTACTAAATTCTTTCTGGGTCTATACTTGACAAACCAAAGCAGATAGGCACAGTTTCTGCTCCTGTTTTGGTCAGAGACAGATGAATGGTGGCTCTGTCAGTCCAAGTAGTCCAGGAGGCAGCTTGATTTTCATAGGCTGACCAGAGCTGCCTCTGTACCGGTTTTAAGGCAGGAAGCTTTTCCTAGTAAAGGAGGGTGCTTCCTTTCTGGGGACCAGTCTCATTCCGTTCTTCTTCCTCCCGCAGCGCGTTTGCCAGGTACCCCAATGGAGTGGTTGTGCACTACTTCTGTTCCAAAGAGGTCAACCCGACTGATACCTGAACTGGAGCCATGCTCTGAGGTCAGCAGACTACAATTCCTGCCTTTCCCAGAAGAACGGAAGGAGTGGAAGCTCCTTAGGAAACAAGAATGCCTCCAGGAGGAGGGGGAGTCTTCTCATTTGGACACTACTTGGTACCTTACAGCCTGGAGCATCTCTGGACTAACTACTCCTAACCCTGACAACAAAAATGTTGGCTTTTTAAGAGGAAAAAAATGACTTGTACGGTTAAGTTGCTGGCAACTTCACAAAATCTCTTTGATACTTAGGATGTGAAGTAGACGCATCCTCCAGTGTTTGCATTATTACACACTAAGAAAACTTGTTTTGAACATTTGTAACTGAAGGGGAATTTTTCATTAAGAACCTTTTTTATAAAGGTACATACATGTCTTCACAAGGACTTGGAGGCCAGGCTAACTGGAGAGTCCAGTGAAAAGAGAAAATTCTAAGAGCTGTGCCATCTGTGTAGACAGAGCAGCTAGCTTTCTATTTAAGGATGTTTGTTTTTTGCCCTGTCTAGTGTTGGTGCTAGACAGTCCCAAGACATTTTCCTCTGTACTCCCTCCCCTTTATATTTGTCTCACTTTCATTTGGTTACTTTTTCCTTCTCACTTTTTTCCACAATTCCTGAGGTCAGAAATGACTAGTATTTGGCACTGTGTTACGTTTGACATGCAAGGGGTTAATTCTCCAGAATTTTTGCATCATCCCTGCAGGTGTTAGGGGGACGTGGGTGGGAGATGTAAATACGTCCTAGTTGCACTGCACAATCAATCACTCCTCCCTTCATGAACAGGAAACCAGGAGGGCGTTACCTTTCTAGGAAAGGAGTCCTACATCCACCCTCTATCCCAGTGGAGAATGTGGGTCCAAGTTATGACATCATAAAGACTGGACCAGCTTCTGAGCGCTTGGTGTGAGATCATATTCATACACCCCTGCAGTGTTGGCTCCTCCAAGGCTCATTCACCAGTAGCAAAGTTAGTTTAATATTTGTTGATGATGCTATGCCTTGTTTCAGGTCTCTCCTCGCTGTGCCACTGGCTAGTTCCTGCTTGCATGCCATGAAGAATAAGCCTGATTATTAGTCTGCTGATGTTTGGAGGGAGCTGGTGGATTGGGTTGCAGTATTGTAGGTGGCTGGGTCTCTGAGAAGTTTAGAGAAAAGCTTCAGTCAAGAGCTCAAGTACATTTGTGATCATATTCAGGGAGGATGGGAGAAAAAGGCAACAGTGAAAATGGGCTTTTAAAGTACATCCTCCCCTCCCTCTTTCCACCCCACCTCCACCCCCAGCCCCTGTCTCCTTTCCCGCAAGTTCTCTAAAGCACTGATTAGATTGTATTCTTGCCACCTGCAGGATTCCTTGTGGTTTCATGGAGTACAATTTGCAGCATCCCCCATTTAAAAAAGGATTAGGACCTACTATCTCCGCAGCCTCAATAGACAGGCCGAGGACATGAAGGATAAGGAGTCCTGCTTCCTGACCTTAATGGGGATTCTGTACACTTGACCACTTCAGTTTTGTCGCCCTGATACCTTTAGTGGGTTGTGGGAAGCAGGGCTGAGTGATAGAGCAGTGGCTCCTTTCCTCCTCGTTGGAGGAAGCAGCATAGTGGCCAGCTCTGTTTCCTTTATGATATAGTGAATTTTCACTGTGGCATTTTGGCATCTCTTTCCCTGTCAGTATTGACTTCAGGCTTGTGTGGGGGTCTGTAGACTCTATTGCTAAGGGAGACCAGTTGTGAACTGAAGGGATCCTAGTCCTCCACATGGACCTGTGTGTACTGTCTCAAGATGTAGTATTAGCCCCCAGCTCAGCTATAACATTTTGGCTAATTATTGACAGCAGTGATGGAGACAACTGGGAATGGGTCAGCGAGAATGAGGCGTCTTTCAGGAGAGCCGTGAAGCAAGTAAGCAGGAAGAGACAGGGACAGTTACCAGTTTGTCCGTATGTGCATGGCAGCAAAGGAGAGACTGGGAGCCAGCTGCCAAGAAGGCAGCTTGGAGGTGGGTAACAGGCCTCTCCTCAGCTTTCCTCCTGAAGCCCTCCTAGAGCACATGCTGCACTGGCCCAGCACCTTCCGGCTCTGGTTTTGTTTACTGTGAGCCAGATTTGTTCAAAGCAATAGAATAGAGATTATGTGTGGTCTTACATGTAGCAAGCTGCTGCTTTGTCAACTCCATCCCTCTTCCTTTAGCCCTCTTTGGGCCATCCTCCTACCTAGCACCTGCTTTTGGCAGAAGTCTACCCAACATGAGGTTTGACCTGCTGTAATCTCAGTTGTGTGTGAAATTGTCACAGCTGCTAAGTGAGGTGTGGGAAAGGCAGTGGGGGGATCGTAGCTTTATGGGGTGAGCTGGTGACGACGATCTCTTGTTCCCTTCAATAATGATGATAATAAAATTTAACGAACCTTTCTATCTCTAGTTTTTTTTTCCTTTGTGGGGTTTGGTTGAAAAACAAAAAGCAAATGATGTTTCATGCTCACATGTTTCTTGGAGCTAAGAAGAAAGTCGGGATCACTGGCAGGGTAAAGTGTGGACAATGCCAGGTTTATGTATTTGAGCTGTTGTGGCTTATCCAACTTTAATTCTTGCCTCCATGTTATGAAATCCTAGGATTCAGAACTGGAAGGAATCTTAGAGCTCATCTGGCCCAACCCTTTCATCTCCTGTGGTAGGATCTGGCACCTCTCCCCCAGCCTACCCTCTCTAGGAGGGTGATTTGGGGCTAGGGCTAAAAGTGAAGGGAATGAGTCTGGAATGTTTCATAGAGGTGTGTTTTCTCTAGGTCTTTGAGTTATCCCTCATCACTCACTTCTACTATTGACTTCAAAAGTAATCTGTCCCTTCTGCCACCGCTGCCTCCTCCTCCTCCTCCTTCTCCTCCTCCTTCTCCTCCTGTGCCCTGGAAGGCATTCCTTCTATAAAATTAAGGGGTAGGGGAGAGTAAGGGGAGGGTGACAGGAAGACAGTTGGAAGGAAATAAATGGTTTTGGTACTAATGTGATTATGGCAGGGTGCAAATAACTTCAGAAATTCCAGAGTTATTGTTTATATTACAGCATTATCTCTTTGGCTTTTTTTCACATTGCTGTTTCTTCAGTATCGATTAATAAATCAGTCAGCTTTTTAGAGCACCTGTGTCCTGGTACTGTGCTAAGCTCTGGGGATACAAAAAGGCAAAAGACAGTCTCTGGTGCCAAGGAGCTTGCAATCTAATGGTGAGACAATATGTAATATATACAGGATAAATAGAAAGTAATGACCAGAGAAGGAACTGGAATTTAGATGGGCTGGAGAAGGCTTCCTGTAGCAGGTGGGATTTTAGTTGGGACTTAAGGGAAGCCAGGGAGGTCAGTAGTTGGAGCAGAGGAGGGAGAGCATTCCAGGCATGAGGGAGAGCCAGAGAGAATGCTGACAGATTAAGTGTCTTGTTCATGGAATGGCCAGGAGGCCAGTGTCATTGGGTTGAAGAGTACGTTTTGGGGAGTAAGGTGTCAGGACTGCAAAGGTAGGAGAGGGCTATGTTATAAATGACTCTGAATGCCAAGCAGAGCGTTTTATACTTTCTTCTGGAGGCAATAGGGAGCCACTGGAGTTTACTGAGTAGCGGAATGATCATGATCTGCACTTGAGGAAAATCCCTTTGGTGGCTGAATGGAAGATATCTAGGTATGGGGAGAGACTTCAGGCAGACAGACCCACTAACTGGCAGGCTGTTATAGTAATGCAGGCATGTGGTGATGAGGGCCTGCACCAGAGGGGTGGTGGTGCCAAGAGGAGAGAAGGAAACAAATTCAAGAGATGTTGCAAAGGTAAAAATCACCAGGCCTTGGTAACAGCTTAGATGTAGGGGGTGAGAGATGGTGAGGATCCAGGATGACTCCTAGGTAGTGGGCCTGAGGCACTGGGAGGATGGTGTCGCTTTCTACAGTAATAGGGAAGATAGGAGGGGGAGAGCATTTAGAAGGAAAGATAGAGTATTGTTTTGGGTACATTGCGTTTAAGATGTGTATTGTGCATCCAGTTTGAGATGAAAGGCAGTTGGAGATTAGAGATTGGAGGTTGGCAGAGAGGTTGGGGCAGAATAGGTAGATATGAGAGAGAATCACGAGGGTAGAAAATGGTTAATTAAATCCATGGGAGCTGATGAGATCACCAACTGATGTAGTATGGAGGGAGAAGAGAAGAGGGCTTGGGAGAAAACTGAGGGCCACTTACAATCAGAGGGTGTGGTCTGGAAAAGGATTCAGCAAAGGAGAGGGAGAAGGAGTGGTCACATAGGTGGGGGGGGGAACCAGGAGAGAGTGTTTGTCCCAAAAACCTAGAGAGAAGAGTATCAAGAAGGAGAGAGGGATGAGGGGTGTCAAAGGCTGTAGAGCGGTCAAGGAAAATGAGAATTGAGAAAAAAGGCCATTGGATTTGGCACCTAAGAGATCATTGGTAACTTTGGAGAGAGGTTGGACGCCGGATTGTAAGAGATTAATGGAGTAAGAAGAGTGAAAATGAAGGCACCTTTGTGTAGATGGCCTTTTCTAGGAGTCTGTTAGCTACTAAGGACATAAGAGATATAGGATGTTGGGGGGATAGCAGGATCAAGTGAGGGGTTTTACACAATGGGGGAACTATGGACTTGTTTGTAAACAGAAGGGAAGGAGCCACAAGTCCTCTTGGAAGAAGGAGTCGTGAATGTCTTTCCCCTTTCTCTTTTATTCCCTGGAGCAGCTAAAAGTGAAGGACCCAGACATTCTCCTTTTCTCTTATTTTTGGCCACCTTTTACTTCTGGGAGTCAGCCACATATCCTGCTCCCCATCTCTCTTGTCACTTTGTCCAGGGTCATCATAATGATCATTGTGAGGCATTGGCATGTGATAGGTGGGGTGCTGATGAACAGTCTCCTCCGAGACAGGCCATTCATCCTCTACCCTACAATAAGATACCAGAGTAGTTCACCATGAGTGGAGAAGATGGCAAATTGTGTCTCTGTTTTACTGTTTTCTCTCAGAATGGCATTCAGCAGGCTGTCTGGGCTGATCTGAAAATGACAAATAAGGCCAGTGCCGTGAGCGAAGGCATGGCACTATTGTAGTGGAGCTGAACGTTCCCGAGTTCCCAAGTCTGAGATCAGACCTTGTTAGTGGCGCTGTCTTCTAGTGGACAACAGCCTCACCAGGGGAATTAGTTTTTAGGATTGTGATTTCTGCAGAGTTCTGCATACTGCCATATGGAAGCTATGGTAGTATGGTAAGCCACCTTAAGGTGGCAAAGGCCTCTTGATTTGAGCTGGTGCCTCAGCTTAAGAAGAAAAGACAGCTTTCTTCATTGGTACACATACAACCACTTGAGTTTCCAGTCTCGAC